GTTCAATTGCCGTCATCGCCAACACGCCCGCCGAACTTCGTGGCTTGATCTAAGCAAACTTCCACCGGCCAGCGCTCTTCTTCTTTTCCCCCTCTCTCGCCTTAAACCTCGTGCGACGCCCTGCCCCAATCCCACGTCGGAATCGCGCATTCCGCCACCGCAATCACGATAGCTTCATCAACTCTGCCAATCCACCCCCATCCGGCCGCCGCGATGGCTGATTCCCCAGCCAAGGCCGACGGCGGCAGCGAGCGGAGGCCCGCGGGCTACAAGTCGTGGAAGAAGAAGTACCGAAAGATGCGTATCGTGTTTGACCAGAAGATGCACGAGTGCGAGGAGCTACACAAACAAGAGGCCAAGGCCGCATCCACGGTAAAGCGCCTGGCCATAGAGAACGAGTATGTCTTCAGCCAGACTTTCCCTTCAATTACCCATCTCAATGCGCCACGGAGTGAGCCACGAAACTAACCGCGCCATTCTTCTCTGCAGCCGACTACTCGATCTCCTCGTCGAGGTCAACAACTCTCCACAGATCCCCCCAGAGCGACGGATAGACCTCTCCCTCGAGCCTCCCTCCAATGAGAGCGCCCCGTGCCTGCCGATAGACCGCGAACGCCAGTCACACAAGGACGAAGCCATGAAGAAGCTCAACAAGCTGCTCGACATGCCCCATCCGACCTACGGCTCTGCCAAGGAGTCAAACTCGACGTTCCTCGCCGATCTGAGCACTCTCGACGGCGAGTCCCACCCCGCACACTTCCTCTCCGCCGACGACATCGACGACTACATCTATCTAATCGACACGGGCCTTGACCCAGAGTCAGCCTTGCCTACAATGGCGCCGCTCGCCCACCCAGCCGCCAACGCCCCCTCAAACCCGCAAGCCAAGAATCCCACTAGCGTCACGAACTGGCTACGGAAGCACGCCCCAAAGATCTTCCTCCAAGACGGTGAAACGCACGGCGATGCCGACGACGAAGCGGGCGTAGGCACGGGGCCCGGCAGCGGCCACTCCAGCGCGCGAAAGCCACGCGGCAGCGCAAAGGGCGAGCGCGGCGGCGGCAAAGCCAGTGGCGGCAAGAGCAAGAAGACGGGCGCGGCATCGCGGATCAGCGCGGCCGAGCGTGGAGACGCAGACGCCAGCATGGACGACGACGGCGAGTTCGCGGCGACGCCCGTGACGGCGCGCAGCAAGCGGAAGAGGGATGACGATACCGGCTACAAGCCTAGGGGGTCTTCGAGCCGGCCGACCAAGAAGAAGCGGAAGAGCGACGTCGAAGCCACGCCTACGGTGCGCAAATCTAAGAAGGAGGCCGCGGCTCACAAGGACGATTAAAGATTGTTGGAGGACCCGTTTTACATATTGTGTGACTGTTACGAGTTTACTGGAATGCATGTTCAAGGACAAGCTTCTGGATCATGACATCTTAATCTCTCTCTTTCTGCCTTGACGACGGCGCATTTGGAAGAAGAAGAGACATGGAGGAAAATGACGAAGTTTTATTTTATTTGATGGATACGGAAAGGAAAAGGCTCCTTTGCAGTTTTGAGGGGAATCTCTCAGGGATGGGGAGGGGGGTGTATTTGTACCAGAATACCAGGAATTTTTTTTCTCGGGGGTTTCTATTGCATGTTTCTTGTTGTTTGATCTCTCTCTTTTTTTTTCTTTATCTTTTCATTATTCTTACTTTTTTTGAGAATTTTCATGCGTGTTGGTAATAATAGATGTACTTTAGCAGACAGAGGAAAAAAAAAAACGAGAAGAAAAAAAGACGTCAACCAGGACAGCGAATAAACGATGATGAAATCACTGGTTGTGAAACTAGTTGTTTTACTTCGTACTTTTATTTCCATTTTCTAGACGGCTCAAGTCTAAAAGTTCTATATATGTACATGACGTCTCTACCTACCTATATAGAAAAGAACCACTTTCATCTTCAATGGTACATGTGGTATACAGTGCATTCCTCCCCCCTACATCAGTTTATACATTCTCCTTGTCATCTTTTCACTGGTTTTCTTCTTCCATTTCTCGGAGTGATTATTCGTCCATCAGGCCCTCTCATCCAGAACAAGTGAGTCTACAACTTCTCCTTCCGCGAAGCCTTCAGCCTCCTCTCCACAGCATCTAGATACTCATTCGTAGTGACGTAGTCCTCGCGGCTCGTCTTGCCGCACGCCAGCGCCAAGTCCTTGGTCATGATGCCGTCGACGTCGACGGTGTCGACGCAGGCCTTCTCGAGGCCCTCGGCAAAGGCCACCAGCTCGGGGGTGTTGTCGAGCTTGCCGCGCTGGATCAGGCCGCGGGTCCAGGCGAAGATGGAGGCAATGGGGTTGGTCGAGGTCTCGCGGCCCTTTTGGTGCTCGCGGTAGTGGCGGGTGACGGTGCCGTGGGCGGCCTCGGACTCAAAGGTCTTGCCGTCGGGGGTGATGAGGACGGAGGTCATGAGGCCGAGGGAGCCGAAGCCCTGGGCGACAATGTCGGACTGGACGTCACCGTCGTAGTCTTGTGGAACAGGTCAGTTTGGCGAATGATATAACAGTTCAGGGAAAAAAAAAAAAAAAGCCTTACTCTTGAGGGCCATGATGTAGCCGCCGGAGCTCTTGATCATCTGAGCAACCATGTCGTCAATCAGACGGTGCTCGTACCAGATGCCCTTGGCCTCAAACTCGGTCTTGTACTGCGTGTCATACAGCTCCTGGAAGATGTCCTTGAAGCGGCCGTCGTACTTCTTGAGGATGGTGTTCTTGGTGCTCATGTACAGGGGCAGCTTCTTGTCCAGGGCTAGCTTGAACGAGGCGTGCGCAAAGCCCGAGATGGACTCGTCCGTGTTGTACTGGGTCTGGGCAACGCCGCCGCCGTTCTTGAACTGGAAGACCTCAATCTCCTGGGGCTGGCCACCCTCGGGGGTAAAGACCATGGACAGCTTGCCGGGGCCGGGGGCAACGAGGTCCTTTGCGCGGTACTGGTCACCAAAAGCGTGGCGGCCGATGATGATGGGCTGCTTCCAGCCGGGGACGAGACGGGGGATGCGGTCGATGACGATGGGCTCGCGGAAGACGGTGCCGCCGAGGGCATTGCGGATGGTGCCGTTGGGAGAGAGCCACACTGAGAAGGTTGTTAGCGTTATTGTCAATGATATCCATCTAGACTCAAAACTCACTCTGCTTGAGGTTGAATTCCTTGACGCGGGCCTCGTCAGGGGTGATGGTGGCGCACTTGACGCCAACCGAGTACTTCTTGATAGCCTCGGCCGCATCGAGCGTGACCTGGTCATTGGTCTCGTCACGATACTCCAGCCCCAGGTCGTAGTACTTGAGGTCAATGTCGAGATACGGGAAGATGAAGCGGTCCTTGATGCTCTTCCAGATGATGCGCGTCATCTCATCGCCGTCCAGCTCCACGACGGGATTCTGGACCTTGATCTTCCTGGCAGTGGCCATGTTGCGGGCTGAGATTGCGGAAATGGAGAGAGTCTGGACGGCGCCAAACGAGGCTGGTCGGAGCGGCTGTAGAGGACGGAGGGTAGCGGCCCGGCGAAGGGATAGAGAGGAGAGGAGACGAGGAGCGGCGGCACTCATGATGGGCGAAGCTTTTAATTCAAAGATTTCGGCAAACGCTTGCTCTAGGGGGGCAAAAGGCCAAACCAAAGGGTAACAAGAGAGGCCGGTTCGCGGTTCGAAGGAGGGTTTCCCGAGGTATCGCAGACGTTGGTAGCCGAATCGGCGGGACGATCCGTTTTGTATGACGAGCCGCTAGTAGGAGGCGTTCTAGCGGGCTTTGCTCTTCGTTTTGGGTTTGAAATGTCTTTTCTTAATTTTTGCGACGACGCTGAAAAGAAGAAAAATCAAGTCACAGTCTGCTTGCTTTTCTCTTTTATTTGTTTTCTCCAGGTGGCGACGCTGGCTGGCGCAACTTGGATATTTAGCCGATGCGATGCGCTGAGATGCGATTTGCGACAAGGTAGGCGACTCAGAAAAGAAGGTGGGGTGCAGCAGCGCTGGAATCGGAGAACGCGCGGGGAGCCGAACGGAGATCGACTGAGGGGAATTGACTTTTTGGGGCTGCGTTGGATTTTTTTAATATCGAGGACATGGGGGGAATTGAAGCATATTCGACATACCTTGTGTACAAAAAGAATCACCAACGGACGGGAAGAAGAGAGAAGAAGGGAAGAAAGAAGTGACACTTCGTTGCTATATAAATTAGTAGCTCGATACCGTTATCAATCGCCGACAAACGGAGCCTGGACCCATCGTGAATCCCATACTAACAGCAGCAAATTAATGACTACCAGATATAACTGATGAATCATGCCTCACGTCGCATCCAACACGGCAAAACTGGGAATGAGTGGTTTTTCTCGTTTTGATTGCTTCGCCTCTTACTAGGCACTTTACTTGTCTTTTTTGTTGCCTTGTTTTGGGCTTTAAGCCGAGCCAATGGTGTACCAACAGCAGCTCTTTTTCCTACACACATGATGGCGCGTGCCTCTTCAAATCAAGGCGGGGGGGTTCCACTGCCCAGGGTCCGGGAATTAGTAGTAACTTTGACAGGATTTTATTACCAGAGTCAAATCTCTATTTCTCTGCTTCTCTCTTTTTCTCTCTCTGTAGCTTGAAATCGAGGCCGATGTAGGAGCAGCTGGCTCAGTCACTGCTATTATGTATGTACCTGACTGTGCTAAGATAAGATAAAAAAAAAAGACAAACTGACGTAGGTAGGTTTTCCAATGCATGCGCGTCTTGCAGAAGCACCTGTCAAACGTCAACTCTAAAGTTGTAAGCCACCATCTCCAACTTTTTTTCCAAACCCCATGCTACCACCACCACACACTTTCACATCCCTTTACCCGAGCTCAGCCGCGCGAACTAGAAAGAGAGAGAGAAGGAAATCTTAACCAGCTGCTATAACCACACAAAACTCCGTGCGGGGGTTGGTTTCACCTGAGCTCCAAAATGAGGACAAGGCCGGCCACGAGCGTCTTTTGGAGATGCAGCCGTGCAACCACACCAGGCAAAACCATGATGCCAACACAACTACTCGAATCTCAATGCAAGGGGAAAAAAAAAAAAATTAGTGCATCATTGCACATAAACGCCGTCGTAGGATCAATCTAGCAGAGACTCTTCTCCGCCCCCTCGTGACAATGCACAACTGCACGCCATTTACACGCGTGCCTCGGTCGAACCTCTCAAATACGTACCATCTTCGTATCTTCAATACCAAAAGCCTTCACTCAGGATACACCATCTTCCGCGTCACTCCCCCATCCACCACCATCTCAACCCCCGTCACGCCCTCGCTCTCCACCAAGTAAACCACCGCCCTCGCAACATCCTCCACCTTGCCAACCCTCCCCGTCAGCTGCCACCGCATATCCGCCTCGCCCAGCCCATCCTCCCACCTTGTTCCCTTGTCGTCCGCATCCTTACACTCGTCCCCAACGTGAATCCAGCCCGGCAGCACGCTGCTCACGCGCACGCCGTCCCTCGCCAGCGACACCGCCATGCTCTGCGCCATGCCCAGCAACCCGGCTTTCGTCGTCGAGTAGGCCTCATTGTTCGGCTCGCTCATGACGGCCCGCGTCGACGAAACGTGCACCACGCAGCCCCTTGCCGCGCGCAGCATCCCCAGACACGCCTGCGTCATGAGCATCGGCGCCGTGAGGTTCGTCTCGATGCTCCGGTTCCATTCGTCCAGCGTCATCTCCGCCAGGCTCGTGCCGCCCACGCCGCCCGTGTACGCCGCGTTGTTGACCAGGCAGTCCAGCCTGCTCGCAAACAGCTTGTCGGCCTGCTGCACCGCCGCAAAGATCTGCCGCGGCTGGCGGAGGTCGCACAGCGCCGTGTCGAAATCCTTTCCGCGCTGGTGTGATTGTGCTAGTAGCCCGGCGGTGTGGTCCAGCTCGGTCTTGTTGCTGTCCAGCAGAAACACGCGGTGACCGGTTTGGAGGAGAATCCGGGACAGGCCCCGGCCGATGCCCCGCCCGGCTCCGGTGATGAGGAACGTCTTTTGAGCCGGCGCCATGATTCAGAGATGGAGAAAAAAAATAGACGTGCAAAGGTAAGCAAGTAAGTAGAGTTTAAGAATTCGAAGATGAATTAAAGCTTCCAGGTTCTCCTTTTTAGCCTGACCCCACGCTTATACAGCCCTGATGGGAAAATCTCCATTATACGTCGTATGATGTCACTTTCATTATATCGAGCATGTAAGGTGCTAGTAGCAACACATGCGCTCTGTAAATCAATCCCTTGTCGATATATCGGGGGCTTCGCGGAAATAATCTCATTTATTCCGCCTATTTCGCATGACTTGCTCAAATATCAAATATATCTCCAATCCCCTGCCCCCCGCCTCTGCGCACATCCACAATATCCAGCCTCCATCCCTCCCAGTGCTTCAACGACCGTTTAATCTCCTTGATCCTCTCAATCCGCCTCTTCGCCTCCTCCTCGTGCGCCTTTCTAAAGGCCTCCTCGTCAAATTCCATGTCGTCATCCGCCAACAGCTCGTCATCTCCACCTCCAGCCAGCGCATTCAGTCCATGCGCAATGAAATCACCAATACCGCCAGTCGACCCCTTCTTGTGCGCAGGAGGGTGGTTGTTACCTGACAGGTCAACGTCGTCGAATCCGGGACTAGTGGCTTCCATTTCGCGCCGTCTCTCAATCCAGGCACCGCTGCGAAGCTCATGATTCTCTGCCTCGAGGCTGCGAATCTTCTTCTCCAGCTTAAGTCTTCCTTCGTCTTCGAGCTCGTCAACGCCCTCGTCGTCAAGACCACCTCCTCCCTCTGCGGATTTGCGACTTCGAAGCTTGACGTTTTCACTTTCTAGATTCTCTACCTTGGATCGTAGCTCCTGGGCCTCGCTTTCTGCCTTCTCCTTGTCTTTCCTTAGCGCTTGTGACCGAGCGTCTTGCTCTTTGTGCAGCGTCGTCAATGTTGCAACCTTCTTTTCGAGTGCTTCCGTCTTCTTCTCTAGCTCTTCTTTGGCCTTCTGAACCTCGTCCAGGTCGTGCTCCAGAGTCTTCACCTTGGTCTCTGCGCTGATTCGTTCGCTGCCTTCGCGAACGGCCTTTTCTGTCGTGCGCTCTAGATTCTTTTTCAAATCTTGCAATTCGCGCTGAGCTTTGCCCGCCGCAGCTTCGGCCCGAGCAACCTTGTCCTCGAGGGCAGTGATTTGTTCCTTTTCCGAGGATGCACCGCTCTCCTGGCGTTCAACGCGGGCTTTCAGCTTTGAAATCTCAATCTCCATAGACTCAATCGTGGCTGATTTGGCATTCAATTCGGCTTGTAATGACGGCGGCGATGCTGTTATTGACACTGACTGACGATGACCATGGCCTATATTTCGTGATACTTGCTGCTGCAGCTGAGAGTTTTGGCGCTGTAGAGACGCAATCTCCTCCTTCTGCGGCGTCGTTAGTAACTCTTGAAATGTCCAAGCTGATGAAAGAACTCTGTTTTTCTTTTCCAGCTATACGTACCAACTTCTCTGTTTGGCTGTCCTTGCCGTCTTTGCCATCAGACTCACGTAGATCAGCCAGCTCTTCCTCCGCCTTCTTCCATCTCTTCTCTGAGTCAGCAGCTTCCTTGGTGACACGCTTGTTCTCTTTTTCTAGCTCTTCTATCCTTGCGACGTGCTTTCTGTAGATGTCGGGTGCCGTGTCGCCTTCGGGACTAAAGGGCCCAGGCGACATTGGCCCCGGGCTTGCAAGCGAGCCGGCGCGGAAAGAAGTTGATCTGAGCTTCGATTGCTGTGCTAGCGATGGTGTTTCGGACGGTGACGACTCGCTGGCCTTTTCCTCTGGCCTGTCTTCTGCTTTGTCGTCTTGTCCGTCTTCTTGCTGGTCTTCAGGCTCGCTCTCAGCCTTGTCCTCAGCCTTGCCTTCTTCGACAGCCGTGTCGTCTGCATCCTGGCTCGGCGGGGGTTGGTCTGCGGTGTCTTCGACGGCTTCGGGCGCAGGCGCTTCTACTTCCTCTTTGGGCTCTGGCTTTGAGCCGGCAGCCGCCTCCATCTTCTTCTTCTTCAATTGCTCGGCCTGGAAGCGTCCTGTTAGCTACATGCGCATGCACCTTGATGGGGCAGCTTGGCCGAGCATCCGCTGGGGCTTCTCACGCGCTTCTTCACGGCAGCAAGCTTCTGCTTCTTTTTTTCGTCTGCGTCTGGCATTTTCGGCTGATGGGGTATGAAATAGAGACAGGGCTGAGGTTATTGGTGTTGAATTGAAGAGAGGTGTAGCTGCTCCCTTGGCTGGTGGTTCTTGGTGCTTCTGCCCGGACCTTGGCGCACCTTCGTCATAGGTGGCCACTGGAGCTTTCACAGTGCTGGATATGCGCACTGTGAAGCCGCATACTGTAGCCCACTTGCATCAACAGCACTCAAACGAGAATATCATCATGTACAGGCGAATAAATCAAAATAATAGAAATTTTCAACCAAATCAAACAATCAAGTACATCGTGGCGTATCCGTGCTCCAGAAGATGAAAAGTATACTTGAAATCAATGCATTCCTGCCGTTCAGGTTTCCTCTGCATCCGTGCCCGCGGAGGCTGAATCTATACCTGGCCGCTGCTCACCACGTATTCTGGAGAGTTGCTTCACATGTCTGTGTGCCAAAAGGCGCAGAATCCCTTTGCCAATATAAAAAAAAAGGGAGATGCCAGAAATACCTTCCCTTAGGCCGCTATTTGTGCGATATTGCCTGCTCATGCCGCTGCCTTTCAGTGGGCGCCAGTGATGGGAGACCTGTGGCAGGTGCCTCCTGCGTTGTGCCTGTTTGTTGTGAATATCTCCTCGCTTGATTTTTCTTGCTCTTGGACTGCACTTCAGAATCTCTGCCTCGCAATCCTCTCGTCTCGCCACATCATTCTGTCATACCGCTGCATCCTCTCACCATCTTCTCCCTCCTTCATCTCCATCTCCAACGTCAACGGTGTCTTCTTCCTCTATTCTCTCTCAGAGCTTCCCAAGCCCCGACTCCTCTTTTCTCGCAAAGGATTACCATCATGAACTGGATGGGAGGCAACCTCGCTCGGCATCGTCGAGGAAAGGGCCGGAAAGAGGACTTGGCAAACCAGAAGCAATATTTCGCAAAGGCCCGCTCCTGGCAGCGTGAGCAAGCAAAGACCAACCCTGTGGTCCTATCTGCCGCCAATTTTATTCCCAATTATTTCGCCGCATCGAACGCAGGTTCAAGGGTGGCCAGATCAAGCTCTCCCCCTTCGCTACCAGTGCCTTTGGAGACTTCGGGAAATCGAGAATCTTCGGCTAACCTGGCCAATCCATCGCAAAACATGCAAGACAATGCTGCTCAACAGCCGCTACGTGTTGTGCCACTGAGCCAGACGAGCCGGTCAGCCGTGTTCAATAATCAGTCGACAAAAGACCATCTAGTAGACACCTCTGGCCCAGAGGCCGACCGGCGGAGACTTCTGAAAGAAGAAGATTTCATGCAAAGTAAACTACCGAAACCTTCAATGGTAAAGCCCACGCAGAAAAGAGGCCATTCAACCGCTGCTAGGCAAGTTGTTGGGCAGCAGCGGCAGCGGCAGTCTGCAAATCCCACTAGCCATCGCGAAATTCAGCCAAAGGTTGGTGGCCAGAGAGGTAATAGAAAGAGGAAACTGACCAAGATCACATCTCCGCCCGTTGATACAACAATCAGGATACGAGTTGGAAGTAAAAGTTATCAATGGAGCGAAGCAGGACATTCCATCCGAGACCCTACGTATAATAGCTCATCACCAAGCCCAAGTGCAGATGAATCTCGGTGCATCGCAAGCACTACAGGCACTACTTCATACGTCATTGACGAGTCTTTTACAGGGCTCTCGTCATCTACCATCAGCCCATCACCATGGCTTTCTCCTGGAAGCAGCCGGCCTGCATATCGCCGCAAGTTCTCCGATCCGATCAGGCACCTTGATAGGGCAGGATCGGCAAAATCTCAATGCCCGACGACAGCTTATACCGACGCGCTATCACTGCAAGCAAGACCGCCAACGATGAGCGCGATTAGTTCCGTTAGCAGCATGGCCGTAGAGGTTGGCAATGACCAAGAATCTCCAAGAATCGGCATCGATGAAGAAGATATTTGGAGGGCGTGGCTGAACCGAGACATGCCCGAGCTCCAGGTGCCCAAAAGACAACAGGATATAACTGCCGATATTGGCAGACCTCGTCCAACACCCGTGCCTCAGGGACTGGCAATTGCTACGCTGCGAAAGCGCCCTCCAAGAACCTAGTGTGAAGTTGAAAAGACGGTTTGGCGGCTGGCCGTGAACAATTGTCCATGCCCTTTCGAAGCATATAGCCGAACTCGGGTGACGAGAGCGAAGCACCTCTTACAGTACAGCAAAGGACCAGGCCCCACACCAAGTCGAGAAAACACAACTGCCGAAATTTTAGTGCAGTCAGAAGCTGCAAAAGCACCAGGACGGATGCATTCGGATAGCCAACAAGTGGGGGTCATGGGATTGCGCCGCTATTTCCACTTGCAAGGGTAGAGCTTGATGAAAATCCCCAGCCAGCGGATTCTTGATGGGAATTTTTTTTGCCCTTTGGACGGGGACATGTTGTGAGGTCCAAGCCATCCTGGAGATGTGGGATGAAGTCGCGCCGTAGCTTGGCGGATATAGAACTCAGACCAAGGCGGCAGATTGCGACTCCACCAGCCAGCCGGTTCCGAATGGCTCGGTGGAGCTCGTGTGGGATACGCAAGCCACGGCCACGTGCAGACGACGACCAGAGCACCGGCGGGATGGCCATCGGGGGGACATGTTCCGCGCTTGTCTGGCCGAACAAAGCGCCGTGGCTGGATGCTGAACTTGAGATTGGCATGAGGATGGCAATAAGCTATTCGACGGTGCAGCCAAGGGTCCTGGCCAAGTCAGGGAAAGCGAGGGGAGGAGCCTTGGCTCACAGAACATGTCGCCGCCTGATTCGTCGGATTAGCCAGCCGTATATTCGTATAAGGATTCCCAACCGCCAATCTGATTCGCCGGACCGTCCAGCTGTCTCCTTCTGCAGTGATGATGCCATTACCTGCCGCCATTGAATGCTGCAAGTCGCCATGGATGGGTGTATAGGTACTCATGCTTGTACTGTAACATTCGCCATTGCAGAATTCGGAATGGAGACGGAGCAGAGAAAAAAGGTTCAGGTCAAGAGGCAGCACTAAGACAATGCCCGATTGCCGCTGGTGATGCCGCTGGTGATGCCGCTGGTGATCCGACGGCAAACATGCGAGAGGACATGATTAGCTCACCTCCCCTTGCCAGTCTGGTAACAATAGGCGTATAGTATATCCGACAGGGCAAAGCTAAGACAGAAGGAGGGTCGAAAGAGCGACTTGTCTAAGAAACGTGTCTTGAGCAAGCAGCATCAGCATCGGGAAAGCATACAAATCGATGCCGAGAGCAAGCTGCTGCTGCCGCTATACGGATGCATGGCTCGTACGTGAGCTGCATGCATAGGGATACACTTAGTGCACCCAAAGCTACCCCCATTCTCCAAAATTCTCCAAAGACAGATAGTCGCCACCTGCCTTCTACCAATGCAGGAAGAGAACAACGGAGCACTACTGCTGCACTCTGAGCCCTAGAGAGGGGGAACTTTGCCGACCTATCCAGTGTCTGTCTCGAGCAATCCGGCTTCAGCTCACCCCCAACTGGCTTGGGATGCCTGCTGCGTGCGTGCAAGCCTAAAGCTGCTACGTACCTAACAGTTTGGCCAACCGGCCGCGATGGAACAGCAATTACTGGGACTAACATCCAAAGTTTAAACAAGCCAATCTCGCAGGTCTAGCTAGCCCCTTCGGCCTCGTGTTTTGGCCATGGCGTACGGAGCCACGGGCCATGAAGCTGTGTGCTGGTGCAAAGTTAGTTTCGACGGTGGCGTTTGAAGAGTAGGTTAACGTGGGCTAATTGACAGGTTGAAACAAAGGTCAACTCATTGGAGGAGCAAACGACTTGTGCAGCAATGGAACGATGCGCAGGCATGATTGGCCAGAGACACGGAGGATTGTCTACCGAGTTTGGCAGTAATACAGGCACAGCTGTAAGAGACAACGAGATGAGAACCTCTATCTGTGATTCTGACAACTAGGTTTCGATGACACTTTACACAGGTGCTGAACAAAGCTCCGCCCCGAGTTCCTTGGTACCGGACGTTACCCCGACACTATCGCGTATAGCCGCCGCCGCCACGCCTAAGCCGCAGCGATACCCGTCTCATCAGCCCAGGAAAATGAATCGTACCCGAGTGTTTATTTGGCCCACCGAATAGGTGTGATATGCGCTGGGCATCTTCAACGTCTAGCCTATCCTTGCTGAATAAGGCAAAACCAAATATAAGAAAATTTCCAAAACAAGGAAACACCCGACAGTACAGAATCAGTAAAATTGAATACCGAGATAAAATCGCAAATTCGCCGGAATGTAGCTTCCGTCTCATCCCAAACGCCCACCTGAAGGCTATGCCTTTTTCTGGCCCTCGATATAGAACTGCCGAGAGTACCTGTTCTTTGTTCTTCTAAACCAATTTTCCCAAAACGTGTTAACCGCCATGTACTTTTTTCCCACGCCATTTCACCCACCCCTGTTATTTTCTTTTTTAGCCACCCGCTGTATTAACCTATTCTATAACAAAAGAATTAAACCACCCCCTCGTCAGGCATTCCCATTGGTTCAAAGAGACGCAATAAAAAAAAAAGTGCGCCACGAAATAACGGCTTTTTTTTTTATGTATGGTATGTACTTGTATTTTTGCCCTTTTTTTTTTTATTCCTGCATTGTTGGTTCCCAGTTGCCGAGATTGCCAGTCCAGTCCCAGCTTTGCCGCAAAGATTTCTCCGTCTCAATACCTAAAACTCATTGTAATGTGTATAATCCCTGTTCAGTTTTTTTTTCTTGATAAACGGTTGTTTTCTTTTCTTTTGCAGGGCTGACCGTTTTTTTAGTACTTTCGTAAAAGCACCCCCGCTTTTTTTTTTAATCTTGGCCGTTCTTGTAAACCAATAAGCAAAAAAAAAAAAATCTCCAGTACTAGAGAGGTAGGCACCTAACAACTGAACCAGAAAAAAGGTACCAAAAAGGGGAATAATACATCAAGTGAATCAAACAAAACAAGAAAAGGTCAGGTCAGGTGCCAAGCAAGGGCGCCTTCTCAGCCATTCAGCCACCAACCACGCGTTTTGGCAGCTGAAACGAAAAGCGAAAAACGGCGTGAGACGCAGAAGAAACAAAAAGACCCAGAGACAATTCAATGCAGCATTAGCTGTAGGTAGCTAGTAGCAATAGCGATATGTAGTTACTCCTGCTGCTAGTACCGCAATAGAACGTATTCCGAACAGGCGAATCAGAGGCTCTGCAGCAAACTGTACGGTAGCTACTCCGCACCAGAGAGACAAGAAACGGAAACGGTGCGGAAATAGGTGCTTGCAGGTAGTATCAAGAGATTTTGAGATTTTGACAGCTTGTAGAGTAGTAGTAATAGGTCTGTCTGTCTGTATTTTGCTGCTAGGTACTGCCTAGGTGGTATCAAGATTCTTGTATATACTCCGTAGTAAAATGTAACCCATGGGATTCTTTGCCTGCATGTAAAAAAAAAAACAAAGAAATCCCTCCCCAGGCTTATGCTAAGACAAAAGAAAGATGAAAAGTCACGGATAAAAACAAAACAACAAAAGCCCTTTTTCGTAAGATTCATTTGGAAGTATAGCCGCTCTAATGGTATGTCGGCAGATGTAAGTCGAAACTTTGACGGATCCAGCGCCAAAGCTGTTTGGTTAGCTTGCGCAGGACCCCATGGATGGTACAGTACAGGATATGTAGTTCAATGTGCGAGAGAGAGAAGAGAGAGAGAGAGGGGTGCGGCCGGCGCGGGTTTAGTCATAAAGGGGGGTGGAGGGGGGCGTAGATGACTGTAATATGCGTGTACGAAGAGTATTGGTTGGTGATAAAGCTGTGCCGCGGGTGCGAATTTGGGGGCTGGTCGCCGAGCTCCTCTAGTGTTGCTTTCTGGCTACTCTCGCCGGCGAATCTCCTTCCGCTTCGCTTGCAAGGATGTCTTGCAAGTAGGGCATTCGTAGCCATGGCGGCTGATGTAGATTCGCTTCAGGCACTTTGTGCAGCGCCACCAGGTGATGGAGGCATTGCGGCCCTCGAACCAGTCCTCCTTGGCCGCCACGCCGCGCTTCTCAATGTCCTCTTTGTGAAAGTCTCTCAGGTGGTCGCGAAAGTGGTCGCGGCGATGAAAGGGATCGCGCCGCCGGCCGCAGCGGGCGTAATCGCAGTGATACGCTTCCTTCTGGGAGGCCGGCGCATGCTTGTGCTTGTAGTGGCGGTCGAGATCGGCGCGACGCTTAAAAGGTTTCGCATCGCAGCCGGGATGTAAGCAACACACAGGATAGTCGCGGCCATTGGAGGCAAACCTACGCTCAAAATGGTTAATCGTAAGGTGCGATTGGCGGTTGGGCGGCACACGAAGCACACGAAGCAACTTACGTTAGTGAGTCTGTTGGTGAAGCCACTTCTTGGCTAGCCGTGGCATCTGGGCTGCTATAGGCCGACGTTGCAGGCGTGCCGCTGCTTGCATATGACGGGAAGCAAGATAAGCTGGGGGCCGGCGAGGTCTGCTGTGAGAAGAACGAGTCCGTAGACACTGGCGATGCGGGGGAGCTCGCCTCCGAGCAGCCCTCTGAGCCTCCATACGATGACAACGACTGTGAGTGTGAATCGCACATTTCAAAGCCATCTACCATGGAGCTGTAGTCGTTTACGCCGTATGAAAACCAGTCGCTGCATGGCAGGTTCTCTTCGCACAGAGGAGCCGCCCCATAGATCTGGCACTCATCATACAGCTGAGCTTCGCTGAAGAGCTGGTATAAGCTGGATTGCATCTCCTCGCTCATGGTGTTTGCGTAGGGGGAAGTCATTCCCTGAAGCTTTTTTGGGATAAACAATTGCTCGCGTAAGTCGAGCAAAACCGAAATATATATATGTATGTAGGTATAAGCGTAGTGGTAGTCGGTATGCGCTTTGCTCAATTTGCCAATTGGATCAAAGTTGGTCAACCGCCGTCACCTTGTATGTAGAGGAAAGAGAATAGAGAGGGAGAAGATGATTGTGGTGAGAGGAAGAAGACGATTGTGGTGATCAAGGGAGTGGGATGGAGTGGTATAAGAAAGATGCTTCAAGTCAACAGAGCGTCGAGCCGAGGGTAGTCGAAAGCTTATGAGTCCACAGCTCCAAGGGACGATACATGCCCAAGTATATATGCATGGCTTGTCAATCCCAGGTGTGACAGGGGGGAGGGTTGTGTTTATTTGCACCCAGTACTAGAGCAACAGATAACGAACCGTCTCTGGAGCCTGCATGTACTCTCGTACAGTACTTGTCCGGCGCTGCAGATACACCACCCCATCGTTCTGGTATGGCCCGGGCTTCTAGAAGAGATGTTAGATTTAGCGCGGATAGGATCCGGCAGGGCGGAAATGCAACGGGTGGGGACTCTTCAGAAGTGCTCTGAGGGTGACGTAGAACTGGACGCTAAGCGTTATGCAGCATAAACCCTATGCAGAGGGGCGTCACGGTGGTGAGGGCATCGTATCGTAGACATGCCAGGTTCGGAGGGCACTACTGCCTCCCGTGGCCCAGAGCCGTAGGCGGGTAGAGACCGCGGCATGGCAGCGTGCGGACTGGCCAGAGCCCTGTGGAGAGACTTGGGGGCCCTCATCAGCCTGGGCTTCTGGCCTATCTGTTGCTTTCTTCCTTGATTGTTCCGTGGCCGTTGTTGCTTGCTCCGTTGCTACGTACAGTATGCCCGTTTAGGAGCCGGCGACTGAATTGGCCAATCGAGGTTGAGGAACGCGAGCAGAACCTAGCGCTGCCGAATCTGCCGAAACCGACAACTTGCGATGACCACAGCGCATCTCGATTGTCGTGACCTTTAGCGCCCGAGTCTTCATGTATACCTCGCGCTCCACCGACTAGACAACAGGATGCTGAATTGTAAAATACCCATGGCATCTGGCCGGGAAGATTTTTTGATATTGATCTAAGTGAGTGGGGGATTTTCGGGGCCCCTCACGCAAAGAATTGCCCTGCCAAGGGACTTGATACAGGTGTTTCCGAGCACTACTACCAAGAAGTCATGGTAAGTACACGCTTTGGGCCCGGGTTCGCATAAAAGGGCCACTCACTAGCAAGAGGTAAATGATATGGAAACATGTGGCTGCCAGGTTCAGCCGCACAAGCTGTCAAAGGAAAATTTGCTGGAGCTAGGCAGGCTAGTATCGCGGATGACACTCTTTTGAGAAGGCATCCCGTCCACGAGGCTTTGGTTGACCCGATGGCCGAGATTTTGGTTGAAGATGATACCACCACCAGGAATCAGGAAGAAACGCCCTCCGCTGGCGGTGGCTTCCTATCACCACAAGTCCTGCCACCGAGCCTCGGACTTTGGGTGCCACGTTGTTCTGTATATCGTCCATCTCTCAACATCAACATCGATATCAATATCGATATCAAAACTAGGGTCTCTTTCAGGCCCTATACTTTTGTTGACGAGTGGTGAGATACAGCCCGTACAGCCCGTACAGCCCGTAGTTACAGCATCAAACAGTGTTGCAAGGCCGGTATAGGCGCTGTAGACACCGCCCAAAAGATTAGTTGCCTGTCCTAGAGCACTGGCTGCTATCTGCCGAGTCGGCCAGACTACCCCGAAGCCGCAAAAGCCCTATTAACGACAAGAAGCCGTTTTGGGTAGTAAGCGATCTCCTTGTAGGGATTAGCATCTGGGCAATCCTCGCTAGTTGCTACTAGCATCGTGGCCCCTCTTGCCTGGTCCCCTTCCCCCACCTTACGTGCATAGGCGTGGGTGTAGTGCAACGAATCCCATATCCCATATGCCATATCCCAGACATCCAGCACGGGAGCCCGACTGCGAGCCTCAAGGTGTGTGTGTCCATATGTATGTCGGCAATAGATATCGCAGCCAATAGCGAGCCGACAGCGAGCTAGTGACGCCTCTATTCCCGGAGAGGGAACCACCACGTAGGATGTCAGTCCAGGTACTAGCAGCAGCGATGCCAATGGTTGCAACAGACAAGTCGTCGTCGTCAATCTCCCACAAAGCATCAAATAGCCTACACGGTTTGCCTTATCGGGACATCCAAAGTGAGTTGAGCCAATTGCCGTCTGCGTACACGCAAGAGGTAAACCTTGGGCGAACCGAACCATCGCCGGGTCATTGCCAAAACTCCTAGTCCTGCCAACAGGTGGCTGGTGTGTTTGAAGCTCAACAGATGTGAGTATAATCAGCGCTGAGGACTCAAGCAACTCAACTGAATAGATTCAACGAGCCCTCTCAGCACTATTTCGTTGAGCACTGATATCCTTCCTTTTCTCTTCTAGACTGCAGCCACGATCGAGATCACTACCTCTTTCTGGCCGCGTTCCATAGAATAGAGAGAGGTCTGGACTGTATTCGTGTAAGCGTACCTGGTCGGGCGTCCTCAGGGTGAGTGACCTGGCGCATGCTCCGTATGGCTGAATTTTCTCGTCCCGCGCCCCATATAGCTCATACTGGGGCCTACCCTTAATCACTCTAGCGATAACCCAGAGGATTTGCTGGGTTATGCAAGGAATGGACGAGCAAACGGGCCATGAGTCCCTGCTCCACCTGCGATTTTGCAACGTAGTGTGCGGGCATTCATGAGTATCAAAGCACCGCACCACACTGATAGAGCGGCAATATGCGGCTTCAGATGATCGTCGACCAGGACCGACCTTGGTCCCCGTCGCATGTGCTGAGACCTAGGAGATCGCCATGCAGAGTGCTGTGATACGGGGCCTGTCCTTCTCTCCTAGTTCGCTCCGAAACAGCCCTAGGAGAGGCACGAGGGAAGATTAGCCGCCATTGGTGGTGATGGGGGCCTGGGCGCGCCGCAACCACCGCATGTGCGTCTTGTATGTAGCAGAGCAGTCATATGCACCTAGCCTCATTGCATCAGCATCTTATCAGCAGCCAGAGATGGGGGATTCTGCACCCTCCTCGTACCGGCGACACTCTCACGGCCAGCGCGTGCTGACGGGCTGTCCAAATCCACAAGCAACAGCGCCTCCCCTCTGCCCGCTTAGCCTTTCCTCCCGTCCATGGGCATCCAGTACTGCTGCCAGTCCAAAGCCAGTGCGGCCATCCTTGTCCAGAACCCGTTGGGAAAGCATAACCAGGGCCCTCGATAGTGTGCTGATTGCGATATCCCATCTCAGGGCGGAAGAACAATAGCCAGGCGCCGCCGGAAGAACTAGCCACGATGCGAGTGATACAGCAACAGCTTTTTCCCACTCATCCCACCCGGTGATGGGGCATCGTCGCAAACTTTGGCCTCTGGACCGCAATCTGTGCCAATAACATGGGCACGGAATGATGTCAAACAACCTTGGAAGGGTGAAGAAAAAAAAAATCTTAGAGGCTTTGAGCCATCTGACCAGAGGCGGTCAACAAAAACTGTAATAAACGTACACGTAAAAACACGAAGAATAAGATCAACGCCCCGGTTGTTCTAGAAGCTCTCCAGCCTCCAAGCAAAAAAGGGTAAAGGGGGAAAAGTAAAAAAAAAAAAGAGAAGGAAAAAATTTTCATCATGGAAGAAAAATAACCAGGGCAAGGGAGTAGTGGTAGTAATAGTGCCGGGGTGTTCTTGCCTTAACCGTGTCGTAGTCTTACGAGAAAACGTGGGAAGGAGAAGCTTCCGCGTCTTAGTCCTGCCTTAATCTCGGGCTAGAAGCATTTCGATGACGGCAATTGCTTTTGCCAACTCATTGCGGATCGTCCTACAGCCAATAAGTCTCTTGGGAAGACACACTTGGGTAGGGGGCCCCTGATGGAGATTAATGAGAAATAATTAATATCTCTCAATAAATAAATAAAAAGAAACTAGCGAATTAATTTTGTAGTAATAAACTGAAAACAAAAGCAAAGAATAAAAAAACTTCCGTCTACATACCACATACATACTACTAATAGGGCCGAAGGTACGATGACGTGTGGCGTCATGGGTGAAAAGGCCAATAAGCCTTGGATGGGCGAGACTAACCCCCTGGCCTGCATCCATGGATTGCTTCTAGAAGGCCTTTTAGCTCAGTTTTCTCTCGTCTGTCTTCAGGCTAAATGCAAGTCGTAGATTAATAGTCTCCGGCTGAAAGGACAACCTTGGAAGAGACAAGAAAGAGCCCCCAAAGTTGAAGGCACTACTGTACATGTATCATATCTCGCCCTGCATATGACCCCCAACTAGAGCCAAATCCTCCAGGCATGGCCATCGTCATCTGCATCTATCGTTTCCCATTACAGTAGATTTGTTGCTTCTTTGTTTGTCAAAACAACCCAGATCACTGTTTCTCTTGGTTCTCGTCTTCGTTCTCGTTGCCGTCCTCGCTGCCATCCTCACTACCGTCCTCACTACCGCCCACCAAAGCCGCGTCCCGGTCAGGCTTCCACCTCATCCGGTCCCTCGCCACGGGCACGTCGCCAAAGACCTGGACCATGGTGATCCAGTGCATGCAGTGCTGCAGCAGGTCGTTGTCGCGCTCCATCTTGGCCTCGTACGCTTTGACCAGGTCCTTCAGCACCCCCACCTCCTTCGTGAGGTCCTTGATCTTCTGCTCCAGCTCTTCCATGAACTCGTACTGCGCGTCTTGCTCTTGGCGGAGCACGCCCAGTTCGCCGGTGGTGGTCCAGCCAATCCGTGTCTTGGTTTGGTTGCGCGTGAGGTGACTCTGATTGTGACTAAAGAGCTGCGTAAAGGTGCTGGAAACCTTGTTGAAGACGCCGGACTGGACGTCGACGTTGCTGGGGTCCGTGATGGAGGCATCCTTCTCATCCGCACCCAGAGATGACTTTTGCTCTCCAGTGTCGGTGGCCTGTTGCTTCTGCGGCTTCTCGTACCAGGACACCCATTCCCCGTTGGCACTCATCTTTCCTTGCTTTTTCCACCCTTTCGTTGTCGTAAATGACCTAGTCTTGGGTATATAAGAAGCCATCGTGGAATCCTCTCGTGACAATGTTATAGTTACTTACCGTAAACTAGGATTTGACTGCTCGTCAAAGGGCTTTCAGAGTGTCTTCTATGTGAAGATGTGTCTTGTTGGAACTCAAGAGCAGAGTATGAGTTAGTCACCACAATATCAAACAAGCAGGCAGACAGGCAAACGCATTCCAAAGGCATTGCAAACGCATTTCACTCACCACTCACCGCTCACTTGCTTCATCTGATCTCTTATGATCAACTGGCGCTCCATCTTCTCACTGATTCACTGCCATGTCCACTTCGACAAACGGAATCTTGCAACTCCTCAGTTCCACAACACCTGCATGTCACATCCGTTTGTACAGCTGGGTACAATACGTCTGTTCACGCATCTCAGCTCATCGTGCTTCTCAACGCCCGCAAGTTCCCACTCCTTCTAGCTTCCTAAGCGCCAAGGATCGTCTCCAAAGGGTCTTTCTGCAAGAGGAACAGAGATCTCACATTCTAGAGTCGGCCCATAGAATAAACATTACCCAAGCGAGTGAGATGATACTACTACTAGCACCATTCAGATCTTCGTGTGTTGGATTGCCCCTCCCCTCTTCCCCCGGCCGCAATATGTACCTGCATGCTAGTACCCAAGCATGGGGAGAATGGGACGTGTGTACTGAGTTGGGTAAGACTGAGTTGCGGTGCAGTCCAAGTAAAGGTAAGGCGAGACAGCTCAACAGCGACGTGCCCCACAGAGGTCGCAGCTGTTAGCAGAGTACAAGTTGCTGTCTGTATAATACGGTGATGCACTCTCAACTCTCTCCCTCAAATAGTAAAAAGTACAAGTTGAAGGACCCGAGTACTTCAACCAATCCTCATTGCCTCGTTGAATCCTTCGACTGTCGAGAACCCGGCGAGTTCCCTACTAACAGCTGCGATCCCTGTAGGGGTGTAGTTCAAAACGTAGGGTTGGATCTGCACGCCTACCGCATAGGAGCGTTTGTACATAGAGCAAAAAGACAGCAGTAGTACGTAGCAGCATGTACCATTACTGCCAAATGTCAGTACGACAGTACATCCTCGCAGAGTCGCAGCGTCGCAGAGTGCGGAAGTTACCGGTGGTGGCCCCCCCGGATAATTCACGAGTCATGGCTTGACATGATGTAGCATCCGCCACCTGCCCCCATGCAACCGCGCGCATTTGTGACAGTTGACTGTAAAAACTGCAAGTATCTTGACTCGAAAGAATTTGTGGGGAGAAACCTTATTTCCTTTGTTTTATGTGGAACGGATATTCCCGAGTGTTTCCATCGCGATCAACACGTCGTGATCAACACCTTGCTCAATGACGTCCCCCTTCAACCCAACCTTGTTGTTATCGTGGCAACCCTAAAATAACGGGATCAATTTAGGAAATCCTTTCGTAGTTTAGAGAGTTTGCTTGTTGCGCCTGTTCCGGTGGCAAATTCCATCTTGCAGTTGAGTGGTTTGTTGGAAGTGACTTGTACCTTTGTCTTATATGGAACGGACATAACCGAGGATCGTTTTTTCATCACTTATCAACATCTAGCTCCATGACGTCTCTTTGAATCGACCCTGTTATGCCAGACCAATGCATTGCTGCAGCAACCCTGGAATAATAAGATGAATCGAAAAGTACTGCCGTCTTGTTCAATGTATCTTTGTTTGCGGCAAGTTCCTTCTAGTTAAGCGGGCTGTGTGAAGTTGGTTGGTCTGCATGTTCCCTCTTGGCACCCGATCCTAATAGAGGTCTGGTTTGTCCCTAAAGAGTTCAGCTGTGGGTATGTTGCCAGCTTTTTAATGACAACAAGCGGGTTTACTCACTTAAGAGGTATGCATTTTGGCGAAGCTGTTTGGCCCTGTAAGTCCACCTATTGTGTCATTTGAGTTAGCATCTCAACAACAGCGACAACACATTCGCCAACTCAGTATCACTGCGAGGTAAATATAAAAAAAGAAAACGGCAAACAATTTCTCGGCATGATATTTTCTTAGCCTCGAAAAAAGAGGTACGCCGCCTGATATAGATTAATCTGGCACTAGTCATTCCCTCCAATTGAGAAACCCAATTGTAGTAGCGCAGTCGCAGCTACGATGATGATCTCTGAAAACTCCCATAAAGACAAAGAAATTAAAAAATAAGCCCAGTCATGGACAAGGCACGGGTGACGAGAGCGAAAGCACAGTGTCAGTCCCAGCCTAGCCCGTGCATCCTATCATCAAAAGCCAACAGTTGACTAAATGTCATCCTCAAGAAATTTGTAAGCAAATTTAAAATCAGCCTTTCTTCGGTTCATCCTATAGTGGGTAAAGGTTAGTAAGTAGGATTATATAATGCTGTTTACATAATGAAGGCAATCGTTCTTACCATGTGCTCTCGTAGTCAAAAAACCGGTAGGTGCCTTGCTCGAATTCCTCTGTAATATTCTTAGGCTCTTCGTGCCGCTGGAACCACGTTTGGTACTGCTTATGGAACCGCCAGCTTTGATCTTTCAGTGCCTTGGCAGCCAAATACTGCTGCGCGGTTCCTTGCTTGTAGTAAAAAACGTAAAACAGAGTGTCGGGATCTATCCTCGAGTACAGCCGGGGGTCATCGAATATGGGCAGCGGCTGGGTGGGGAACCCAGAGCCAGTCTGCGGCACAGGCATATCGGGACGGTATGTTCGCGGGACGTCGGCTTCAAAGGCGCTAGGGTAGCTCAGCTGGCTCGCCTTCATCAAGCTCAGGGTTGAAGGTGATAATGGCTGATACGGGCGTTTTCGTGATGTCTCATACGACTCAACGAGATCCTGTAAAGACGCAGGGAGGTGGTAGATGGACTCCTCTTCAGTCTCTTCCGTGGCAGACTTGACACCATTGGTGGACCCATTCGCTGGGGCTGCTTTGTTTGGAAGGGGTCAGATGTTAGCTAGAGAATACACATGAAAACATCCACAAGGCACTCTCGTTGACCACTTACCAGCTGGTGGCTCAGACGGCGGTACTTCGGATACTGTCGGCTGTTTCCCTGATGCTTTAGATTTCTTTGCCGCTTTCGTACTTGGCGTCGGCTCGGCGTTCTCTACAGGTGCAGGTGCAGGTGGCGCGGGCGCAGGCGTAGAAGTAGATGCGGGTGCGACAATTGGTGTAGCTTGCTTGGGTTCGGGTGCCTGAGCTGGCTGAACAAATGAGACAGCCGGGGAATTCGTTGCGCTCGTCTTGAGCTGCGCGGGCGGTAATGGCGAGATGCCGGCAGCAATTCCTGGTGGCGGCGGCAGAGGAGCAATGCCGACGTTGTTCTTGTCTGCGGCCGCGGCTGCGGCCGCGGCAGACGCATACTTGAGTCCCTCTCCCGCCGGCCTCGTAGGAATAGAAGCAGGCTTCATGGCAGGGCTACCGCTACCCCCGGTACCTATTGCCGATAGCGGAGTATGCAGCGTTGCCAGCGCCGGTAAGGGTGATTTGGACTGCGCGGATTTCGTTCGCGTTGACGTGGTGGAGTCGGAATCTTTGGTGGGTTTCCTTGGTTTGACTGGCAGTTCGAGATCATGGGTGTCGTCTTGTATGGACTGGGTATCCTGAGATGAGTTCTTCTCGTTATCCTGGTTCATGCCAAAGACGCCTTCTTCCTCCTCGAGGTCTAGGTCGTCGTATATTTCATCGTCGTCCATGTAGTCCTCGTTCATGCCATCAGACACGTAGTAGCGGATTTGTTCCTCTAGGAGGGTGACTTCGTCGGTATCGATGCCTCCATTCTCGAGCGTCCTTCGAATCAGCTCCAATTTGCCCTGATGCCACTTGTGCTTTTCGATTATCCGGTCGATCTCAGCCATGCGGTTCTCCTGGACGATCTTGTTCTTCCCCTTCTTCATCGTAGCTTGTATAGACTCGTTTTCGGCTTCTAGGGTCTCGATCTGCAGCTCTAGCTCGTCAACCATACTATTCAAAAAGTCACAGGCCTCGACTTTGGCCTGCTCTTTGGGATCTAGTTTCGCTGCGGCTGAGAGGCCAGCTTGGGAGTATGCTTTCGTCTTCATGGCCTTTTCCACGGCCTTGAACTTTTCCATTTGCTAAAAGTCGGAGAAAAGGGTACATCAGCATGCGACTCTATATTAGGTATGCATCAATACCCAACGTTACTGGGGCCCACCAACAGTCTCAATCAGTTTGCGATGCTCCAATAAGGGAGCCTTGTCCTTGATGTCGTTGCTGGCGGCCCATGTCTTGATCTGGTCGCGCAGTCTTTGCAGCTTCTTGATCTCGCGCTTGAGGTTGTCTTCCTGCTTCTCCTTTTGGGCCGGGTTATTTGACTGCTCAATCTTTTCGTAGATGGCCTCGAACTCGGCGACGCCTTCCGCCACCTTCTTGAAGCACTTGTCGACTTCTTGTTGTAGTTTCCTCGCCGCCATTTTGTCGGTAGAGGAGGGGAGAAAAGCCCAAACGGCGTCCTTTCCGGTTGTTCTTGTGAGATTCGGTCGCTAACAGAGGTGCTGGAGTTGGGATGATGCTTGCACAAAGGGTGCAATCAGATTTCGCCCGTGGCTTGATCCGTTTTCGTGGGGCAGCCTTTGTGACCGAAGGCTGCAGATGCGGGCGAGGCTCGGCTTCGACCACGTGATGGACGCAGAGCTGTCGTGCACAGCAAAAAGAGGCGGCAGAGACGGTCGTATCAGGATCAACTCCAAGGCGCTGACCGGGGGTGTTTGTGGCGATATTCAGCAGGATCGAGCCGTTGAGGCAATGGACGTGCGAGATTGAAGTTGGTGAGGCCAGGTCGCGAGGCTGCACCGAGCTAACAGAAGCACGGTACTTGGTGCTGTGCGATGATTAACCGAGAGAGCGGGAAATTGTGCGCATCTCGATGATAAAGTTCTAAAAAACCCGTAAAGTACGAGAAATGCGCGATATTATTACAATTGACTTTTTTCTTTGCTTCCATTTACATACTTTAAGTCAATTAATGCGTCCTCTTTGGACAGCTTTGGCTATCAAAAGGTACCTGTGCAAGGTGGGATGTCTGATAAGTGGCTACTAAGTCTCTCACATGACACAGACTTTGCATGCGCGATTCATAGCACTTTTAGATTGATTGGATTGCCGTTCTCTTTGAGGCTGCCGGTCTCGGTACAAAGATTCCCTTTGTCGTCTTATCTGATTTATTTTCTCCCTCGCTTTAGTTTCAGTGGGCTGGCAGCAGGGCTGTTGGAACAAGGACTGTCTTTCTTCCTTTATCATCTCTAATCATTTCATTCTTGGTGGAACAAGTGCCGGCTACGAGTTGCTCACAATGAAGGGTAGGCCAAACTTCCTACCCTCTATCGCCCCCCTTTCATGCTGCTATTGAGGGCTTTTTATATACGCAATATTACAATAGTGTGGCAATAAGATCTAATATGTTCTTCTTGATGAAGCAATCATTCAGCGTGTGCGTTCTGCATCCGTGACGGTGGAGAAGCAGCTGGTGTCGTCCATTGGCCGTGGAGTGTTGGTATTTGCGGCCGTTGCGCCGGGAGACACAGCAAAAGAAGCCGACTCATTAGCGACCAAGGTTGTCAGGATGAAACTCTGGGACGACGAAGACGGGGGCCGGGTAAGTGAAGCTTTTTGCCCAGGCTGTGAGACACCTGCTGATTATTTGATTGGTGGTGATAGTGGCAAAGAAGTGTCACAGACATTGAGGGCGAGGTGCTCTGTGGTAAGCAGCAATACGTATTTCTTACAGAAACAGAAGAACAGAAAGCTCATGTGATTACTAGTATCCCAATTCACTCTGCTGGCAAAGACCAAAAAGGGCACCAGGCCCGATTTCCATGGCGCAGCAAACCCCGAACAAGCAAGGCAGCTGTATCACTACTTTGTCCAGAAGGTAAAGGACCTCTACTTGGCAGATCGAGTCAAGGATGGCAAGTTTCAGGCTATGATGGAAGTTGCTCTTGTCAACGATGGGCCGGTATGTCATATTTATTCGAGACTTTTGTCACGCCAAAAGTGTGCTGATGCATTACACAGGTTACTTTGGAGCTCCAGGCTGGAGCTCCCGTGTCTGAGCGGTAGAGGCCGAGTGACGCAGACGATGAGAATACGATGCGACGCATAGAGCGAATAGAACTGGTGGAATTGATGTATAGAAACAGCCATAGATTTATTTACACTTTAGCAACCCCGGTCTCCAATAAGCCTCATTCCGGGTAACCAATCGCAGACGGTACTTGACTGAGTATTGGCAAGGAGCGATTAGATGGGTAGATACTTGTGATTCTTTCAGAACAAGAACAAACAAGAAAAACAGCCCCGTAATCAGACTGTTGTCATTACCATGGTGCTATCTATCCATCTTTAGACATGGTTGTTTGTGTTACTGAATGGCATGCCTCCGTAGCATTCATGTTGCAAATAGATGGCGCCAGTACGGCACTGCACGCAAGGCATACATGATGTGTACATGCACCCCAACGCAAATGCGTGACAGCGTTCATCATGCGCTGCGGCCCAGCGCCGTCTGCTAGAAACTTCTACAGCGCCGGGGTCCTGGCCACTAACAGCCCTGAAGCTGGATCCACTGCAGAGCTCGAGTGCCTGCAATCTCCAAAAAAAGAACAAGAATGGAGGGGCAAAATTGCCGATGGAGGGGCAGCCAGAGAAACTGATGTCAGCTCGAATCGAATGTTGCGAATGATCAAGTTGGGCTGAGAGGCTCGGCATCAGCCCAAGCACGGCCGCCTGGATGAATTGATGGCTTGAATATTCCAATTCCATTCCTGCTCTGTAGTACAAGATTGACATCCGTCACTAAAGATAGCCTGTGGCTGTCACTGTATCATCTGCCTAGGCATCCAGCATCAGGTCTTGATTAGGTCATTCACAGCTATCAGCAGCTGCGTAACAGCTCTCGACTGCTTCTCCTCGTTCCACCTGATTCTCTTCCTCTTCCTCATTTCTTTTTTCCTTCAATCTTTCTTCCCTCGGTTTAGTCTCCCTCTCTTTGTCTTTGTCCTCCCTTCTCCAGCTCAGATACAGAGAGTCAAAGCTTTGGCTCTCCATCGCTAGCTTGACCCCGCATCACTGTATCTAGAGAACCGGAAGGAATCTTCGCAGCCTTCTTTCGGCCAGGCACGACTCGCCATCTTTTAGGCATCGCAAACTCACCCTCCACTTCCCTCTTCCTCATTACCTCTTTATTATTCTCCAGAGAATCAATTGGCCCTCTTCGCCACCCGTCGCTCTCCCGCCAACTTATTCTCTCTCTTCCTTCTCCACGACATCACCATCATGGCTTCTGAAACCGAGACCAAGGCCACACGGCCGCGCGTCTTCTTCGACATCACTCTGGGCGGCAAGCCTCTTGGCCGCATCAACATGGAGCTGTACTCTGACCTTGTCCCCAAGACAGTCGAGAACTTCCGTGCTCTTTGCACTGGCGAGAAGGGCCTGGGCAAGTCTGGCAAGCCTCTGCACTACAAGGGCTCTTCTTTCCACCGAGTGATCAAGCAGTTTATGATTCAGGTCCGTACATGGCTATGATCGGGTGAAACTAATTTCAGTGCTGACATCGATTGATACAGGGCGGTGATTTCACAGCTGGAGACGGCACTGGCGGCGAGTCCATTTACGGAGCCAAATTCGAGGACGAGGCTTTCCCCAAGAAGCACGAGAAGCCATTCCTTCTGTCCATGGCAAACGCTGGTCCCAGTATGTCATGCTCTCTTGAACCTCCTCCAACCTCTCCCCTAAACTGTGGCTAACTCGTGCATGCTTCTAGACACCAACGGCTCCCAATTCTTCATCACCACTGTCCCCACGCCGCATCTGGACGGTAAGCACGTGGTCTTTGGTGAAGTCCTCAACGGCAAATCCGTTGTCCGCCAGATCGAAAACGTCCGCACCGAGGCCGGCGACCGACCCTCGAAAGAAGCCATCATTGCCGACTGTGGCGAGCTCTCCGGAGACGAAGCCCTCAGCGCTGATGTCAAGCAGCCCGACGCCCTCGGCGACCCCCACGAAGACTTCCCCGAGGACTGCTCTACGCCTCCCGACGCCCCGACCACCTACAAGATTGCCTCGGACTGCAAAGATTTCGGTAACAAGGCGTTCAAGGCGGGTAATCTTACCCTTGGTCTCGAAAAGTACGAAAAGGGTCTGCGATACATCAACGAGGAGCCGGAACTGGACGGCTGGCCTGAAGGCAAGGTCAAGCTCGATGCCCTGCGCTTCTCTCTCAACAACAACTCTGCTCTCCTACACATCAAGCTGGAGGCCTGGGCCGATGCTGCCCGCAGCGCCACCGCCGCTCTCGCCGTCGGCGGCATTGGCCCTGCAGACCGCGCAAAGGCTTTCTACCGACGTGGCTTCGCGAACGTGCGCCAAAAAGACGAGGAAGGGGCCTTGGAAGATCTTGAAACGGCGCACAAGCTTGCACCCACTGATCCTGCTGTCATCCATGAGCTGAATACCGTGCGAACTAAGGCCGCTGCTCGGGCAGCCAAGGAGAAGGCTGCGTACAAGAAGTTTTTCCAGTAACTGAAAGGCGAAGAGTGTAAAATGAAAGTGAAAAGAAGAATATAAAAAAAATCAAGGAAATCAACCACGGAAGCTTGCAAGATTGTTGCGATGAAGAGAGAAAAGTCTCGAAAGTTTTACTAAAGCATGGGAGGCGTAAAGGTTAGAAGAATCAGGCACGGATTCGTGGAAGGGGAAGATACCACAATAGTCGAGTCAAGAACAAAAAGGTTCAACGAAAAAAAGTATCTCAACATCAAATAAAGCACATATATTTGTAAACATCTACCACTGCGTAAAGGTGATGAAGCAAGCTCTTATTCTAATCGGTAAGAAGCAAAAGTATATGTAATGATTGCCCATGTAAATCGGAATAAAAAGGGGAACTAAAGCCAAGTTTTAATGCACATACAACGGAATGCTGCTGTTTATTACACAACCATTAACACACTCACGTATAAACACACACATACAGACGCATATTCATAATATACTTTTTTCTCTACAATCTCACGCAGAGAGACTTTTTCACCCAACGATTATTTCTTTTCGTCTTGTATATCATGAACGCAAAGGGTAGGGAAAATGGAGAAAATCAAGAGAAAAAGAGACCGAGACCGAGAAGATACAATAACAGCGAGAGTCAAAAGTGAGACCAAAAAGAAAATGGTTTTTATTCTTCTTTTTTTCCCTTCTTCTTTCCCTCCCCAACCTATATATATAAATATATATATATATAATATACATCTACTCATGCCGCACATTACTATCAATGACAATGCAAAAAGCGATGAATACCAACTTTCCCCTTCCCCTTTCCTTCCTCTTCCACCGCTCCAACTACATAACTCAGGGGGAATACAAGAAAAAAAAAAGAAGAGAGAAGGGGCGGAATCAAAGAGAGAGAAAAAAAAGTGTTTTCACCAGTGGGGGGAATGTATGCATGCATGTTGATGTTGTCAAGTAACGTATATATAAAGAAAACGAGAGAAAGAGAGAGATGGCCTCCTGTGATATAAAGTTTCCCCATATCAATCCTTAAGGGGAGGGGAAAAAACGACAATCTGTTTTGGAAAGAAGAAAACGGGAGATGAAAAAAAGAAGGAGACGAAAAAAAAGTAATGACTAAAAAAAAAAAAAAAGAGCGTAACGAAAGACGAGGGGAGTAAAAGCTTTCGCCAGCTTTCTCCATGCAAAGAGCCCTTAATTCCCAACACCATTTTGTATATCCAACCGGAAGACGTCTAGAAAAAAATGACAAGAGCTAAGTGATAAAATAGTCTGACAAAAAGTGCAAAAAGAAGAGAGGAGTTCCAAATCTACTTGTAAAAAAGATGGAATCTTTTACTCTCTCTCCTTCAGGTGACTGGCAGCTGGTTGATATCCCCACGTCCAAGTCATGGTATGTGTATATACGTATGTATACATCCGAAGAAAAGAAAAGAAAATATGATGGGAAAAAGAAAGGGAAAAAAGTAAAGGCTTTTTTTATCGTTGCCCCTTTGTGTCTGGACTCTCAGATCTTACACCGCCAATTTTCATGAGGCCGCTTAAAAGAGTCCTGCCGACTTTTCCATTCTTCTGCTTCGCATTTCCGCTGGCTGAACCACTCGAGTTTCGGGGGCTGTTGCCCTTTTTCGTGTCTGCGTCATCCCTTCCGCGCTTCAATTCTTTGCTGCGTCTTTTCGAGCTTAAGTCGCCGCCTCCATCGCTGCTGGAGCTTCCGGGAGCTTGCTCGTAGCTACTAGGCTTAGAAGCTGGACTTCCAACGTAATACGGGTGATATGGTCCGGTAAAGTTGACTTGTTCCAAGATTTCTGCTAGTTGCTCAGGAGACATGTACGACGGAGTCTCCTTGTTTCGGAAATCAACCACCTTGGCAAGGCATGAATCGGCGCGTTTTTGTAGCCCAAAGCACAGGTCGTTGAATATCAGCAACTCGCCATCGACTTGTGCTTGTTTGACATCGATAGGCCGCGAATCCACCCATAGTTTGACGAGACTCGCGAAGCCTCGAGCTTGGTCAATCAAGTATGGCAAGCTGGGGAATCCTTCTTTCGCTGTAGGCCCCAGTCGATTCAGTATAGTGACAGGCGTGATGTAGCTGGGAGGCAAGGTCTTGCCGCCTCGATCAGCCGGAATACCACAGACTTGGTCGATGAAGCCTCGGAAGGTTGGCCGCTGTTGGGTCAAGAAACGGTTCATCGGCTCCATATACTCTTCTCGTTTCCCAAACGTCGACAAGTTTGACAGCTTTTGTAATGCCTTTGCAATGAGTGTCAATGTACGCTGTGCTTGCGGTCTAGGATGGTCTCGTAATAGCCCAAATAGTTTCGGAGAAAGGATGGCAGGGCATATAAATCGTAAGAAGAGGAAGCCCGATATGGAAGTGTAGCTGACGGTGCGGAGAAAGTCACCATAGCGGTCATCTGCCACAGCGCGAATATACTTCAAAACGTGCCTCAGCTCTGCCGGTAATCTTTCCGCCGAGTCTGCAATGCACAGCCATATTTCTGTTGTGAGATGGATTAGACGGCCCCAGTGTTGATCCAAGTCTCCTCCAGTTTGCATCAGCCTGCTCGGATCTACTTCGCAGTCCGGGTTTAATTCGTTAATCTCGTTGATTTTATCTTGTAGAATCTCTTCCAGGTACTCCTTGCCCAAGCGGCGCATATGGAATTCGAGAGACTGTGTTAGTAGTGAGTTGCCTCGGAACAAGAGGTTGGCCTCTCCTGCCAACGTCCTGTGGATGTCGCGAACCATCAACTCTCGCTCGTTTGAAGACTCCATGGACTCGCTAGATTTTAGCCTATTGCTAAATCGGTACTTTTTGATCGATGTCTGGTTTCCTATCCCGTCAATCTCGTCTTCGACCAAGGCCATCAGCCAGTCGCTTGCGGAACCGGAAGCCTGAAAGATGTTGAGGAACAACTCTGACAGTGTGCGTAGTTGGCCTGGGAGAGAAGCAGAGATGAGAGTGGTCAGACCCGAAGGGAAACGGTGCAAAATCTCAGACAGCGGCTCGTATTCTTTCGATAGCAAGGCGATGTGCTCTTCGTGGAAGACCTTGATTAGCATCGACCCGATATTCTGCTGCCTATCATCCAGAATGGGCTGCCAGCTTTCCTGCCCCTGGCCTCTCTCTACATCGTCCAGGGCGATTCTCACGCTACCGCAAATAATCTCCTGGGCAGATATCGATTTTGAGTAGCCGTCAGAGCCACAATCAACTCGTTTTAGTATAATGGAAAGATCTTGCACCACCGCGGGTAGATCGTTGAACTCGCAGTCCTCTCTCCAGAACGGATTTTTCGTGTCCTTTTTGGTAGTCGTCCTGGCCCTGACCTCGCCATCCAGAATCACTTCTGCCAGGTAGCTGCCGACCAGAGGGTCCGGGCCCATTCTGCCACATTTCTCTGGAGAGAACCACTCTACTCCGGCCGGGTTGGCCTTGATCTTGGCCTCTACAACTCTGACCCTGATAATCTTTTCCATGCGGAAAACTTCGCCGGGTTGATCTTTTTCAATGTCAACCACGTCTTGAATCTCATCTGCTTCTGTTTGCGGGTCGTCCAGGGCGAAGATGTCGGGGACGGCAAAAGTTCGAAGCAGCGCAAACCACACTTCAAAGTCGATACGGCTGTCCACGGCCAGATAGACGGGTCGGTAGACGGATATGTGAGATGCTGTAGAGGCGTAGATGGGGAAGATGGCAATGCAGTATTCTTCTTCTAAAACGGAACGGTCGAGGCCCTGGATGGCACACCGAGAAAGCTGAGATAGTTCAATGATGGATAGGACTGAAACATCGTTCTCCATGAGGAGCCTAAACTCGCCATTATCTTGTAAAACGCAGGAAACTCTTCTCCAAAACATGGAAGGATGCATGTGATCGCGCGTCGAGGACCGCTGGACGACGGCACGAGCTGACCTGGCTGGGCCCTTGTCCCAAAGCATAAATTTGCCTACTTTGATGATGTTTGTGGCCTTTGGAGTATCGCCCGATCTGGCGCGCTGTCTCATCTCGGGGCGAATGGGCCCGGCGGGGCTGGTCGGCTTGCCGTTGGGTACCTTGAGGTTGAGAGGCGCGAGCTGCTGCCAGCACAAGAGCGCCGCGAGCCACAGCTCCAGCTCCTCCGTCGTGACGGGCCTGATCAAGAGCTCCAATCCAGGTTCGCTGGGGACAATCTCCAGGCTTTCCCTCTCCGCATCGGGGTAGCCAGTAACGTGGACTCTGCAGCCTCGCAAGTCTGAGACGAGAGGTATATGGAACGACGCATTTTGGCCAGAGTGACCCAGTCCAAACATGAGGGTGCCTTTCTCTACGTCGATGTATGCCATTCCCGTGTGCCATGTTCCCCGGTACTCGCCCTGGTATTCGAGCTCGCCACGCATCCGGCCGCCCAGAGCCTTCATCAGCACCACCAAGCGGTTTGCATCGTCAGTCGGGATGGGGTACGGGAGGGAGTCGATAGAAGGCGCCGGGGCGACCAGCGGCGAAGTCGGACGAGAGGGCTGCCGTTTTAGAAGCCGCCTATTGTGATGGTGGTGGTGGGAGGAGGATTTGCCGCTCTTGTCCTTTGAGGTTGGCGTCGTGATTTCAGGCACTCTAACGGCGGGTATCGTCGAGTAGTTGGCAGGGTCGGAACTTGGCGTCAACGTTTTCTGATCGTCGACGGTGAGCTGCGACCCCGACGAGACGCTGCTCACTCTGTGTCGAAACTCGGTGGCGGAAGAGCCAGAGCCTCGGGGCCCTAGCATCGAGGCGTCCATTGTGCGCGTCCTGGGCCGTATCGCGGTTGCATTTCTCTGCTGGTGCGTCGCGGGGCTGGAGTCTGTGCCATCCGAAGAGTCGCAAACAGTATCGCTGAAGACTACGCCTTGGCGACGACCAAGGCTCCCGGGGACAGACCTAGGCGAGCCCTGCTGAGAGCCAATGCCGCGGGATGGGTGGGCCATGATTGAATCAGAAAGCGCAGCGCTCACAGCACCACCATGACCTTGGAGGAGGTCAGGTGTGAGGGAGCGACCAGGTCTCGGGCTGGCATTGACCCTAAATGAAGACCTGAGATTCGAAGCGCTGAGACGCTCCAAGTTGTGCCGGTGGATTTGGAGAGGGGGCGAGCCGCCGCCGGTCTGGGGCTGCTGGTTCTGCATCTGGCCCTGGTGCTGCCGACTGTGGGCTAGGCTCTGATCCCGGGCCTGTCGATGCTGGTGCTGCCGCTGCGGCAGGGCCTGTTGGTCTTCGCTATCGCTACCGCTCTCCTGCAGGCGGGTTGCATATCCATCCATGACTGGCGGTGACATGCTCATGCCATTGCTCGACGCTATGCGGACGACTCGAGTGCTGCATCGAACGTCGCCGCTGATGCTGGCGCTGCGTCTGCTGCAGCGGCTACTGGAACCCGGACCAAGGTACTCGTGGTATCGTGCTTGGAGGTATGATACTCGCGGGAGTGTTACTAGATACGAAATATATCACTGATGCTAGCGTTGGTGTTGGTGTTGTGGCTGCTCTGCTCTGCTCTGCTCTGCTTGTTTCTGTTCCCTCTGCTTCGTTCTTCTCTCTGTTCTTCTCTTCTTCTTCCCTTGCCTTCTTGCTTCTGCAGCGACTTCGGTGATGTCCCTCTGGCGGAGGCGACGGATTGCTTGATAGGTAGTCGAGTCCGAACGGCCGCTGCGCCGGTATCAGTGGCATTTGTCAAAACCCTTCCAAGTGCCTGAATATCTTGCCGTTCAAGGCTCTAGCAGCGACGATGCTGCCGCTGCCGTGCTCGTAGCGGGGTTCACGACTTGTTCGCGGCGCTACCTGGGGCTAAGGACTGTGCTCCGTAGATGGGTGGAGGCACAATGGGGATGCGACAGGGTTGCGAATAGGTGCTAGTCGAGGATTGTGCTCTGGACAGACCCAATTCGGCGGAGCGGGAGATGGGCGTGCGACGGGCGAAGCGCTGGGAATTGATCTTATCTCAATGCGCTCCCACGAGAGCCTTTCCCCCACGAAAGAGGGCAGAGTTTGCGTGTGAAGGAGGCAGCGTTGGCAGCGCCGGACTGCCCTGGCCCTGGCTTGCAGTGCAGTGCAGTGCAGTGCGTCTCGCTCTCCTCGGCAAGCCCCCAAGACTGATCTGATGCTGCGTGCTCGCGTGGTTTGTAAGGAATAGTCAGGTTAGTAAGGCGCCGCGCTTCTCTGTCCCTGGCAGCACCGGCAGCACCTAGGCCGAGTACCTGCGTGCCGTGTGTGCTGTGCTTACAGTCGTCGAGGTGCGGCTGGGGAATAGAGTTCCAGCCAAAGGCCGCCGGAGGCTTCTGGGAAGGGCCTTGACGTCGTGTGCGCTTGCTAGTGGTCTGTCCCTCAGCAACTCTGTTCTCATACCTGCAGCGGATATCCACAGCGGACACAGGCGCAAGCCAAAGTCCAGAGGCGAGCGGGGACCCCTTGGGGCTGTCTAGTCCCAGAGCGAAGCGTTAGGATGGTAAGGATGGTTAGGACGGTTAGGATGTGCTGCGGTGTCGATCAGGACGGAGCCCACGCCTAGCAGCCCTGGCCAGTTGCCTGAGCCCGTGACTGAGGGTCCGGGATATGGCACCAGAGCGGTGGGAATGGGTGAATGGGTTTCTGGGCGGTGGACGACTCTGGAGCAGGATGGGATCCTGTTCGGCCGGACAAATGGGACTGGCGAGATGGAGATTTGCTCCGCAGCCTTGGCCGAATCAGCCGTCGTGGGCTGCCGTATCCGCTCTGCAGAGGCCTTGGCCCTGGCGAGCACCAAAGAGGATCGAGGAGCTGACGAGACGATAATGCGGCTCGCTTTACTGATAGGCAGGAAGGTGCTCGACGTCTTTTTTTCGTTTCTTCTCGCGGCAGATGCTCCAGATGGGTGTGCCTGATGTCGTGTTCCTGGATGCCTGGCTCGCTGGGCGGTCAGCTTTTCGGGGAATTTCCTGGTGCTCGCCCCCAGTGACTCCGATTGCTTCTCGAAAGCCGGGCCTTGCGTGCCTTTTTCTTCTTGCTCCCCAATAGCCGCTACCGGCCGGGCTTCTGACACCGTTCTGGCAGGTCAGAGACAGGGCACAGACTAGCAGTAGGTGAGAGGCAAAGGCGCCCCAGACAGGTGGATGGATCGGGTTGACAGGCAGAAAGATGATGGACGGATGAAGCTTAAACAGATGCTTTCGCCACCTGGTGGGAGTTGGAAGGATGAGAACATGAACAGAGAAAAGGAAGGGGGGCTGTAATACCGGCAAGGGAAAAAAAAGAGTAAGCAGAAGGATCGGTGCTCAACCACGGCTCTTTCAAATGTCTCTGCCCCCCCTGGACGAAGCATGAACATGCAATCAAGGCAATCAGACGCCTCCTACTCATGCCGAGCCTCGCAACTAACACAATTGGATGCTACGAAATACCGATACATGTATTTTTAGGCTGCGGGCTGTGGAGGACAAGGCAGCCCTGAAGGGTATCACCCGGGTCCAGAGCCTCCCTGCCGTGCTCAGCAGCTGGAACTCGTATCGCAGCGAGCATCAGACCGCTGTAACGGCGAACGATTTGTTGTGTCACTCTCATTTGTCCAGGTGGTGACTCCAAGAAGAGAGTGAGCTGCAATCTACCTGTACAATCTCCATGCTGCGAATCTATTTTAGACTGAGGCTCTCATGCTTGACAATGGCCAAGTGGGCAATTCGTGCAAGGCTAGCTGGGGCCCTGGGTGCTCTGCGCCGTCTACTCAGATTTTCTGCCAGGGCCAGAGAGCCTAGCGGCTGATAATGATGACGATGATGATGATTGACAATGGCGAGTGAGCAGCTCGTGTACGAGTCTCGACGGAGCTTCGTGCTACATGGTCCTGCTCCTACCGTAGTGGCAGCTTCGTCTTACATGCGCCCAGCCAGCCTTGGGTCCTCCCACATGACGCCCTGCTTAAACCGCCGCACCGACGCACCGGAAACCGGCTGGAAGCCAGAAGCATGCACAGAAGACGTGCCAGCAGGCTCTAGAAAAGTCTCAGCGAGCTGCCGTGTCAGTAAGCCCATCAGCACCACGTCCCGTTTGCTGGCTAGTGGCGTCGTTGTGGAGCGTCGAGACAAGACATGGATCAGCATCAACGCATGGGCGTGACTCCAGATGCTTCTGGCACCGGCTGATATCCACTTGTTGGCGCTCAAGCAAACGTCATGCCAGCTATAAAAAAAAACAGATTTGGTGAAAAAACCAGTTGGTAGAGAGACGAGGAGGCTAGAAGACTATGGAGGTAAGCAGTGGTGCGTCATGCAATATCCCTGGCCTTTTGATACCTTCATTAGAGACACACAGGGACAGGCAGGCAATGAATCAGGGACGCAGAGCGGGAAAAGAAGAAAAAAAAGATGAGCACCGCCAAAAGCGGTGAGCGAGCTATTCTCGAACCTGGAGTCGCAACTCCATACTTGCATGTACAAGCCCCTCATCGGTGAGCTCTCGTGAGAGAACCATCAGCGTGGATCTGAGCGTCCCAGGGATCATATCAGAGACCCCGGTTGCGGGCACCTGCGTGCTTCTTTGGCATGATACACGCGTCCCAAAAAAAAAAAAAAAAGTAGAAAAAAACCACATCAGCACTGCTCTGTACATATAGAGTACATACGTACAGGCAATAAACGTCAAGCCAGGACAGGGTCCCAAGAGCCGGCACTCACTCGCAGGGCCTCCACTGTACATTCACAGAAAAGCCACCCCCACAAAATTGCTAGCCCAGCAGGGGTCCGACGATTTTTTTCTTTCTTGGGAGGGCTTCCTCCGTGGCCCAGGCTGAATATGGCCTGGTCCGCGCCGGAGGCTACGAGGCCTGTCCCTGGTAGCGGCGCCTTGGATCAGTCAGATGGTCGGTACGGATGGATGATTTTCTGCTCGATTAATATTATGCCATTATTGCTCTACGGGTATTATCCCATCGTTGACGCGGTAGACGACTGAAAAATAAAAAAGAGAGAGAGAGACAAAGGGAGAGCTATGGCAGCTCCACTGTCCAAAGACTTCATTACTAGGTAGCTGGTATAAGACGGCTTAGAAGACCACTGCGGCATATGGTACGGGAACTTTGATGATCCAGGCCCCCCCATTGCTTCCGCGTCCCTCATTATTTCGTGTTTGTAGGACAAGGACAGTCGCAAGATGAACCACTACTGCCTACTAGCAGTAATAATTCCCGCTGCGAGACATGCATGCGAGCCATCGTGCCACCGTTTTCGCCTACTGGGAAGCAAAAATTGATGTGCTACTGCGAATCACTCGGTACCGTAGCAGCATTTTTTTTTTTTTTTTAGTAACAAGTCAATAGACATGCCAGCCGCCAATTTAAAAAAAGAAATTCGAAAAAAAGAAATTACGACGCAGTGTGGCATGTAAGAGCATGCTCCTGGGTGGCATCATGTGCTTCATTTGTAATCTTTAAAGTTGAATAGACCAATACGACCTCACACCTCCTTGGGAGCTACTAACAAAAAAAAAACAAAAAAAAGCGTTCGTACATCCATTACACCCAAGCTAAGGTAGGACCACAAACTCAATTCGACTCGACGGATCTCCGGTCTCAGGGCTAGACCATGTTCCTGATTTTCTGAATTTAATAGTCTTTTTTTTTTTTTCATCCCTCTTTATTCAGCTCCCAAAATGGAACAGCCGAGAAAAAGTCTCAACTGCATCGTAGCATCGACCGCAAGGGTTCGTTTTATTAGGTTCTCACTTACTTTTCCCCCGAACTGATGATCAGAGACAATGTGAAAAGTGATGAGGCAACAATAAAAAAGGGGGAAAGAAGAGTAATCAGAATTTTGGTTTGTTCAATTGTTTCTTCCCCCCCTTCTTGTCATAAACTGATATGTCAATCGCTGTTTTCTTGAATTGATGCGTCGCTTTGACTTAAATTGGGTGTAACACTACACCAAATTACCTGTGCTTGAATTTAGGGGGTAAATGCATACAGTATGTCCAATCTGCTTCGCTACAGCTCAATGAAAAAAAGAATTGATCCCTTGAATAAAAAAGGACAAAGTTTTTACATCGCCTTCCATATCCATTCATAGCATATAGTAGACTAAATATATAATACCCACAACCACGAGAACAAAATCTCTAAATCTGAAACCACTCCGATACACGAGAGACCCCAGTCTCCAATCAGAGATGCTGCTTGAAGAAGGTACATTGAAACAGAAAAACATCACGCACAAGAAGAGCATAGCTTTTAATAAATCTGAAACAGGCATGCTCCAACATGCAAAGATTCTTGCTCGTAAATGGTATGCTATGCAACCTCATCTCTAATTTACAGTGTTATACTCCGCACTGCTTCTTTTCTCGAGATTAAAGCCTCGTCAGCCAATGCCAGGTACTCTAGTACCTGTAAAAGTATAACAAACCGCCAGCAAGTGTTTCCACAACAAATGGCCTAATCCAGGCACCTGCAGACACCCAGACGCATCCAACTGACTCTCACATTTCACAGGGAATATATACAAGTACCTGTATCATTCCATGCCAATTGCACAGTACAGTAAAAGCCACAAACTCCAGCCCGTCGTGGAACCCTCGGCACCGCAGTGAGATTTTGGCCAAAGGGGCAAACCTTGACTGGTATGCTTGTAATGACTCGAGGTATATGCGTGATAAACATAGTACAACAAACAACGACCTAGCAAGTAGGCTTCGTCGCTTGCCGCTGTGGATAGGTTGCGCCCTCGGCAACACCAACTTGCAGTATGCAGGAGAAGGGGAAAAAACCAAGCTGGAACATGGATCAATCGTTGTCTCGGCAATCCACTTGCTCGGCTGCAAGGTCCCGCTCGTGAGTATACGCGATTGTTCGGATCTCTTACTCTTTTCGTCAAGACGCCTCCTACAGTATGATCAAGATACCTCTTTATAAGTCAAGATGCCTTATATGACCAAGGCAGTGGTGTATGGGCAAAATATAATAGAAAGCAATTGAATCATTAGCTCGAGGCAATTGAGATATATATTCTTGCTCACTTCTCTTCATTCTTAGTATAAATCATTCCAGTAATCGACATATAAAACAAGTTGTCCACTCCCCCGGCACCAAGCTGGCCTTCAAAAAAAAAAAAAAAAAAAAAGAGAAGAAAAAAAAAGGTAATCAAAGTTCATCCCATAGCAGTCAATAGTCGTTTCTTCTTTTCTCGTTTCTGAAAATGACAGGAGCGACATCCTGTCCTCCTTAAGAGGAGGCAAAAAAAAAAAAAGTGCAAATCGAAAATCGAAAATCGAAAATAAGCAGAGACACCACATGGTCTCGGCCGAATTTAAAATCTCTTCAACTCCTAGCGTCCCTTAATTGTCCAAGTCTGATATCGCATGCTTGTAGCTAGCAATATCAAATCAAATAAAGTAAATGAAAAAAAGCCTACTTGTGTAAATCGACAAGAGGAATTAGACACGATAGAAGTAGAATCGGCAAAAAAGGTAAATTGTAAAATCGCAGTGTGAACACTCATGCTCACTTCGGGAATCTCCGTAAAATCACAAAAGCTATTTGTATGGGTTGCTTTTGTTTTCGTTCATCGCGAACCCACACTTTACACCGGGCTCTGAGGGTTGCTGCGAACGCTGCTGTTAAAGTCTCTGCTTCCACTGCGTTTCAGCGCCTGGCTCATCGTCTCGATATTCAACTCCCCCGGTGTCGTCAGAGTATAGTTTGCGCTGGAAGGGCTGCCAATCGGTTTTCGCGTCGGGCTCATGTCCAGGCCTTTTATACTGCCGGGGTTGCTCGTGGGTGGGCTGGTTCCAGGTCCCTGGCTGGAGACTGGCGATCGAATTGGTGACGGCGATCGGTTCATGGCCGATGCGGAAAGAGACGTAAGGCCAACAATGTGCATATTGTCTCGGGATGACATGGAAGGCAGATGGTGGCCAATGTGTTCTGCTTGGACGACATCGGCAAACGAGATGAAGGAGAGGCGTCTGACGTCGGCGGAATCGAGAGAGCCGTAGTTGGAGGCGCTATCAGCCGGGAATCCTATGCGGTTCGCAAACGAGGCGAGCTCTGAAGCCCAGTCACTTGGGCCCTGATCATACGGTGTGTGGCTGGCACTTGTGCCGGGGACAGCTACCGAGGCGGGCTGGTGGGAAGCGTGAGTGACAATCTCGACGCTGTCGGGGTCCAGCTTGTTGTTGGTGATGGCTTCTGACGCATCGTCCAGCACGGGAGGGATGTGGTTCTCGGTCTGGATGTGGCTTGGGATGGCTGGAGATGAGGACTTGAGGAGACTGTGGTCCTGCACATCACGTTCGAATATTTGCGACGTCGCCGGAGACGCTATTCTCGGAGAGCCGGAGAATGCACGGGTAGGAGAAGAAGGGGCAAATGGAGGCGAGGCGGCTGATCGCGCGGCAGAGCGCGTGGCGGCCGTTTTTGACGGCTCTTGGGAAGCATATGGGCTCCCTGTTCCAGGACCAGCCTTGGACTGAGCCTCCGCCTTCTTCTTGCCAAAGCCAAACAGGCCTCGCTTCTTGCCTTTGCTCTCCCGCTTGCTCTGCTCTGTCTGCCTGTCGGATGAGGCGCTGTCGATGGCCCGCGGCGTGGAGTCGCCGCCAATACTCCTCTCGTCGGCCATGGTGCTGCGTCGGTCGCCGGGAATGGCGGTGGGAGTGATTTGGGCTGGGGAGGCGAGGCTCATGGTGGAAGCGGGCGCGCAGCTGGAGTGGCTTGCTGCTGATAGGGCTGCTGCCGGCGTGATGGATGGACACGGGGTCGATGGCGATAAACAACGGGACTGCAAACTGGCTCAATGTCGTTGCATCTACCAGGCGCCGTCAATGTGTGGCAGACGCACGCAGACGCAGCGCAGACAAAAGGAGGGTCGGTGCTGCGATCGACAGGAGGGCGACGATGATCGGTGGAACAAAGAAGCAACGGAGAGAAGGACAGGACAGGACAGGACGGAGAGATGGAGACGGAGATGAGACGAGATGAGATGGAGCAGATGGAGGAGAGCAGAGGCAGCGCAAGAGGTTTTATCGACTCGCAGGACTCGCACGGCTAAGCGATCCAAGGGCCACCCATTCGTTCGCCGCTGCCCTGCTGAAGGAGGCAGAAACTCGACGGGGGTGGCGACCAATATTGGTGAAGCAGAAGCTGCTTCGCACGTCGTACCTGCTGGGGGGGCTGCCCAGATGACACGAGCGGGACCCGCTGGAGAGCGCGACAGAGGGAGCTTCTGGTGTGACAGGCGCCAAACCAGTGGTTTCTGGTGCCTTTTTTGGGGGGGCACTAATAAGGCTTGAAGACGGCGAGAGCTGGCGAAGAGACTGCGGTGCGTGTGATGCAGATGGGCGAGGATGTTGGCTTGGCTTGGCTTTTGAGGGTATAAAAAGAAGGCAGAATAGATTGTTGAGCCAGCGCTAGATGGCCGGTTGGATGCGGGCTGTAAGTGAGGTCGAGGTGTGTAGTAGCTGGTGATGAGCTGTTATGCTTTATACTAGGCGGATGCTAGATGCTAGTAGACTACTAACCAGCAATACAGTAGAAACAAATAGCAGTGCTAGTATCAAGGGCAAACGAAACGATTCGTCTCACTCATCCGCCTCAAGGGGCGCGAAAAAAGGACGTGAAGGATGAAGTGAATGGAGTTTTCAGTTTTCAGAGAGCGATGCGATGAGAAAATGAATAAATCGAAAAATACGGAGGCCGCGAAACCACAAGAGTCGCAGATGACGGAAGGATTGTGATGAGTTTTGTGATGAGGGGACGCAAAGGTTGCCAGGCGGTCACTCCAGGTTCCAGGCACCGCCGGAGCGACTTCTCAGAGACAAGCCGGCCTGGGCCGTCGCCGCTGTGACGTACTCGCCTGCGCCGCCGGTAGAGGGTACCGCGTGGCCCGCCAGCCACGCCGCGACGACGCCAGGTACACTGTACCGCTCCGTCTGCGGGCGCGGCTCACCCGCTGCTGCACGTACCTCCTGGCGTACCTCGCAGCGGTGCGGGTACATGCTGCTACGTACTGGCTGTGGCCCTGCCTGTAATCTGATGCCCGCTGAGGCCCGCGGTACCTGAAGCCCCCCTCTCCTCTCCTTCAATACAGCGGAGTGCTACCACAAGAAACAAAGGCCAGCACCGGCGGTAATGCACAATGATGCGAGGCTCCCGCTTTTGGTCCGCACACACCAAACCGGGGGGGGGCATCACGTACATGTTGCTTCAACACACGTATTCCGGATTGGTCCCTGCTGAGGCCTTTTTATCCAAGTTTTTTTTTCCTTCTTCTATTAGCCTTTGATGTTTAACTTTTCATACCCTCGTTTTGATTAATGAAAAAGATGTTCAGACTCGGCTCGACGTGGCAAACTGCGAGATTGGGCCGTCCTTGTCTGGATTCGGCGACCCAACGTCGCACATCCGTGCCCTATTCGGCTTCACTTTGACTCGCTAGGCTGCCACAGGTGCTACCATGTGATTCACTAAACATCAACATCTAGTCAGTAATATGCACTGCTGCTACCATCGTTCTCGCAATACCAGCGTGTCTGACCGTTTCCATATCGCCATGCCACCACATCTCCCCTGAATGTGGGAGAAGATGAGGTCTTGGATACACTGCCCGCCATTTAATTGTATGGTGGGTGGTATTTGAGGAGAAAACTCGCTTACATCCTTTTATCAGCTTGGACGACTTACATGGCTCAGCTTTGATATCAAACCCCCCTCTTTTTCGGCGACCCGTGTAAAACGAGGGATGAGCTGCACTGCCAAATACCTACGTAATGGTACATCAATGTGTCTGGCATTTAATAAGTGCCCACCTCCTCTCCTCCGGCCTTTACGAATGTGCCCTCAATGTCTAGTAAGAATTGGTTCATGTCATATCTGCTGCCTTGCGCTTGCGGACCTCACATGGCCTTGCTGTTGATCAACAGCATGTCATCGCAAGCATGAACAAAAAGACCCTGTTTCCGATCCTGCTTCAGCCCCGGCGCATCAACTTGCATCACGGTCTCCCATTATGCATTAATGCAACACAAGTCCGAGCTTTGACTTCTCTTTGTTTTTTCTTCTCTTTTTTTTTTAATTCTAAATTTTTTTTTTTCGGTCCTCGTGATGATGGCTCGCCCCTCCTCTTCCGCAAGGACCAACGTACCATCCCGGAAAGCCGCTACAAAAGCGCACTTCTGTGTCTCCCGCATAATTGGCTACACACTAATAACGAAGAGCTGCTCATATGCCAGAACAGTCATAGCACACCCAGATAGGTGTCTAATTGGAGATGGCCGAGGTAGTGTAAGTGAGCAAGAAAAAAGACGAGACAAGGGCCATGGCTGCGAAACCCTGCCAGTAGCATATGCATTCGCGCATCATGCGTCGTACTTGTACAAGCTATTCGGGGCTATCAGAGACAACATGAGTTTAGCCTCTATCGTGACCCAATTGCTCTGCCGCCCATTCGTCCCGCATCCAGCCTCGTTGACTCTGAGTAATTTCCACTTTTCGATTACTCGTACTCCCATGGCCTTGGATTTTCTTCTTCTTTGCCGTCGATCTTCAACAGCTCCCCCGCAGCGAGACGGGGGGAACCCATATCAAGTACTACCTCTTTCTTCTCAAGACACTTCAAAGCTCGTCTCTCTGCAACACCAACTCTCCATGGGATGACGCTGGAACCGCTGCACTAGCCATCCGCTGAGGCTGTCGACGTCACATGGTACTATGCAAGGTCCCCCCGATCACTAGAGTACAAGTAGTTTGCCCGGTCCGTGATGAGCACGGGCATACTTATCATCGTGGAGGTTGCTGACGCTGGCTGGATCGGCATAATGGCTCAAGCACGGCTCTAGACTCTAATCGAAGAAGGATTCAAAGAGTCGCACGCCTGTAGCACATGGCGATGGCTGGGACTGCTCAGATGATGTGCTAATTTTTGGCAGCTCAGCTTTAGCGTAACGAATGTTGGCCGATTCATCTTAGTAAGCCAATTGATTGAGTTCAAGAACATGTGAGGCCAGTCTCTTTTATGGACAATTCCAAAAGAGCATTAAAGATTCCAATTAACGAATTGTAGCTATGAAACAAATTCTTGAAATATTAAAATATTAATATTGTATGAACATGTTATTCCCCCTGTAAAAGCCGTCATGAACATAACCCCACGAGATACTTCCAAATGCGAATTCTTACATAATCATTGCTTACGTAACTTGATATCGTTCGTTTTTGCAAAAACCTTCAGTTTAGAAATCCCAAGCAAGCAGCAGCAGAGGGGAATTCAAACGCCAGCACCCCCCAATCCAATCTGCAGGGCGCCAGCCAGTCATTACTCACCGGCAGATAGACTCGGCTTCCAACTTTTATACAATTACCATACCGAATCTTTCATCGCCCAATTGGCCCGAATCCCACCACTGGGCAACCCCCCCTCAGAGACCTTTTCAACACCACCCACATATACATCACCAATTTCCACCAAAGCCGAGAAGAAGAAAAAAGCACAGAAAACAATGGATCTGCGCACTCTCTTCGTCCGCCCAGCATCCCAGCTGCTCACCCCCCTCCGCCTCCTCGCCTCCTCAAAAGCAATCGCCGCTCCTCTCCCTCTGATACCCTCGCGCGGCCACAAAACCACCAGCCGCACCAAGCGCGCCCTCAAAATCGCCCCTCACGACTCCTTCCTCCCGTCGCGCACCTCTTCCGCCGCCGCCGCAGCAGCAGACTCAATCATCTACAACCCGCCCTCATCAGAGGCGACGCCCGAGCACACGCCCTTCATCTTCCTCCCGCGCAACGACCCCCGCCGCCAGGCCATCCTGCGCCTCCGCAGCAGCGGCAACGATCCTACCACCTACAACAGCAGCGTGACGGCAGAGAGCGACTTACCCCCAGAGATGCGCTACAAGCGCCGCCAGCCAAAGTACAACCTCACCAAGGAGCACATTGAGGAGATGCGCCGCCTGCGCGCCGAGGACCCGCTGGCGTGGAGCGTGCAGAAGCTGGCCCGCAAGTTTGAGTGCTCGACTGTCTTTGTGCAGATGGCTGCGCCGGCGCCGGCCGAGCATTTGCAGTGGCTAAAGGCAAAGATGGAGAAAAAGATGGAGAGGTGGGGGCCCAAGAGGACGCAGGCGAGGGAGGATAGGAAGACGAGGGCGGAGATGCTGTACCGGGGAGAGTTATAAGCATGGCATTTTGCATGAGCGATTGGGACTGGAAGATTGAAAGAAATAAAGCATGTACGAGAGAAGAGGGGATTTTGTGTGTAAGAAGAAAGCAAGAATCAATGGACATGTGGATAAATGTCAAAATGAGGGCAACGTTGGTATACATAAAGGAAGGCGGGCATGAAGAGGATAAAAAAGGGAACTGAGCGTGGTGTACGATATACAAAGCTTCAGAGAACAAATTCATGACGAGACATGCATCATACATGGTATATTAGAAAAAAATGTTTTGAGTGAGATTCGTCTCTATTGTAGGAGGTACTATCATTATCGTTGAGGAATATTATATAGTAAAAGTCGTGATTCTCTGCATCCGTCAATCACTCGACCAGAAACTATGCTCTGAAATCTCCCCCCAGAAAAATGCCCTGTATGAAAGAGTCAAAGGAGGAGAGAGACATGTGAAAATAACAAGGAAACGCCATCAAGGAGACCCATTTTAGCCGTCTAGGTCATTCGACCTTTTGTCCTCCCCCCCATGTATTCACTTCGCGCATTGCCTCTTGTCCTTCTCGCCAGGAATGACTCTCCAGCACCAGCCGCACCAGCTCCGCGCCGCGCCATTCACCTCCCGGGCCAGAATCTTGCTGTTGCTGCCCTTTTCGTCTTCCCACTCGGGCACACAGGCCCCCACGCGAACCATGCGGACGAGCTTCCTCTTGACGATGCCGCCAATGCCCTCGATTTCGTGTCTCTCGTAGCCCGGCCCCAGCTGCGGCGAGGGCGTCCGCTGCTGGCGCATCTCGTCAATGATGGACTCGATGGTGCCGTTTGCAGGAAAGGGAAACCCCGCGGGGGCCCCGGGGGGTGTGGTGCCGGCGTGTTGTGGGCCCGGGCTCGGCGTGCCGGACGAGGACCCGGTCGACCACGGGGCCAGGGTGCTGCCGCGGGCGTCTTCGGCATCGCAGTCGATTTCGTTTTCGCGCTCGCGAGCAGCGAGACAGGCTTCTTCGCGGCCGCAGATGACGCCGCGATCGCCGTCGCCAATGCCTGTAAAGCCTCCGTACTTGGTACGCCAGCGCCAGATGCTACATCGTCCGTTGTGTTAGTTATATACTTCTGTATGCGGCCAAAAAGCATTTCAAATATGGAGCAAGACACATACGCTTTATAATCGTGGTCGGCGTTGCGAATGCTATGCCCGCAAGGCTGACATAGCCAGACGCCCTCTGTGTCGCACTGGCAGATTGCGCGCTGCACGGCATCTGAATCCAGAGGCAGGCATGTATCCAATGCCGGCACGGCCAGCGCGGCAATGGGAGCTTTGACGCAAGTGACACAAAGCCGGCGGTGTCGCTCGCGCAGAGCAGCAATAAGAGGAGGCTTTATAGCACAGTTCTAGGGGTTCAAACGAAAAGAAAACATCAGCACCTCGCTCAATAACAATGACATTGCTGGGAGACTCACCCTGCAGATGATGTCGGCGCACCTCCTGCACTCGGCCACCATGTCGCGAGCGCAGCTGCCCGCCTTGCCGTTGTAGTTGTTGTCGTCTTGCATGTAACTCCAGTCTGTCGCCCTGGCGCGGTATCGCAGCGTCTGCTCTGGATCGATCGCAACGCCTTCTCGAGAGCAGCGCAGCGTTGCGCCCACGAGGCTCGCTCGGTACTGGATCAGGCCATCGTGGATGAAGCGGCTTGCGCGGGCCAATGAGTCGAGGGTGTTGAGGTCAATGTAGGAAATAATGCCGACGACGATGCTAGATGGAAAACAACGAGTTAGCTCTCTGTTCTCTGCAATTGGATCGAGGGGTGTCAGTCATACGGATAACACTGAAATGCCTCCTCCATGGCGCTGTGAGTCGCCGCCCCCTCTCCATTCTGCTGCGGCTTTTCCGTCATGGTGCTCTTCCTGCTGGGAAACCTGCGCGCGCAATCTCCATGCCCAACCGCCATCGTCACGGCCGATCCGTGCTCGGGCAGTGCCAGAGGGTTGCCCGGCGCCGGCCAAGCAGCCATTGGCTGCGCCTGGCCGTCCTCGTCATCGAGATCGACGAAACGAGCCATGTTTGAGGATCCGGCGGCCTCTTTCTTTGCTATTTTTCACAAGAAAGCAGAAATACTGAACAAGGGTGCTTCAAAAGAGACAATGGCGGGAAATCAAGAGAAAAGACTGGTGTTGGTGGGGAGGCAACAGACAACGGCAAAAAGCAAACACACGGCAAAAACGGAATGTGACTTTAGCATGAGGCGACGGCAATTGTCGATGAAGCCATCGTAAGGGAGCCCATCGAAGCACCAAGACGCGAATTGTTGGGATTGCGAGTCCGCCTGGGCAGAGTCAGTCATGTGTCCCTGGGACAGCGCAGCCGGTCCAGACAGGCGCCGGGCCGTATTTGTAGCAGTTTAGATGCCCCCAAGCCCAAGGGGCCGGCAACTGCTGGCTTTCCGGGTGCCGAAGCAAACACTCGGTGCTGTCAATGGGCGGTCGAGCACGGAGCTGTGCTGTGTCAACCGCTGTAGGCCCTGCTAGCCACTCCCCTAAAGCTCGCCTAGCGTCGCCTGAGAGGGGCACTGCTGTGGCGGAACCCACTCCCCGCATTCCGCAAGCAAGGCCGTCTCCCCTCTAGAGTTAGAGCCAGGGCCGGCGCTCACTGCTGCTGCGCCCATCATCACCGTTGCATCATAACGTGATCAAGACTGTTGCTGCTGGCTGTTCGTATTGATTGATGCGTTGAAGCTAATCATGCTCCCCTTTTCATTAGAACGAATTAAACCCAAATCCTCCTCATTAGCAGCAAAGCGTCGTAATCCGTCCTGCCGCGCCGGCTCCATCAATCTGCAGCTCCTGAGACAACCATCCAACTTTCACGCTTCGGCCGCTGGGCCTCGCTGGCATGCAGATGCAACCGAGCAACCCCATTGGCGCTGGATCGATCACCAGGCACACAACTCGCAGATCTCGAACCACTTCAGACCAAGCCCACTCCCCCCGGCGGCTCACCGACAATATGGCGAAATACCTCTCCTTTGGCCCCCATCCCCTCCTGTGCTTAATTCACACGATACTTTTTCTTCTCCTTGTCCTCTCAGCAGCGTCTGATTCCTTCACGTGGGTCGTTCGGACGGCTGTAAACGCCTGCGGCCGCTCAGTGGCTTGATATAGATTCATACGTGGTTCCAAGTACTACGTGCCTGCAAATGCATCAGCAATGCAATGCATGATTACATGTTTCATTCAGTGCTTTCACGTCTGAGAATCACCGTCGTTGTGAGCAAAATACCACGGTACTTTGTATATATTCTCTCAGCTAAATTTAGTTAAACGCGAGATCGTACTCCCCCCTGGTTCTTACTCATCCACATGCCTGTCACCCAATGAATCCACATGTCCAAAATAGGAAAAGAAATGGAAAAAGAAGAAAAATCTGCGGTGCTCATGACACCGGCCCCTCGCTAAGACAAAAGTGTTCATGGCAGCGCCAACAATGCAAACACACCGCCCACCACCGGCCGAGCGGTAAACTGGTTGCCGGGATATTCTCCCGTGTTCGTGTCGTACAAGTCGGTAAATGCTCGCCACGTTGGAGTCTCGTTGATCCACTTGGCAATCAAGGAGATGAACATGGCCTTTGTGTCGGGCTTGGCTACTGCTGCAGCGAACAGTTCCCAGTCAGTCTTGGTGAGTGTGCCGCGCGTGTCGAGAACAACTCCGTATTTGTTGGCTTTGGTCTTGTAAAAATCACTCTGCATATCGTAGACGGACTGGGGGATAAAGTTCAGTCCAAGAGCCTTGTCAGGGTAAATGTTGTATAGCAATCCTTGTAGAGGTTGTCCATTAGCAAAGACCAAGCTGTAGCAGGGAGCTGCAAAACTCACCATAAGTGGCTCCCGAATCATATTGCAGTACGCTGTGGCTGGGGACAGAAGCTCTGTTGATGCCGTGGCGAGACCAGAAATTGAGATAGTCCTTGGCAATGCTCGAGTACTTTCCAGAGAGGTAAGTGTGACCAGTTTGGTCGGCTATTTCAGACATGGCCTGCAAAGCAATTATGCCTTTGATGGCGAGGTTGGTTTGGTTCCTATCATCTCAGTCTCAGTATGTGTATATTTGGTTGACTGGGCTCTCATGAAATAGTCAACTTACGCAAGATGACCTGCGAAATCATCCGTAGACAATTGGTTTGCCGGGATCTTGGCATCTTCAATCAGATACTCTGCCCACTGCGCCATGAGCTGCCAATGCTCGTTTAGATAGTCAACGTCCCCTGTCTTTTGAGCGTAAGACAGCATCATGATAATCATATTGCCGCACTCTTCTAGGGGCATAGCCTCATCGTTGCCTTGCGGGTAGCCAAGAGCCTGGGGGAATCTACCCAGGTCGTGAATCGCATATTTGTTCGGGTAGTGGCCACTCTCTTGGTTCTCGAGAAGTGGTGAGAGGGTGTATTTGATGAGATTTGGATCAAGATACAGCATGATTGGCCAGGTAGGGAAGATCACGTCAACCGTTTGGATATCGCTGTTGGAGCTGATTTCTTTGAGGAATACTCTGACGTTATCCGGAGTGCCCGTATACTGGAGGGCCCCAAACGCCTGACGGACGGCAAGACTTGTGATGGTGAGATAATCATCTCCACCAGCGTCGACAGAGTCTCTTGCAACACGGTTGTCGAGATTGGTGGCATATTGGCTGGCGTAGCTGTAGTCCTTGTAAAAGAATGGAACAAGCTCTGATTCATCAAAATAGCTTGCCCAAAGGGATGGCACTTGCTGAGCGGAGCTACCTTGACCTTGGAATAATATGGCATCTTGTTGCGCAATACCAATGGTGAAGAGAGTGGATGCAGAGCCCCCTCTCCCGACCGCACCAAGGTCGCGCGCAAAGGCAAATACGGGCCTATTTTTTTTTTTGTTCAGTGACATATATCCTCTCAACTCGTTTAAGCAGTCACTGGTTCTTACCATCGATCGTTCACCGCACGGTAGTTTGTGTCAATGGTATTGTCAAGTGTACCGTTTGATAGGAACTGGCCGCGGACCTCTGTATCTTGGCCAATCTTATACGTTACACCTCTCTAGAGTGCATTGTCAGTATAATTTCATAATAATAACCATGTAGCAGACATCTAAACGACTCACAATATCACCGGTAGACCAATACCAGCTACCCCATGATGCCTGATCGTTGGCCTCTCTGAAAGCGTCTTGGTTTTGGCGATAGAATTTGTGGGAAAGCACCCCGTCTGCCTCTTGATGCTCCCACCGGATAATCTGTGAGCTGTCGCCAGATGCCCATTCTATAGGCAGGTTAATTGTGCACTTCCAAGCTCCAATGATGGCCGCTTACCTCCTGACACATCGGAGTAGATTTGAACGTTGTGTGAACGTCCGTCTAGGGAGACAACCGAAATTTTGAGGTATGAAAACGGAACAGATTGTCTTCTCAGGTCATCTGGGTAGACTGGAGAGAAGAATTCTGCAGCCATTCGAACCAACCCTCCCACATTCATGGTAAAGGTCGTTCTAGTGGATGTATACTTGAGTGACTCTTGGTCAACATTGCCTGCGCCGGGAGCCGCTCCCATCCAATTGTAGGCTTTTCCGTCGACCTTGATGAAGCCTTGCCATGCTTGAATTCCTTGTCTGTAATTATCAGAATCGTTTAGCATCCGTTGAATTTCTTCCAAATGAGAGGCAGCATAACATCGGTGGTGCTCACGTCCAGTACCTAGGCCATTGCCCAGCAAGGTAGCCGCTAGGGCTTCCGTTATTTGGGCCATTGAGCCAAACGTTGAGATAGGGAGCTCGAACAGCCAGAGGAGCCGCGGGAGGCCGTGCCGGTTCAAAGGTTGAAACCGCGTTCGCGTGCCCTGCCAAAGCAAGGACAGCCGCCGTAGCGACTCGCAAGAGCTTCATAGTCAAATGTAAGCCGCAGACAGATACCCCAAGCCGAATGATGTCTGGCTGAATCTAAAAAGAAAAGGAGGAGAAACGGATGCAGACAGCAGAGAGCATAAATACACAAAGGCTGGGGCCGAAACAGTGTCAGTATTTTAATAATTGAGTCGGGTGTTCTTGAGCCGTACCAAGGGATGAGAGACACACTGAGTGGGCCGTTGTTGATCTTATGACGATATACTTGTAGCCGAGTGAGCTTGGCTGAAACGCAGCTGCATGCGAATGACCACAATACTGAGGCCTAGAAGAGCTCGTAGGAGAATATTTCTAATAGTAAAACCAATGCTAACTCCTAACAAATGTGAAATACCACCACGCTGGCTCATAAATGATGGCTGGGTATTTGCGAGAGTGGCGACGTGCGGCCAACTGCAACCTCGACGGCTTGAGACGTTGCGATGCTGTGTAGCGTAGCCTCGGCGCAACAACGAATCACTTGTTAGAAAAGGTCTAGAATCCACGTTCTAACCGCGATAAAGGGTCAGCTATCATAAGAGAAAAGAGCAAGTGATTAGCTCGAGCCGCAGAATTAACCCTGCTGTAAAGGCAAGGCAGGGAGAGATCAGGGCTTGGCTCATTTAGTGGCATGAGGATGTAGCATCAATCTCCGTTGGCAATGCGCGTGATGCTCTCACTTGGCTTGGCTCAACTTACATGTATGTACGTGCACGTTCCCATTCCAGCTCACGATGTATACGTCGCAGTGGACAGGTAGAACGAGGGCAAGGAGGAATCATGCAGTTATGGGGCAGCAAGAGCGGGGATGGATTTTGATGTCATACACGGCATCTGCGCTCAAACGGCAGTTTTCGGTTCGGGGCCTAGGGTCATGAGACAAGGGTCTAATCCGCACCCAAAGCATCTCTCGCAATTGCCAAGATGCAGGCTCGCTACCCAGTGCTTTGTCGTCCTAGTGGATAAAGCTGGTTGTTAGCCCCCAGCTAGCTGTGTTGCCGTGGACGGTGGAGAGGAGGTTCAGTAGCGTAGCCGGCTATAAGAAGCAGCAAGTACTTCGTGTACCGGCATCAATATCTCCTAGAGAGTCGTGAATAGCGGCAGGGCTGCTCGCGGCTCGGTATAATGATGCGGCTCTGGAAGGTTGTTGATTGCCCGTCCACGTTGTATGCAGCAGCCGCTATCCTTGACGTCAATTAGACATTGTATCTCTCCAAGACCAGAGCATCCGCCTATCAGCTTACCAATCACATTCACGATGCTACCGGCTAGCAGCGCCGAATGGCCCCTCAGTGGGCAATCTGTCTCACTGGTCTCCAGCGGATCCGATCCCCCGCAAACGGCCTCTGCAGTAGCAGCAAATGCGCACCCACGTATCGCGTCGCATCGAGGTCCTAGCAAGAGCGCTACTGCGGGCGTAGGTAGGGAGAGCTGTCAAGGGACACAATATCGCGAGGACAGGCTTCAGATGGGATCGTGACCCATCACACTCTCTTTTCGCCCCTAGTATGATCTTGTTTTTTTCGCGGCATGAGCTTGATTTGTCGAATGTAGTTGTGTGTAAAAAAGAAAGAAAAAAAAAAAACCAAGTCGATGAGAGTTTGTGAAGAGGTAAAGCTTTCGCTGGTATGAAGTCGGCTTCAAGACAGGTACGGGTAGCGGAAGAATCTCTCTTCCGCTCAATTTGAGACAGCTAGCTACCTGCTTGGCTCTCATACCCTTTTGTTATGACTTGGATAGTTTATTGTTTTTCGTATCTGCTTTCCAATCTCTGTGCCCTTATTTCACCTGCACTATAAGAATCCTTCCTGTCGTATGTCTAAGACAAAGCTCGCCCTTCTAGCTCCCCAACCTTGCTCCGCATCATGGGATCTCAGGCCCCAACGTCTAGACTCCCCACTGCCGATCTCTTTTAAACGCTTGTCCAACGCGAAAACATTTGCAACGAGGTCACGATATGGCCTGCTCGAAATTTAGGCAGTCATGGCCCAAGGGCGTCGCGTGCCGCCAGATGTAACCCTACCCTCATTAAGCATCAATTTAGACCACATCTTGGCAAAACTCATCACAGCATGCAGTTGACAATTGACCGAGCGCCAAGAAAAGTCAAGTACCGACTTTCCATAAGCGAGATTCTCAAGAGGGAACCAGACGGGCTGCTCAAAGCCGTCTTGCGCAACTCCATATGCAGAGTGTCTTTCTAGAAGAAAGCCAGCAGCATTAGCTTAGTCCATGCAGTGATCTACATGCTTGGTCCTACTCACAGGGCTCTCGTACTCGCCAGTTGTGAGCCAATCGCCTTATACGCATGAGATACACAACAGTACTCGTAAAAAGCTAGTCGTTTTAGCTAGCTGCTTGTCACGACATGCCTGTATTGAACTGGCTTCTCAGAGAGTAGTGCTAGCTTTGATAATCCATATATACGAATGCGTGCTACCGAGATCGCTACCGAAGATGATAAATGGTCGGGAAAACGTAGCCAATTGCTTCCATGTTCCCGTCTGCACTTGTATATCAGCATTAATAGCATCATGTATTCTCTGCCATGTGGTGCCCCTTGCAGAGACTGAGAATGGAATGCAAGCTACCCCAACATGTAATTACGAAACTTAAACGAGTAAAGCAAGGGGCTAGTAAAAGACACGTCCAGAGTGCTGCTTTGCCCAAACCCCTGTCGATCAGACCGATTGTTTGAAACAAAAGGGCATTGTCTCCGTTACTCCGAAGATTCGTATGCTGGCCTCTCAACGTTTCGTGCGGAAGGGGGAGTCGACATGCTGAGACACTTCTCATTATCTCCTCCCTAAATGCTTCACTATACGAGAGGCTTCTTATACAAGCTAATTACATAGAGCGGATATAACGAAGCCATCATCCCACTTTCTGCCCTACTTACAATAGTGAGCGTGGCTCTATTTTTAGATCCCTTCAAAGGGATTACTTGGTATACGAGAAGATTCTTATTGCGCCCTAAGATCATAATATGCACAATTGTCACTTGAAGATGCCTCATGTTGTATAGCCGGGAAGACTGAATATCAACAGCCATGGACTGTTTCACCAGACTGCAGACTGTATTGTTTCTATCCTATTTTGTAAAAGGGCGTATATGTATTTCTTTAATAACACAAAAAAGAGCAATTGCCCACGAGGCTCTCCAACGATAGCGCACTGGCATTGTCGTCAGTAGTTGAGCCTCGGTCCAAACACGCCGTCCCAGCGATGGCGTAGAAGCACTGTCACTGTCGAGATTTCTCATTCCGTACACATTCCACTCGTTAGACAGCGGGTATTAAACGCTGATGGGGTATCATATAAACTGTAAAAAGCAAAAAATAAATGCAAAAAGGAAAAGAGGATACAAGTGTCGCACTCAAGCCTCTCCGTAACAGAGGGAGACGACACATGTGAATAATGTTGCGGGTGCCGAGGCATACGTTGCGAGATCCCTTGAAAATGGCCTAGAAGGGTAGCGCGAAAGCATTGCCACAACCAGGCCCTTCTCGAGTTCATATCGCTTCGCCCTCTGGAAAGTAGCGTGATGGTGTTGTCACCTTAACGGTCAAGGCAGCAACCCACCAGTGGCTACCTCGAGTGAAGAGGCGAGTGTGACCATAAAGAGGGGTCGTAGAGGCGGCTGAAGAATTAAAAAGAGTGTATATCAAGGATGCCCGTATAAGTGGAGAAGGCCCTCGAACAAAGGAAAAGGCAAAACGGCAGGTTGAACTACCCATGTAAGAATGGTAATTGTGGGGAGGTGAAGACGTCGTCAGTGCCAAGTTGTTGTTGTTGAAGGCTAAATCTTGGCTGTTGTTGCTGCCTTGAGTGATGACGCCTCACAGAAGGGCGATCTAGGCCTCTTGGGCTCGCCGGGAAAGCTTCCCGAAGCCGCGCTGCACAGCTTCCCGTCTTGCTGCGCCATCCTCGAGCGCATTGGGAGAACCAGTATTGTTAAGCCTGGAGCTAGGAGGATTTCCCACGACCTTTAGCAGGATCAGCATGACCAGGGAGCTAAGGATGCTAATGCCGAGGATTCCAATCATTGTAAGATTGCTCTTACGGAATCGATGGGGCCCCGGTTTGGCATCCTCAGGCCACCCAGTGTATAGAGCATATGTGGTGGTGACGCTGCCTAGATTTCCCAAGCCGGATACAAGAGCTGTTGCGGCTGCCACACCAACTTCACCATGCCGGCGTTGGAAGATTTCCGAAGTCCACGTCATGCAGATTGGGACGGTTGGTCCTAGACCAAAGCCCACCATCAGAAGGCCTCCATAGCGAGCCCACCCGTTTTGAACAGCAAAAGTCGTTGTCAATAAGCCGGCGATTTGGATGCAGACGGCTGCTGAGAAGAAGAAGGGCCTCAGACGATGAAAGCGGTCGGAAAGCGGCGTAACCAGGAGAATGGCGATCAAGTCCATCTAGAGGATACAATGTTAGGAGCAATAGGTGGATGGAAAAGATGCCAAGAAACTCACAATCCAGATAGGAGCAAAGAGTAAGCTAACGACAATGTCGCTCGCCTGTGGTTGGATTGAAGCAATGATCACCGATCCGTAGAGCTGAGTGCCGATTCCGACTCCGACTACTCCAAAGTACATCAGGCATAGAGGCCACAGCCGCCAGTCAAGCAGCACAAGGCAGAGATCCTTGACGCCCCATGGGCGAGCATGATACACGCGTCTGAGCTCAGAGTAATGAACTATGGCGTCTTCACCTTGGAGAACTTCAGGGGTGGCCGGAAGCCACTTGAACAGGCCGTTACGCTTCCTCGCCTCGCCTGGCGCCAGGGGTCTGTCAGGCAGCCACCATAGCAGCACAAAGCTCAAGACAACGGCAACGAGCCCGTAGATGAGAAACATCCATCTAAATCCAACCAAGCCTCCATCGCCATCCATGAGTTGGAATCCCGCCGAGACGAGGCCGACCACAGCCGCAGACACCTGCGAGGCGGTGAAGTACATGCCAATTCGCTTGGCTGTCCTAGATGGCGGATAAAATAGGGTCAGATAAAACGCCATGCCCGGCCACATGCCAGCGATCACCAAGCCCAGGAGGAAACGTAGCAGTTTGAGGCTCGCAGGGGACTGCACAGCCGCGAAGCATGACCCAACGACTCCAGTGGCAAAGACGATTCTAGCCATCCAGACCCGGGGGCTGAGCTTGCTCATGATGAGATTGGATGGGAAATCAAAGATGACGTAGGAGACATAGAACAGCGCAAGTGCCGTAGATACATCTTTGGGGGTGAGCCCAAGGACGGTCTCCAAGTCATGGCCCACGTCGCTGTTCATTGTCTGCGCAATGCCAATGTTGGAACGAATTGCTGAGCAAAGAAAGTACAGGATCCAGAAAGCTGGGGTTGAATTAGCTAGACTTCTCTGATGAGTGATCTAAGAAATAAAATGATACTAACGAGGGATAATCCTGCGATCAATTTTTCTGGCAGAGAGTCAGAGTTAGCTGGCAAATACTCCGTATAAGATTGAGGATGAGGCAAAGCCCAGTACCTGTAGACCTTCTCCACCGTTTCGCTGTCGTAGTCGGCCGGTCGGATATCACCCCCATCTCGACTCTCGGGACCACCATGAGATGATGCAGAGGGAGAGAACACAACACTTTCAGTGGTGTTTGGATTTTTAGAATCGCCATCAGGCGGTGCTGCTTGAGAGGCCATGGTGGACGGCGCTCAAACGCTGCAATGAGGGCTTATTTCCGACCGGCGCGACGATAAGAGCTCTGTGACGAAAAAGGCCGCAAAATATACTCAAATAAGAAAAGAGCCTATTTGAATAATTTGAGCTCTTTGAGATTTCAAACTTGGAAAAAAATAAGTAAATGAAAAATCAGAAAATGTTGGAGGAGAAGGATCCAGAGCTGGAAGAAAAGTGGGTGGCTCGATCTTGCCGTGATTAACCATCTCAACAATTCTGCCGTTTCCAACGATAGCCGAGGGCTCTAACGGGACGGCGCCAGGCCAAGGATATACAAGGGCCGAGACCGGATAGCACAGATTATGGATACATGCATGGACTATTGGCAGTCTAATCAGACATCAATCCAGGAGGCAGAAAGGCTTTTTATCCTCTCTATCGTGCTGCATGGGCGATATTAGATGATGGCAATAGGTAATTGGTGCTGTCGCATTTCCAAGCTCGGTGAAGCTTCCTGTGGCTCGGCAATCGGATCTTGATAAGACATGCGGGTCCACAGCGTCGGATGCAGCTCGAGGGACGCTATACTCGCATAATAATAGCATGCGGTATGTGTATAAACGTCAAGCTGTAGAAGGATTGTAATTGGCCTTGTGTATCTCAAGAAATTCAGATATGTGAATCTTATTTCGCATTTTGTACATGGGGGCTCACCTTGGAAGCTCATACTTGTAGTTTGAGGTCTATAATAGCGGATACAGCTCTAATCCTCACTCTAATACTGGGAGCTCCGTAATTGTGGGCAGCACTGATTCAGCTTGCAGCATTGCTTTCGTGTCTCAAAATAGCATTGCTGTTTGACTCAAACTCTCGTCTTAAAGATGTCTGATTTGCTTTTATACTGTGACTTACAATGATTTATAATAGATGCTCCAGTGCAAGGTAATCACCATCTCCATCTATTTACACTGTGCACATCTGCAAATCCCAGCTAGTATATTCGGCTGCAGCTCCCACCGCTGCTGCCCTTGCATCGTGTCTGCCTGAGGATCTGACGCCAGCCTCACCTTCTGTCTACCTAGGTATATGCGTAAATGCCTGATATTCAAGTCACCACCCCCAACAGCCTCATTTTCAATCCACCCGTTTTTGCGGCTCTGCTGCAGAATTTCTTTCTCAAAAACCTTCATCAGGCCGCCTCAGGCCAGAGGTTCTCGACGTCTTATCAATGTCTTCGCCCAGAGCCTCTCACTGAATTTTGCCGCCTACGCCTCACATGGTTGGTCCTGATGCCTGTTCTTGCGTACAAGGCGACTGCCGGGTCTCTATCTACCTAGGTCATGCGGAGGATGGCCCTCCAACTTTCCGCATTTACACGGAATCTGTCATAGTTACGCACGCACAGGGTTATTTGCGGAACGTTTGTAACCACCGCCTGGAGTATCTCGTGTATGTCAAGTGACCACGAGAAGGGTGAAAAGGGGGGGTAGCAATCTCATCCAAAGGGCTTGGTTGGTCATGGCCTCACCCTCTCAACGATGTTGGCTGGATTTCTCATCGCTCCCATCTCCAGGCTGTACAACAAGGGTTATCCCAAGAAGGACCACCATCAACTTGCCAAATAGGCATCGCCGCTCAGCAGGATTTCGTCCTTCCGCTGTGGATAAACGCGGAGAGAACGCCAGGGGCACATGGGATGCCAGAGGCTTCCTCAAAGTCCTGCATAAGCCTCGAGGATCTTCGGCCCCGGCAGACTTTACTAGCCATCCATCAGCCTCCTGTTTATGAATCAGGCCGACGGCCACCTGGAAGCTGAAGCATTCGTTGGCCAGCTTCATCCTTTTCCCAGTCTAGCGTCAGCCAGCTAGCCAAGGAACACGACCAGCTGGGTCTCATCCCACGAGGCCCTACGCTTTGCGCAGGGCGTTCCGACATGGATGGCTTCTCTTTGTCTAGGCAAGCAAGCATACAGCTGTCTACCAAAGCTGGGGCGAGCTATGCCTGGCGCTTGCTGTTCACAAGGGAGGTCGTATCAAGCTATTGGGCCTACCTGGTTTACACAAAGGTGCCATACCAAAGCTAGCAATGCCTCGGTTGCCACCTGGTCGACCAAACATGAAAGCTCTCAAGCCGTTATGCCTTTCACTCAACCGGGCGCAGCGCGTTCTTGGTATAGTTTGCCCCGCGTGCGTCAGAACTTCCCAATGAGTCACTCGCTTGGAGAGCGCATCAAGATGGAGGCCGCGGGCTGATTATCTTTCATCTAAAACCAGTCACCCTAGAGACACCACCCCTCGGTGCCTAAATGAGCTCGGAACTTATTAAAGGGCCGAGGTAGCGCATCCAGTCTCACGGTTTATGGATAGATTGAAGCTTCAAGAGGGAGCTCAAAGAAACAGGCAGTCAACAGTGGAGTCTTTACAACGAAACCAGCTCAGCCACTTAGCCAGCCACGACGGCTCCTCGCCACAGCTCCCCTGCCACAGCTCCCCTGTCATACTGTAGCTAACTTGCCACAAGCGCCCTGCCACACCACGTGACCGCAGGGCTGACTAATGACCAATGACCTGCTCTCTGGGCGGAGCTGAAGAGGGCCTTGTGCAAAACATTCATACCAGAATTTTCAGGCCATCATCCCGACCTCGAACTAAGAGTACCAGCATCGACAGCCGGCCAAGCTACAATTCCCAGGTCGCAGAAACCACAAGCCAACGGCCAGCTGCCGCTCTTTGCCCTGGAGGCCGCACCTCGAGCGCAGCCTCTGCGCCCTTGTCACCTGGAGCGCCACTATCGCCGAGTCTCCAGCACATCGTTGAGCTTAAAGTGCTGTGTCGTCACCCGAAACTCCAGCTAGGGTACATCTCCGACTTACACGCCACCATGAGCGTCGCATACGAGCCCCGATCCTTCATTCATGAGGGCGCCTATCCCCCCATAGGCGACGAGCATGACCATGCCGCCGAACAACGCTTCACAGACTCCGATGTTGCCGAGCACCTCAGCCATTATACCGCAGAAGCGTCCATGCTGCCGGATGACAGAGGCGTCATGGGGGACGAAAGAGATATCCTAGTTGATGACGATGCTGTCGTTCAAGAAGCAGCTCAACTAGACCTCGACACACCAGAGTTCTCATCGCCTCTCCAGGTTGCACTACATGCGCCGCCGCTGCCAGATCCCATACACGAAAGCAAAGAGCTCCCACGAACCGACATGTCCTCTCCGTCATCGCGAATAAAGCCAATCATCAAGCCGGAGCGTGAAGTTCACAAGAAGTCGGATGGGAAATTCCACTGTCCTCTAGATGATTGTAAAGAGGAACTTCGTGCATTCTCGCGCAAATGCGAATGGAAGTACGTGAACCCCATCCCCCTCCCCCACTATCTGCCAAGTTCAAAACTAACGGCATACGCCCTATAGCAAGCACATGGACAAGCATGAACGTCCTTATCGCTGCCCGGCCGAAGGATGTGAAAATCTCCCTGGCTTCACATACTCTGGCGGTCTCCTCCGACATGAGCGAGAGGTTCATGGCAAGCACGGCGGCCCTAAGAACACTGTCAACTGTCCGCATCCCAACTGCAAGCGACATACTGGCAAAGGCTTCTCTCGACAGGAGAATCTTAACGAGCATCTTCGTCGAGTACATACCAACATGGATACATCGGCATCTCCTATTGAGGCCGCCGCCTCTCCTGACGACAATGAAAGCGAGAAATCTGGGACGAAGCGAAAACGCCGTCTAAGTAGCCAAGGTGGGGACGAGCTTTCTGATCTCCGCGAGGAGATCAAGCGGGTACGAGAGGAAAACGAGAGGCTCAAGTCCGAGGTGGACCAGCAACAAGAGCACTCTCTATCTATGATGGCGCAAATCGCGGAGCTGCAAGATGCGCTAAATCATAGCCTTAATCCTCATGGGCTCGGAGCCCCCACGGCACAGATGATTTAGGAGCCTCTATCCGATGCGCTTTGCTCCTCCTGCATAATGCATAATGTGGCAGATGAGACACCAGATTGCTATATGTCAACATGAATCCCATGAGACTCATAAAGCACACACTCCCCGCTCTGTATTTTTTACCCCCTTCATCTCAACTCTTCCCCTTTTCTCATTTTGACACACATATATCCCATCTTCCACAAAGACACAATTATATAATTCATAGACTTGTCCCCCCCCCCCTTCTCTCTCTTCTCCTTCCCCTTTTCACGATTCCCTCAATCTGCTGGAACGATCAATGGGATCAACTATCACCTATACAATGAACGCATATCAGGAGCTAACGGGTTTCTTTTCTTTTTCTTTTTTCTTTTCTTTTCGTTTCTACATTAGGGCGGGTGTCTCTGTTATTTAGAAGATGGACATTATTATCTTTTACATGTATTTCCCCCCAAGGCGTTTTACAGGGTATCAGGAACAGGGTGACAAGGGGGAATACGGGCATCCACGATATCCCAAGGTTTTTTTTTTAACGCTTTCGCTGCATTTGAAAGACTGGCTAAAGGTTGGGGTATTTGCCGGGGAAAACAGATCCTCCGGAAGGGCAGGCAAATGGACATGAATTTGTTAAAGGATGAACCGTGGAAGCAGGAGAGGTTCATCCTGTGTATAAGTGTTATACAGCGCTAGTTTTCTTTTTTTCTTTCAGATTTTTTGTAACTTAGATTCACTCACCTCTACGTGGTACTGGACTTGGCACTGAAGACGAACCCCTTGCTTTGCAGTGGTTCAAATCGTTCATATATACCCATTTCTCTGTATTATATTCCCCCTGTTTTCAAGCAATCGTGATGATTTCATTGCCAAGTATTTAGTTTTGACAACCTGACCAATGAAGCTGTCAACTCAACCCCCAATAGAGGACACAATCATAGCTGATAGAAATCATTTGAATGATTGATGGGCTCCCAAAGCTTACAAAAATCTCACGTGTATAATATATATACCAATCTCTGTTTCCCCTCCAAGCCGTACTCCTCCCAATGCAAACAAAAAAAAGAAACACAAAGCACCAAAGCGAAAAAAAAAAAAAGGCCGACCCATCATCAGATAAAAACGCTTCAAAACAAATCATCCCATGAAAAAAATCCAAGAGTTTTTTCTTCCTCCCATTGCTGCTCGTCATTCTATATACACACACACGCAATACGATTTTCGTCAGCGCCGTCTCGAGATTTCCTTCCCCCTTCTCAACCATTGCTATTCCTTTAGCGGGCTCGTATGATGAATCTCTTTGTCCCCCCAACTCTATTGATTTTATCACATTTCCTTCTTTTCCCGAATCTTCCACTTTTTTTTTTAAATCATACTCTTCTCCCCTCAAGACTGGCTCTTTGCTTTTCCACAGTAACCTCAAACATGGCACCAAAAGACCTTACTCCTTTTGACTCTTTTAGAGATTGAATGTGAAGAGAGGAAAGAAGGTGAAAAGACAGAGAAAAAAAGCACAGCACATCAGCTCCTACCATCTCACCCCATGCCATCTGACCTACACAGCATGGATATAATTGGCTGGGACACTGGCCGTCACGCCAGCCTTTTCGACTTCCGCCCAGCCGTCGCCGGGGTCGTCCTTGATCAGCACAAAACGCTCGCCCTCCGTCATGGAATGCTCGGCTTCGCTCTGTGCCACGTAGTCGTACAGGGCTTCTACGTATCGCAGCTTCTTGGCACCTCGCTTGGGCGCCACCGCAGGGCCCTTCTTCCTCGAAGCGGCGGCTATTGATGATGTGGTTGACGTGGAATAAACAGAGGAAGGACGGGCCGATGCGGCGGGTGTTGATGGCGCAACGTTGAGATCGATATATGTCGCTGGTACGAGACCTTCCTTATAGCCATCGCGGACCTTGACCCAGCCAGTACCATCTGTAACACGCACATGTATCAGTTATCAGGGACTTTCAAAAGAGAGAAGAATTCGTTGGCACTCACCATCTGCTTCCAAGACCACCACTTCCTTGCCTTCTGCCACCGATAGCTCTCCATCTCCACCGGCATCGAACTGATAAAGCATCTTGCCCTTCTTTTCTTCCCTCTCTGCAATGCCATTCGTGCTACCCGCTGGTGGTTGCGAGATATATGCCGTGGGAGGAGGCGCAATTACTCTGTTCCTCTTTGGGGGAGCCGCACCACCAACTGCAGCGACTGCAGCAGCTTTGGCGGTTGCCGCAACAGGTGTGGTCGCCTTGGGTGGCGTTTCGGAAGGCGTGTCTTCTGATGGCGTCTGTGGTGCGGACACGACGGACTGCCGTAATGACTGTGAGCTTGCCGAGTTCATGGTATTGGATCGTGTGAGGTTGTCTTCGGAAACGTGCGCTGGAGATGCTGCATCAGGTGCGAGAAGCCTGTTAGTGGCAGCCTGGCGCTCTGCCTTGATCTTCTTTCGCTCTTCCTTATTCAGCTCGCCAGGGCAGTCCGCAGGCACCTTCATCTCGCACTTGCTGTGGCATGTATAACCGCAGTCTCGACAGTCAAATCCCTTTGCGCTCAAGCCCCAGATGCGATCTCCGCACAGGTCGCAGTTGGTTGGTATCTTGAAGGTTTGGCCCTTAAAGTTGTGATTTTTAGCCCCCAGCGTAACGTCACCAACTGCAGAGGTAATGGTGGTGGTTTCAACTTCAGCTGTAAGTCGCTTCTGGTCCACAGCAATGAGATTTTCTTGCAGAGCGAATAGTGCGCGGATAACTTCAACTTCGTCCTTCTTCTCTTTGCCTTCTCGGACACGTTGCTTGAGCCGCTTAACGGTATCGACTTCTCTTCGTTGCTTGTCCACCTCTCTCCGCAGCTCAGCCAGCTGAGACTTGGACTTTGTTAGTACGTTGCGCAGGTAAATCTTGGCCGTCTCATCCACAATCATGAGGTCGTCATCGTGCCAGACGGGGCTGGCTTCAAAGACCTTGTCCGGCGGCTCATGGAAGGCGCCCATGTTGTGGCGCATATACATCATGGAATCCAGATGGGGCAGGTTGCGCTGGATTTCCTTGCCTTGGTGCTCGATGAGTCCGTTGCTCTGTTGAAGCATGGCAGTCTCCAGCCGAGTTGCTACGTCCCACAAAAAGTTGAGCTTTAAAGTTCTGAACTCGTTCAAATCTTGCATGCTATCCATGACCTCGGGGATGTACTCGTGGTAGTATTTTTCCTTTTGCTTGTTGGTGACGTTGATGGCGATGAGATAGGTGTTTTTGGCATTGTTCATGTCAAAGAGCTGCTGTTGGTAGGCGCTCTGTGCCTTGGCCTTGTCGGCATGCGATTCGGTCTTCTTGCGCTTGCTCTCGAGGTCCTGGCATGTGTTGTCGTATTTGCCTTTGACTTTGCGCAAATCGGCATAGCAGGCATCGCGGCCAGCTTCGAGCTTATCGGCATATTCGGAATGGCGCTTACGCAGCTCGTCGAATCGGGCGTTGTAGAACTTTAGGGGTTCGGCGACCTGGGAGATAAGGTTACTCGCATAGCGATCGTGCTCGGTGGCGCGGGATTCGAGGGTGGTGAGCTGAGTAGACCATGTGGTTAGGGAAGCACTATTGGCGCAGCATTGTCAGCGCCTTTTCACAACGTGTCATATCACGCCAAGCACAGCGTATATGCCGCACTCTCCATCTCTTGTCGCCGGAATCTCTCGGGACTCACCTCTCAAGAGAGCCTGGAGTCAAGGTCGGGTTGTCGCCAACGCTCAGGTTGGAGATTTTCTTGTTCTTCTTCTCAAAGTACTTCTTGGCCAGCGCATCGAGCTTTGCGCTGTATTCCTTTTCGATGGCGGCTCGCTCGCGGTAGAATTGCTGGATCTCGTCGAGCCAGGCGATTCCATTGCTGACCCAGGCGTTGGCGGATTTGAAGCCGTCCTAGAAACCGCAGAATTGGTCAGCATCGCGCCCAGAAGATGTATCACGATGGCGGCTCCAAGCAGCTCCAGCCTGGCCCCCGGCTGCTGTCTCCTGTTTGGCACCCTCGTTGCCCTGTATCCTTCTTCCACAGCTTCCACAGCTGCCACAGCCCCTCCATCACCAAACTCACACACGCACCTTGAGCTCTGCGCCAAAGGTAGGCGCAACGTCCACCTCGGCCATGGCGGGAGAAGCACAAAGACGCCTCACTGACACTGACGATGGTTCCGAATCGCGGCGCAAGTCATGCAATGCCGGCGTCTGTCCATGCACGGACAAGGCCACCAAAGCTGAGGGAGGCTAATGCTGGCAAGGCTCCAGCAACGTCGTCTCGCGAGTGGAAATGCAGCGACTGGCCGTTCCGGAAACGTGGGGAAAAAGAAGGCCAGATGTGAGATGGTCTTCGGCAGGATGGGGGGGAGACGACACACGCGGCGTTTGCGACTTTATTGGGGCGCAGCTTGGAGTTGGTCAGGCAACTGGGGCGGGCAGCTTTCAGGGGGCTGCGGCGCTAGCTGGCGGCGGTTGGGCCCTGCAACGTGCTGAGTACCCCGCCAAATCTTCAGCGCTTCCCGCTCGAGCTCGGCGGCGCTACGGCGAAATAGGCGGAGCTGGTGTCTCATAGACGATGCTACTGTAAAAATACATGTATATAACATTAAGGATACCTTGGGTTTTATATCCCATCGTCAAAGTGCTTAAGAGAAAGGAAGAGCGAGAGATGCAAGATGCTGCAATACCGTGTGCATTCATAACTCTCAGCTAATCGTACATTGTGCAGGAAATATTCCCGGCTTATGTGCCCTCCATTCGCCACCTCCACGTAGACTACAGTGGGTATAATTCAGTGCTGCCGTTTGATGTCCAAGCTGCTGCATATCGCTATTTCAATGTAACCAAAGCTCTTCCTCCCGTGTCCCTTCAAGTTGACTTGAATCTCTTCTCTGACTTTTCCCTTCTTTTTTATTTCATCACAATTGTTGTGCTTCTCGTTTCGTTCGTCATGTCAAATTCCAACCCTCAGCCCTTGTCAGCGCGTCTTCAGGTTAGATCCCGCAACTCGACTCGGTTCCACCGTATGGCTCTCGACCCAGCACGACACGCCGTCCGGCGTATCCCACCGCGCGGGCTCGATTGGGGTGATGTGGTACTTGTCGGGGCCCTGAGTAGGTGATTCTTGTAACAGTTGGATGCCCGCTTGCGTAGCTTGGAACAGACAATCCCGGTTGGCGTCTTGTAGCTCTTCGAAGACGCCGAGAACGGTGACCGCCGCGCCGTCTTGGTGGAGGATGATGTGGACACGACGGTCTCTATCGTGGGGCACTCGGTATGCCATTGAAGCTTCGAGTTGCTCTCTTTATGTTGTGGGCAAAGGCAGTCGTCTTGTGTTGCTTCGTGGGCGTTGCTTGAGCATGAGTATAGTGGTTGTGATGATGATGATGGTGATTCTTGAGGGTTCTTCATCTTGAGAGCTCAAGTTGCGGGAGGCACACGAGTGATCATCCTCGAATGCTCTATGACGTAGGGCACTACTCCAAACAAGTCCAATCTTAGATCTGTTCCTATCGATAACCGAATGATACCAGCAACGGTAGCTCTGCATAGCCCTCTTTGAGGAATCTTATGTGCACTACAGCGTAGATGCTCATCATACATAACGTTAGTTTGAAGTCATCTTTCTTCTGCTGATTCCATCCTGCAATCTGATAGCTTGGGCTAATTCAGAGAATCGAGATCCGTGACGACATCAGCGCAAGCTAAATTTTGAGTTTCGGTTTGGAGTGTTTCCTGCTCGAGGCAACCCCTAAGGGTCTGTGGGGTAGCTTGCGCTTGAATCCCTAGGTACCAAGGAACTGCTAAATGATGCATTGCGTCTTGTCCAAGCTAAATCAAACAAGGGCCTTTGTTGTCTCGGTTCACTTCAACTTGGCAGAGCATATGGCGCCCCAATGTATTGTCCCGCTGCCGAGCCAGTTATCCACAAATAAGCAATGCGGATTGGTGCCCAACAAAGAGGGGCAGTTTCGACATATAATTCTTAGCGCCGCTATCCGGAAACAAAAGCTGTCTAAACAACACTTCAATCACTAATACACGCTGCAGTTACCCTGTAAACAGTCAATCGTAGTATCAAGGGCGCGCCTTGACTGGCTAGTCTATCCCTCAAGCCAATTGGAAGCCGCATGAAACCGCAGCCTCGCTCGTGTATTAAAACCACTTGTATACAGAGCTTCCCTCGATTATTGTCTATTTCCGGGCATCATAACCCAATTGGCATTCCGAGCTTGCTCCTTCTATAGCTTCAAACAGAGTAAGACAAATCCCTCGGCTGTACATTAGCGCGCAGCCTTCTGTCCCTCTCCCGACGCAATGCAATGCAACCATCCTCCATGCATCCCCGTTTATCACTGCTTATGCCTTTCTTGAGCCGATACTGCACGTCAGCCCCTCTCAATACCCCGATACTTACTCTTGTCCTTTCTCTTGCTTACAGATCTCTCTCGCCTTTTGCGGAATACTATAAAACCCTCTATTGACCCCCCACCATGGCCTCCAGGATCGCCACCCGTCGCTTGCTCTCGCCCTTTTCCCGAGCTCAATTCCAGCGACCTTCTTTTATCCGCACAATGGCCACTTCAGAAGTTCGCCGCGCGTATGAGTTTCTGGTCATCCTCCCAGACAAGCCTGGCCCCGAGGCGCGGAAGAGGCGTCTCGAAGTGAGAGCGTACGTACATACCTATTCCCTCGGTTATGCAAGTAAAATAAGTAGGTAGTCAACTGACTATGAGCAATACAGTCAGCACTTCAAAGACATGACTCCTACCCTTGAGGGAGGCAAGCTAAAAATGGGCGGTACGTAAATCTTTCGAATCTTCCTCGACTCTTCAACCTTGTACACGGGTGCTAATCAAATGTCAATGTACAGGTGCCATTCTGCATGACGTTCCTGTTAATGACGAAGCCGAAAACATGGATTTTGCTGGCTCCGTCATGATTTTGGTTGCAGAGTCTGCAGAGGAAGCTAAAAACATGCTCAAGGACGATATCTACGTCAAGGCAGATGTATGGGATTTTGAAAAGGTGAGAATGACTTTAGCTGTTCTTCATTGAAGCAATAGAGACTGACACTATACACCAATCAGACCCAAATCTATCCCCTAAAGTGCGGATTCAGATTCCCCTTACAATGAAGGAAAGCGAAGCATTATATAGATAGCAAGGGTCGTGATCGATTCATCTGATCAAACGGAAAAAAAAAAAAAAGTAAATGCCATCAAAGCAGATTAATAGTGATGTATCCGATGTCCCCGTTGGCCATCATCCCATCAGCATAGCTGATCAGACACCATCGCTGGACGGCCCCCATGTCTTCCAGACCCTTAAGAAACCCCAATGCAAAATGATAAAAGGGAAAGAAGAAGAAAGATTACACTAAACTCCCCAAAAAGCGACCCAACTAAGACTGACTTTTAAAAAAGTGTCAGAAAAATAATAGGCCCCAAAGAGTCCATTTCTTCAAGCCGCCATACGGAATGAACGGTTTGTGCCCCAAGTACCATTTAATTGCCATCAACAGAAGCCGCTGTTGCCTCTTCTGCTGCGACTCTCAAATCGTAGCTGAGGTCGAAACACTCAGCAAGGAGCTCACTAACACTACCTTGACCTTCGGGAATATCGCCATTAACAACAAACTTGCCGTCCACTCTGAGGTTATCGAGAGAGTTGAGCTATTTGAAACAAGTCAGTCCACTGTACAGTTATTCGCTTCAATATTGTAGTTCTCCAATGGTTCACACCTTCATGCTGTAAGGATACAGCTCTCTGACTGAAGAGACGCCGCCACTGTCCCTGACTTCAACGAGACATCTCTTGAGAGTTTGGAGCTGGTTATAGATGGGCAGAAGTGCCTCAGAAACCGGCTCTGAGGCTAAGATGAAAGAGTAAATGTAGGCGTAGCTTCGTCTCGTCAAATACAGCATCGTTCGCTGCGTGTACAGATCGGCTGGTCTGCCTCTGTCATCATAAAAGTTTCCGTTTTGTCGGCTTTCGTCAATCTTGTCCAGCTGGCGTTGGAAGTCATATAAATCTGTCTCGCGCAGAGCCCAGGCTTGTGTCAATGATAGCTTCTCCAGCTCGTTGCGAATACCAACCAGGGTGTTGTAGGTTGGGCGGAATGGCTCTGGCATGACTCCTTGTCTGCAGCAGATCAGTTAGACTGTTCAAAAGATATCCCAAGGTAGCGTCTCATATACGTACCTCTCCAATACTATCTCAGACCATTTGAGGCAACGTTGGTAGAGCTCTCCAGTCTCCACAGAGCCGGGGGGGACAGATCCATCTTCGGCGACAAACTGGCCATCTTTACGCTTCTCTCCGATATCGAGTAGTTGCTTTCGAAACTTTTGAACTTCGTTGCTCGAGAACTATACAGGCCGAGTTGAGAACCTTGTTCAACACTTTTTTTCAAAGGGATATTCGTTTTGGTACATACCTTGGCCTTTGTATTTGCCAATGAAATGCATCGTATGATAGAAATCAGCTTCTCATGCGTTGCAAGCAGAGGCTCTCCGATGCGTCCTAATCGCTTTTGGAGGTTCTCTAATGTAGCCTGGCACTTCTCCACTCGCTTTGATAGGAGCTCGAGGAGATATGGGTAATTCTCAGCCTTGTTGTCGCGGGACTTTGCCTGGCTTATGCTTAGAGAAAGGTTTGCCAGCGTCGCCTTGATGCTCCCGAGATCCTTGGCTGAATAAAGATCGGCCTCGGTCAAGTGGTCAAGCAGTCTCTTGATGGTTGATGTTAATGCGTAGTTTGCGGGGATCTCGTTGTTGCGTCCGATAGTAAGGTAGAATAGGGACAGCAGTTGGAAGCAGCTCTCCAAGACTTTGTCAACTATTCGTTTATACATTAGCCCGCGTTTCCTCTCCCGCACGCTATCGAGCGTGATCTGACTTACGTCGATTTTCTTCCTTGCTCCCCGTCTCAGTACGGATCTCGTTGAGCTCTTTTACCCTTGTGATTGTCTCGTCATAGAGCGGGAGTATGTCTTGGCTTCGAATATATGTGGTACGGTCCTGCTTCAGGAGTAGGAGCTTGTCGCGGACGACAACAAGACTGTCCAGGATCGCCTGTTCCCGAGCATCTTGCGGCAGAGGTACAGCGGGGGTATCCATGCTGTGTTGTACAAGGTTGAAAGAGGATGGCAAAAGCTGCGCGATCACTCCAAAAAGCCGATTATGTGATGGCGATGGATAGACTTCGTCGACACGCTTGATTCCAGGTCTTCCGGGAACAGAGATATAGATATACGATCGATCCGATACCCGGTGCCGGGCTTCGTCGGCCAATTGATTGCCGTAAGGATCTGGACCGGGAAGATTTTCTCGGAGATGCCGCGGCGCGTATTCAGAGGTAACAGTTTTGTCGTGCAGTTCGGAAAAGAAGGCCAAAGGAGCAGGAATAGTATCCTGGATCGCAAACACAGAGAGTCGCAATACTGCCAACCTCGCTGCCTTGGTTCAATGCGCTGGTGGGGAAGCTGAGCTCCAAGGTGGGGTGGCTGTGGAATGCGTTTGGATGAGTTCAGACGGTGACGACGTTGCGCAGGTCGGGCGGCCTCGCCCTGTAGCGGGCCTGCACGCGCTGATTGGCTGGGCGCAAATGGAGCCGTCCGCAGCCAATCAGCGCCGACCCCCGCTTGCGGCATCCGAGCGGCACGCGGAAAAACCATTGACCCCAGCGCTTTAGGTCTTCAAGCCCTCCATCCGCCGGAATTTCGACCAGGGCAATTTTTTGTGGTCCCTCTACAGCCTTTTGTGGTGATAATTGATTTGTCCATAACCACTACTCTCTTCTCGTGCAGACTTGACATCTTCCCAAATCCGCACAGACAAATCTCACACAATGTCTACCGCCGAGCTCGCTTCTTCCTACGCGGCCCTGATCCTCGCCGACGATGGCGTTGAGATCACCGTGAGTGCTTCCATATCCCCGTCGCCTTGTCCCTCGTCTGGGGCGCAGAAATCTCGAAAAAAATAATTATGTGCCCCGCGAGCAAAGAGGCGACATGACATATAAAACACCATGGGAATATTTCGTATACTAAACGATTTTTTTCTTAATTTTCTAGGCCGACAAGCTTCAGACCCTGATCACCGCCGCCAAGGTCGAGGTTGAGCCCATCTGGACCTCCATCTTCGCCAAGGTACGAATATCCAGAAACACACACAGACTCGACGAAAACAAATGAAAAACGCCGAATGAGAAATTGAATTATGGACGCTGACGAGTTATGGTTTTTCCCGCAATACAGGCTCTGGAGGGCAAGGACATCAAGGACCTCCTGGTCAACGTCGGCTCTGGTGGCGGTGCTGCTGCCGCTCCTGGTGCTGCCGCTGCCGCTGGCGGTGCCGCCGCTGAGGCCGCTCCCGAGGAGGAGAAGGTTGAGGGTGCGTACTGGCCGTTTTCCGGTTCCCATTATCCGGCAGACTGTGGAATTTATGTGCTAATACTTTTCTACAGAGAAGGAGGAGTCCGACGAGGATATGGGTTTCGGTCTTTTCGACTAAACAGCCAACATCATCTGTTGCGGCGACTGTTTTCTCTATTGCTTCTTTGTACTTCAACTGCAGGGCACTTCGGAGTCTTTATACACATCGATGGATGCATTCAGGATGGAGTGGGCGCCTATATCCCGCGTCCTGGGCAGAGTAGCTTTTTTCATAAGGATAATATGATTAATGCTCTCACACGACGGAGTTCACGCACGGAAGGGACAAATGGTCAACTGAATGACTCGGGAAGAATAAAAAGAAATTTTTTTGATCACATTTTTTGGAATTTTCTTGGTGACTTTTGAACTTGATGGGATTGGAAAAGAACATTTGAGATTGATGCTCGTGGACGCTATGTTCATCTAGTGGTTAAAGCTCTTGAATGTGCAACCCTTGGTTCGACAAAAGCGAAAAGGGTGCTCCCGCAGCCAGCCTGCGTTCAGTGCCTCCTCGTATTCCCTCCCTGCCAGCAGATCCATCCTCAACGGCATTCCAAAGCAGTCTATTTTACAATAACCACAGATGAAGGGACAAATCCAGCCTCCTTTAGCGTCTTGGACATGTCCAAATCGCCCTGGAACGTCTTTCGGGGGAACGTAGTCGTAAATGTCGTCACCGGCTGTCCAGTCTCGCTCTGTATCTGTTGCGCAAGCTCAAACAGCGTCGTCTCTGCGGGTAGCGTCTTCATGATATTGCCCGAGTCAGTCTGCAGCTTTAGCTTCGCCTCTGTGTGATCTGCCTTTGGTCGGGGGGCTGCAGCGGCAGCGGCCGGCGCAGCAGCAGAAGAGGAAGATGCGGCTTCGGGAGCTCTGCCTTCGCGGGCAGCTTTGGCCTCTTCGGCCTTGCGGCGACGCTCGGCCCTATCTTCTTCGATCTTGGCCTTGATTCGTTTCTTGGCCTCGGCTTCCTCAAGCTTCTCCTTGCGCTTTTGCATGGCCTCCTTGATTTGCTCTTTTCGTGCAAGTTCCTCCTTTGCCTCCTGGGTTTCCTTTGTGGATTTTTGTCGGATTTTCTATGCAAATGTTAGAGTGAGAGATGAGATGAGAGGGAATAGGTCATCACCTCATTGCGCTTTGCATCTTCCTTGTCCTTGTCTGCCTGAGCGGCCTTCTTCGCCTGGAGTCGCTCTCTCAGCTCTTCGAGCTTTGCCTTCTTCTCATCTTCTGTCAGGGGTGCAATCTCCTCAGTAGACTCGGAGAAATCTGTATGCTCACTATTTCAGCGTTAGCACAAACCGCCCGAGGCTGAGAAGAGTAGGGAGTGAAACGTCATACGTCTTGGTAGCATGGTAACTGGCCAAATCGGGGTTCCTAAATCGTTTGCCGCACTCATTGCAGATAAGCGACTTGGCAGACTGGCCGGATTCCAGCTCTGCAATCTTTGCCTTGGTCTCGTCCTCCTCTTCATCGTCATCTGGAGCAGCAGCTTGGATTTCCTCCAGCGATTTGTCTTGGTTATCCTCTAGCCACTGCAAGGCTCCCTGTACTGTTGTGAATTTGTAAGTAAAGACGTGTATGAGATGAGTCGCCGGAGATGCTGGGAACATGAGGCCACTTACGCCCTCCAGACTTTTTGACGGCGAGTTCGGCTCGAGCTCGCTCAAAGCCCATGTCAATGAGGGTATCTAGATCGGAAGCCATGTTTGCGATTCTTGAAGTTTGGAGAAATCGGGGATGATGAAGTTGGGGGCGTGGCCTTGGATGATGAAATAGGCGTGAAGGCAATGAGCGAGTGTGGGGTAGAGAACGGCAGCAGCTCTCAGAATGGGAAGTGGAGTGGGGGCAGCGAGGATGGAAGAGAGTAGTAGTGTATGTAGCTGCCCTGAAGATTGGGCTTTGAAGATCAGGTAGTAGTGATGTGAGATAGAAGAAGGGAGAGAGAGACAAAACAAAGTGCATTGAATTTGGTAAGCGGCTGCTTGACGCTGGCTGAGCTTTGTAGGTACCTAATGTGCTGTAACTTGCAGGCTTTTAGGTACCAACAGCTACGTAAGATGGCGTCAACGCCACTGACAGAGCAGCTGCATACATTGTGAATTGAAGTTGCACGCTTGGAGCCATTGAACTGTGTGAATACCTGCCTACTAGGTTAATAGATGAAAGATTGTTACAAGTGACAGTAAAAAAGGGCAATGCACTTTAATGGTTTGCCATGGAGTACTAAGATTTTATCATGTGATGGCCATCAAGCAGCCAATACGCTGTATTAGTACCTCCCGCTGAAGGTACGCAACATTTAGAGCTCCATGACTTGTCTGGACTGCCACACGTGAATGCATCACACGATGCTAATCGAGTATATATCGAGTGCACTATCTGCCAGCTAGATGGTATAATCATCGTGACTTTTTATCTTATTTTTCTACTCACCAAAGAGACATACTCGAAGATCTACTTCGTATATCCGTAGAAGCTTGAACACTGTCCATCGCCCTGCACGGACCCAACGTCCCTGAAACCCGGCTTAGTCATGCCCGCAATCTTCACTCAGGCCAGCTCAGCCTCGCCAGCCAATCTCGATACAGGGGCCCGAAGCCGAAGCGACATGCCATCAATCACGTCTCCAGAAACGTCTCCAAATCACTTCTTTGTAATCACACAATAGCCCGCGTGCCCGACTTTCACCAAGCACACGCTTTCATTTCTCCCACGCCACTCTTGCTCGCATTATAACATTTTTTTTGTGACATACGAGGCTCTTTTCCCCCCTTCCTCTTTCTTGTTTCTCCGTGTCTCCCTTTTCTGCTGTTCAACTTAAATTCTATTTCCGCCGCGTTTCCCCGCCGAACCAGCGCCATCGATCTAGACACGACGACATCTTCTCCTCCCGACCCGTGGCTCGCCTGCCCTCGATCTAAACCCGAGAATCTCCCTACAGCCTCCTTCTAGCCCAGCAGCAGCTTGTTATCCGCCTCCTACTCCGCCATGTCGGTCGAAATCGAGCCCCTTGAGCTGTCATTTAGACGTATGTTTGTCTACGCCTTTCTCGTGTCCATTAGGACACTTGGACGTCAGAATAACCGTTGACGGGTCGGCTGTGCACAGGGCCCTTTACTGTCGAGGTCTCGCAGATCTTGAAGATCAAAAACCCAAGCTCATCGCCCTTGGCCTTCAAGGTATGCGGCTATGCAAATATGCCACCTTTGGCTTTTTCTTTTTCTTTTTCTTCAGCTCTCTGCTTTGACCTACGCCCGCTTGTGGATACCTCCTGTTTCATCATGATCCCTGTTAACAAACATTTCTCCAGGTTAAAACTACGGCTCCTAAGCAGTACGATTAATCCTCCCGTTGCGATTCTGTGCTGGCTCGTTGGAAGCAAGATTTGACAATTTCCCCCCTTTTACAGATATTGTGTTCGACCAAATGCGGGCCGTATCGAGCCTGGGCAGGACTTTGATGTCACTGGTACGTTGGAATACTACAGGCGAGCAGCAGGTCTCATTTTGTGGCTGACACTGGCATAGTCCTCCTGCAGGCCATGAAGGCTGATCCTCCGCTGGATGCCAAGTGCCGAGACAAGTTTCTCGTCCAATCCGCCCCCATCACTCCCGACAAGGAATTCGCTCCCATTGCCTCAGTGGTAAGCCACCGCCTCCATAGCATCCATTATCTAGAGGCACAAAAACTAACATTCCTACGCCTGTAGCTCGAGTCTACAGACAAGGCCGCCATATTTGAACGAAAGATCCGAGTCAACTGGCTTGCTGCCGGCGACAGCCCCGACCATGGCCCCAGTGCAGCTCTCGCAGTTGCGACACCCATCAAACAAGCAGCGGTGAATGGAGTGCGTATAAATCTCGGTCCCGGCTAAATTCTGTTCATGCAACTAACAGCAGCCCACCAGTCTTACGACACTCCCGAACCTACTCGAGCTTATTCATCTCCAAGCGGCGAAGGAACCCCCGCACCACCCCCGTATGACGAAAAGGACGACGACGACTCCAGGCCCCAAACCGCAAAGTCGGCCGCTTCCAAGACTGCTTCTGCCGTTGCCGGCACACTGCAGTCAGGCACCGACGAGCTCAAGGCCAAGATTGCCCAGCTTGAAGCTGAGTTGGCAAACTACAAGAATGGCGGCCTGAGACAGCGTAACGTCAAGGGTAGCTCAGGCAGTGAGAAGGGTGCTTCCGGTGCAGTTGCTCAACAAACCAAGCAAGGCGTCGAGGGTGTGCCCGTTCAAATTGCTGCTATTTTATGTCTCGTCAGCTTCCTTCTTGCCTACATCTTTTTCTAAAATTTAGGCCTATCTTGATGATGAGCAACACGCAACTTTGTGTTTTTTTTCCCTAATCTGATAGAGGCGAGAGGCATGAGAGGAGGATCAATTATAGGAGTTATACCTGCTGCATTGGAGAAGCATCGCTGCCTAACACTGGATGCCTGATTTTGAAAAATACATGTCCAACGGCAATATTCAGTCTTGATGACGACAGACAGGGCTTCTTTTGGGCGCATAATCGTCACCATTCTACGTAGTGGAATGTGGGATAACGGCGGCGCATTCACCTTAGGGGACGGGGGTTTTTGATTTTTTTTGCTTGTACGAAAGTTGAGAAAGGAAAAAAGCTGTGCGAGAGCCATGGGTAGGAAGTGCGCAGTAATGGGATTCATGGCATACTTTCCGTATATCTTGGGCAAAGAATACGGTTGGCTGTGGAGGAAGCAGGGCTAGCATCACTGACGTTTGACCTCTCGAAGCTATTTTTGAGTGAGTCGAGCTTTGTGTCGCGAGTTCTCTGTACTTTAACTCTTTTTTTTGTCTTTGTTTTTTATTTGTTTTCTTGGCAATAGTTTCTAGTATCTGATAGGCGTGCCTTTGATCCTTGTTCTTCTTCCCTTTTTCCTGTTCTTTTTAAGTCTTATTGATTAAGCAGTTTCGAATGAGAATTATTGCCAGAGTCGACGGTTGCAGTACAAGTCCATCAAGAAGAAACCACCATCCTAATAGCGACACTAATCGGTAATGCAGGCGCGCAACAGAGCAGCTACAATAACCATCCTACTAGGCTTTTCGAAAAGATCATCTTTTGAAGCAAAAATGGTTAGTATAAAAGGCCAGGCGCTCCTTGATGCATACCCTCCTTTCATGGCTGCATAAAAAGACGGTCATGCAAACAATAATGGCGGGTGGTCTATAGCAGCGCGCTTGGTTCAAAAAACCCAGCGCGATGATCCAATGGATTTTGAATGGGTAGAAAGCGATGTGAGTGTCGGAGAGCCTGGGAGTACGCCTACAATTTGCCTCTGAAGTTGGCGGCCTAACTTGGTGTGCCAGCCAGCGAAGGTATTGCCCCCTTCCCTCTTTATACGATCCTTTATACGATCCTTTATACGATCCTTTATTTCTTTTTGCTCAACGGCTTCATTCATAGAAAGGCTCTATTAATCTCTATTTACTCTTTTATCGCTCATCTTGAGTAAGGGTATATATATTCTAAACGACATATAAAAACCAAAAAAAAAAAAAAAAACCACCCAATGTTTTCCGTGACGTTACTTAATAAGTGGATGTTATCTTGAGATAAAGTTGCTCTCGAGTCTCCCCGAAAACAGCAAACGTAACCCTTTCAACATTACTACAGTTGCCAAATACTTTTTTGAAATAGCAGCAGTAGCAGCAACAATAGCGGCAGCAGCCTATGTTACAGCTGGAGTGTTGAATAACATAATCGGGGTGCTGGATAACTTGTCTCTACAAAAAAACTACAAAGAGGGCGAAGCAGCGAGATGTCAGGCAGCGGTGCTCAAGTCTTTCAACAAGCAGCTTCCAGGCCTGCTCGATGCCACTCACAACTTACTCGACAGTGGCAAAGAGCGCATTTTTTTTTTTGGCCATTGCCAGCAGCGTCAGGCAGATGGCTGAGTGTTATTGAAATGTTGGCCAACGCTCAGGTCAATTTGCGCAGAGACCGTGGAGCAAAGTGCCAGGGGGCATCAACGCAGCGGTTTCTTCTTCGTGCAAGTCTGTCTCTGAAGCTACAAATGCCGTATAGCGAAATGCAGAGAGCATCAATGCAAAAAAGAATAAGAATAAAAAATAAAAAAAACTAGCTTGTTCAGGCAAATCCATCTCTGAAGCCGTAGACTCGATCAAGACGGCTGTGGAGGAAGTTGGCACCCCCAAAGTCCACGGGGTTCGTCTCATGGCCAAGTCGCTGTGCATAAAGTCATCATGGAGCAAATTTGTTTTGCAGATGAAGCAAGTGAATCGAAACGTGGAGAATATCCGAGAGGAGTTCTGGCGAACCAATTGTGCCGACTTCATTTGGAGGTGCGGGCGAAAGAGGATTTTTTGCTGAAGTGGTGTATAATTTCGTCAATATGGAGCTTGGGAGAGGCCAGTATAAAGTTGATTGCTTCTTTGTTTGGCATCCCGACACTTGGTGGCATCCGGCATTCTTATGCAAAAGGTCAAGGCACCGTTGCCGGCATCCTTTATGGGCGAGTCGGATTTGTCTGGACCGGCTGTGTATTGCCATGAAGGCAATTCGGCAGGGCATGAAGGAGCAGGGGCAAGGATCCTGAAAAGATGCCTACTACTACTTTCCACATCTTGATCTACAATATCGCAGTTCCGGTATCCTCTTCATTTTCCGGATGAGCTTCTCCCTGAGGTTGCTTGGACCAAAGCACGACGGGGGCAAACCCCTTGATGTCAGCTGTTTCTTCCTCACTGCCAAAGAACTTTGACTCTGCAGGTCGTTGAGAATAACTTCAAAGAGAAGCCCCTTGATCAAGATGCAGCAGAAAACCATGGCGATGGCGATAACAATGTCATTAGTCTTTAGAGGTAGCTAAGGAGGTGCCCATGCTGAGATGGCAGCTGCTTCTCCTCTGGCATTGGTGGTCGTGGCGCCTCTCTTCTACGGTAGTGCATTCGGTTGTCTGTATTCGGGACGTGCAGTTGGAGTCTCTGGCGGATCATTTGTCTAACAAGAGAGCACGAGTCCTTGGGCCACGGGATGAGGTGCCTCTGGAATGAGGTATATGTGATCCATTGAAGCGTACAGTGTTAATCTTGGTGTTGGAAGGCGCCATATGATTTACAAACTCGAAATTGTTGAACAACAATAAACTTCATTTCTCATAGCCAGTCTAGAATCTATAGCCCTTATCTAGAGGTGTTAATCCGTCTTAGCTCATCCTTTGTCTTTGCCCATACCCCTTTGAACGCCCAAGGATAGAGAGACTGAGCACTTTTGTATATCTCAAAAACCCACTTATTACAAAATTCTACCCTTCTCGAGCCGAGCACTGAGCTCACCAAGCCGACTGTACAACAGGACATGAAACACCTTTATCATTTTGACATCATTTAGGCTTCAACTTCGGACTGCTTCCACTTGGCGCCACCACCGACCAATCGACCACCCTCCTTTCGCTTGACGCGGCAGCTCATGCCAACGTTTTCGTCCCAGATGAATCGCCAGATGGCATAGCTCCAGCTTTGGTGGTGAGGCAGGGGCTCATAAAACTCCTTGGCAATTTCATACAGAGAATGAAGTCTTGTCCAAGGGATGGCGGGGAAGTCGTGGTGCTCGTTGTGATAGCCGACATTGTAGGCAAGAATGTTGAGAGGACCATAGTATGAAAAGGTCTCGGGAAGGGGGACCTTGTTGTCGGGGTTGCGTTGGGTGGGGGTAATGGTCTCGTATACATAGTGCTCGGCGATGAAGTGGCCAGCCAAGGGGTGCAGGCTGCCAGCCAGGAAGGAAGAGAGCAGCAGGTAGAGGAGGGCGTTGTAAGAAGTGAAGCGGACCAGGACGACATCAAACGCGGCTTGAACAAGGATGTTGAGGGCGTGAATCTTGGTCAAGTCCACGCGGTACACCGTCATGGGGCGGATGGCGTAAAAGAAGATTTGAAAGGTGCAAAAAAATGCCTTGCCGAGGATGGAGTTGAGCACAAAGGCCTCGAGAGCGGTGGGCAGGTCAGTGTCGAGGCCATCCACGCCGAGGGACTTGTGGTGAGTGAGGTGGTACGGCTATAAAGGAGGCCAGACTGAGTCAGTGCACAGTTTCCCAATATCCTGCGGAAATGGAGCTTTCACATACCCTGAAAGAAGCACTGTAAGGAATGCCAATGGGCAGGTTGGCAACAATAGCGATCAAGCGATTGGCCAGAGGGCTCTTGAAGGCAAGATTGTGAGAGATCTCGTGGATGGCCAGAAACAGGTTCTGGTTCGCGGTGGCGCCAAAGACGTAGGCGATGGCCCAGAACTTCAAGGACCAGAAGGGCGTTGACTGTAGGAGATAGGCGAGGACAACTTGAAGACCAACAACGCCGGCAACAACATATTTCGTCATGGGTTCGGGGCCGCATAGCTTGAGGACCTGGAATGAATCCCGTTAGCTTTATCTAAACAGAGCATTCAAGTCGAGATGGAGAAGAGGCGTTACCTCTGGATGGGCTTTGATGATGGCGAGACGCCTCGTCCGGTGCGGTTCTTCAGTATAGGTCCAGAGAAAGTCATTGCTGTCCTGCTGGGGCGCAGGCGAGGAATTGGCCGGAGGAGTGGCCTCCTTGGTGGCCGTTGTGGCCGCGGATCGTGCCATTGGGGAGAATAGCTAGTATCACAGCAGAGCAGAGTAGGAAGAACAGCAATCGATAGCTGGCAATGGCGATAATAGTAAGGTGATGGTGGCACGGCAACAAGCAAGCTTCAACTATGGCGATTGTGTCACCACTGCCAAGACTCGAGTTGCGAGAGTTGAGATGCGAGCGTTAGAAATAGTTGGTCGCAGCTCTGGCGTGTTTGATCTGCCAAGTGGGCTGTTTCGTAATATAAAGGCGGTGGGTGTCTGCGAGGTACAATAAAAGTCCACGCAAGCAAAGATTGTGGCGGAAAACTGCCCCAAGTGAAGAAAAATTACAGGTACCGCCACCCACTGAACCACCTATAAATGCGGGGAGAGCGCTGTAAAGGAAAGGAAAAGCTTTGTCTACTAGCCGAGAGAGGAAGTGTCGGGGGGCTGAGGCGCCAATCAGAGAGCTGGATCGAGCAGTTGGTGCGGATGGAGACGCCTCGGAGCCGAGAGCTGGAGCGTGGTCTGATTTGGGGAGTTGGTGAAAATAATGACACGAGTAACACAATGAGCATAAAAATAGAATATAGAGATGGAGGTTGTATAAATGAGAGAGTAAGTTGGAGCAGATGGACGAACAAGGGGAATGGGGAGGCCTTGTGTAAAGCTGCGCAGCTACTAGATACCTGTCCAGTTGACGATCTTTACTGCAACATGGAGCCGAGCTTCAGCCCACTTTGGCGGAGGCACTACTCTGAAAATAGCATCTCGCGTAACGCAACGCCATTACCCGGGAGCTGAACGATTATTGCTTTTGAGATGGATTTGGATCTCAGCTGAGTATATTTCTAACTGGTTGCTGAAGTTGCATGCAGCGGGTATGTTGTCTTGATACCTTCTAATAAAAGAGGGGGAAAATATATATATACCTATATATATATATCTCCTACCAGAGGCTCGCTGTGGTCAAATATGGATCTACTTATTCATGTTCCGGTCTCTTTTTATCACAGTTTATGCCCTCATCATCATACATTCGTCATATACTTATAGCTATAGTTACAACTACGATGGAGTCATCTCTACTATTATTTACGCCACGATACCTACTAATACTTACGCCAACATTGCCTACGACTTGGGTTGTTAGTTCTTACACGAAAGACATCGTGTAAGACGGGAAAAAGACCGCCATGCATTTCTGCAGGCTTTTGCATCGTTCTCTCCGAAAACGCTTTCGCGAGAGACGTAGTGAATATTTCGACTCTCGGGCCTTTGTAACCCGGTACGCGGCTCAACTATATGCACCCAGCCCCTTGGGCCGCTGTCCATCCGCCCACTCCCCTAAAAGAAAAGAAAAATGCAATATGTATACGAACAACATGTTTATACGCTTCACAATGCCGTCTCGTTAGGCCAAACTTTGGCTTATATACCTCTCCCGTCTTCTCTTCTCGTGGTATCAAACTTCGTATCGTTCATGATTTTATAGCCCGTTGCTCGCGCAAGAAAACACGCCGCCTACCGACCCAGAGTCATACGCATCAATGATGCTCTGAACGCTAGCGTACGTGCCCGCAGAGAGGAAGAACACCCCCATGATGATGATGAAGATGTTGACACCCGTTGAAAACGCCGCGGTGATGCGGTTTCGCTTTCGACCAGCCTTTTCGTCCACGCTTCGCATACGCAGGTAGGCAACGCCCCAGAAAATGAAGCCGAACCAGCTATCGAAGAGGGATGACATGACAGCCAAGACTATGAGGAGCACTATTGTTAGTATGGCGTCGATGAATAGCAGTCACGCTGAGCTATAAACAACTTACGAGAGTTAAAGAAGGGAATGACTTGAGAAATAATGAAGGCAAAGATCCAGGTAACGAGCAGGATGCCGAACCAGCTGGCCCACCCCACAACAGTGTGGCTGTTCATGTGCACCGAGTTGCGAAAGACGCGGAAGAAGACGAAGCGAGCCGTCACCGAAGCATACAGGCATCCCAGGAAAATCAGCGTCGGAATCATGAAGGAGAAGGCCGCCTTCTTGTAAACATCATCCAGGGATCCAAAAGCGGGAGCAGTCACATATTGGTTGCCAGTGTAGGCGTAGATGACTCCGCCAACAACGGAGAAGACGATGATTTCGGCAATGGTGCAGGCCCAGAGCGACTTGGGAAATTCCCTGCGAGTGACTTGATTAGCATTCTCTCTGAAAAGAAGGAAATGGGTTGAAAGAGCTACTTACCTAGGATCTCGCATCTCTGCAATGAAACTGGGGAGCGTAATCTGGCCGATAAAAGTATAGCTGATGTTCAGAAAGGCGCCCATGGCGTTGACGAATGAGGTTCCCTTGACGGGAAGAGCGGTGACAATTGGCGAGCCCAGGGCCGCACTGAAGCCCGCAGGCTCTTTCTGGATGGCCTGAAAGATGGTTGCCAGCAGCACAGAGATGAAGGTGAAGAAGGCAGACGCCGTGCCGAGCTTGGACATCATGCTAAACGTGCGAGGCAGCGAGGCGATCAAGCAGATGACGGTGACGACGACGCTGAAGACGACGGTGCGGCACCCACCGACGTGATCGCTCGCCGTCATGGTGTTGAGGTACTTTGCGCCCACCAGGACATGCAGGGCCTGGATAAACGTGTTGTTGAGGACGAACATGATGGCGGTTCCCCACCACGCCCATTCCTTGCCCCAGAAGAGCATCTGGCCAATGTCGCACACGTCGCGCACCTCTGGATGGCGCAGACAAAACTCCCACAGGATGAGACTTGTATAGAGCACAACGGCGGCAACGAAGACGGTCAAGATGAGGCCGGGGACAAGGCCCAGCACGCTGTACGACCAGGGGAAACTCATAATGGCCAGGCAAATGTACTCGCTGAAGAGCAGCGCGGCCGTCTTCTGCCACGAGCAGGTCCTGTATTGGATCGAGGTGCCATCTTCTGACGCGAGCTGTCGGTTGAGGATTGCTTCGCTCGACTCTTCGCCCTCAGACACGTCGTTCTTGAGATATGCGGGCAGCGGCGCGATGCGAGGCCCGACCCAGACGTTGGTACCGCCGAAGAGAGAGGCAAAGCGCGAGAAGCCGCTGGAGTGAGACACTGTAGCCTCGAGATCTTCCGGCTCTGTCTTGAATTTCTCAGACATGGCCGCGACAGGAGAAGAATATAATTGGGGGGGATAGAAGAAGAAGAGGAAGAGAGCAGATGTGCTAGTGTATACTAGCAAGATCAATCTGTATTCAGCTCTTAACGAATGAAACGGGAACCAGACATCAAGCCAGACTCTACTATGCTATGCCACAGATATACGGACAAGATGCTATGATGAAGAGGAAGAGGACGAGATCGAGGATGACGGAAAGATGAAGAGAGCAGGATGGAGCGTCGGTGCAGCGAGGGCCCGACAATATGTAAAACCGGCGATCCTTCCCACGCAGTAGCACGTTGTTGCTCCCGCTTCTGGTCCAATGAGACGGGCTCGCAAGCAAGGTTTGCAACCAGAAGTGTTTTTAGCGGCAGCCCAGCGCAGGGATCTCGCGAGCACGTCAACCGTGGCGGTCATGGTCTGCAGAATAGAACCGTAAGAGAAAGGGAGCCAAGGATCGCCCCCCATGCCCTCCAGCCTTTCTTCCAGGCAGCGCTTCGAATTGTTCCCTCACCGAACGATGACGTTATTTCGATCTAGCGGGCCCCCATGCTGGGAATGGGGACAGCCTCCAACCCGCATCACGACGAATCCTGTGGAGTCGCATCATTTTTTAGCCCGCAGTCGTCGCGGAGCATTCGAGCCTTGCGGTCTTGGCTTGGCCACCCCGAAGAAAAAAAAATGCTCCGCAGCGAGTCGTATAATTTGCCGACCGATCCGCTTTTCTGATGCTGCCGCGGATTGGAACAGGAAAAGTGGACGCTGGGAAAAAGAGAAAAGAGGCGAGGAAAGATGGGATCTTCGCAAACGGACTTGGGACGAGTCGCATTCCAGTTGAGAGGACGGCTCTGGTTGCGTGCTCAGAGAGAAACCTGACAAGGGACGAAGAAATCAGGAGGGGCGAGGTGGACGATAAGGGCGGAGCTTGATTGGGCGAGGCGGCGGGTCGGCTCCTCGGTGGCTTGTTCTAGGTGAACTCTCCAGTGTCTGTGCCTTTTTGTCTGCTGCAGCGGCCAACAGATCTTGATCTCAACTCTGGGCTAGTGCCTGGGATGGAGGCCTTTTACTTTTGTCGCCACGGTGCCGTAAGAGAGCGTGTATGGATTGGTAAAGCAATGGTGCCATTGGCTCGCTTGGGGTCGTTCGAGTCGGTCATGGCGAGTTACTTGGTCGCATGGTTTCTCTTCCATGGCTTCACCGATACCTTGTTTGCCTGTGCCTAGGCTGGAGTTTTATGACCGAAAATGCACCGCGCAGATAGCGATTGGGGCTCTTCTTCTTCTAGCCTCCAATAGACGCGAGATGGTTGTTCAATAGAGGTCTAGACGAGGAGGCAAAGGGGTTAGCACGGCCCAAGTCAGAGATAGATTGAGAAGCAGCTGCACACGCCATCGCTCAAGCGCATCGCGCAATCTGCGAGGCCGGGGCTGGAGATGGCCAGATTGGGCAATTCTAGTGGTTTTTAAGCTTATTTCAGTACGTACCCTCTAGGCACCACCATTTTCACGTGCTATTATATCGACTGGGCTGATAAAGCCTGGATTGCTTTTTTGCTTTGGATCCCGGAATGATACAAGATCTCTCTCGAGGAGGGAAATATTGTTCATGCCGAAAATTGGACCCGCAGTGCAAAGTGGGTATGCAGCCTGGGGAATTCTACAACGGCAGTGACAGCGCGCTGAGAGCACTGCCAACAGCCACTCTACGTTCAACGCCACTCTCACCTTCGTGATATCGCCAAATGAAGCTTCAAATCGCAGCATCATCCATCTTTTTCGCTTTTTTCCTCTTGATCCGCACAACTTGAAGAAAAAAAACCACCACGACCAAGGAGACACGAAGAAGCAAAACAAGAAGAACAAAAAATATTTCGCACAACTGGCAAAAGGGTTCGGTGCCGGCCCCTTTCGGGTTTAGCCAGCACCTACGTCCCTGCCGAATGTTGCCGTCGAGAGTCGAACCGTGTTGTCGTTTATCCTTTCCTAATCGATCCCCAGAGGAGGCAGTTTGACCTGACCGTTGCACCACGGCGCCCCTGCCTCCCCGACTACCAGCAGCATTATCGTCGCTTATAACACTATGGTTGCTGTTTGGCTGGCAGTGGCAGTGCCACGTGGGCTGGCAGTGGCCAGCTGTCCTCTTCGCCCTCCGGCTGCGAGAAAAAAGAGCGCACCCAGAAGCTGTATCAAGTGCCAGACAGCTAGCTCCCTTGTAAGGCGTGTGATCCAGCCAACGGCCAGTGAAATCGATAACATAGCTCTGAGATAGGCTGAAATAGCTCAGAGTAGACGTGTGGCTGCTCTAGACAAGCCGGTAGATCAAGTTTGTGACATGTCCGTATTCCAGTCGTCCAGCTTCAGATATGGGCGTAGAGTAGATGAGAACCACTCAATCGACGGCATACAGCTCCCTGCATCTGGCACCAAATAGAGAGAGAGCCCCAAGACAATACGTGTAGCAGTGCCGGTTTGGTGGCTATGTGCTGCCCAGCTGGCTGTCGTGAAAAGGGACCATCACTGCACTTGCAGTCCTTTTCGCCAGTGTCAAGATAAAAGCGGGCAATTCCAGGTAAAAAAGGCGTCTGGCGAGCAAAGAGACACCGAATAGTCAAGACAAGCGTGTTTCCAGGCCATGAATAGCCGTTGCTCATCCATTGATCAGAAAATAGACAAATAGGTAATCACGGATCCAGGCAATAGAAGGAAAAAATACAAGTCTACAATGAGAGTGTGTCGTGGGAAATTGGTGGCGGAATAGATGGCGCTTGAGGGCAAGCTACTCCCGAAATGGAAATGGGTTGCCCTTCGTGGACTGGCCGCACCGATAAATGCATGTGGATAATAGATACATGTGTACATGTACCTTTCAGAACGCAAAATCAGAATTACAACTACATGTATTATCTGCAAGATGGAAATTGTCCAGCTTGATCAAAGACATCTAGCTGAAATCTGCCTGGCTAGCACTGTGTTCCTAACAAGTGAGTGACGTAGATCAATCGACATCCATGTTGCCTATCTACTATCGCCGCTTTCACGCGCCCTTGACCCATGATTCAGCCATTGTCCAGAGTTTACGAGCAATAGCCGCCTCTTGCGCATATGTCGGTACCTCTTTGATCTGACAGTCGTCAATATAAGCGCCCGGATGATCTATGAGACTGTTATTCGTATTCTAGTCTTGCCAACCTGGAAAAAAGCAGCATACCTTGCAGATTTGGATCCAAAGCAGCGACGAGAAAGCTTGCAACTCCCTGGCTTGCCGTCTTATATGGCATGTTTGGATTCCGAAACTCGGTTGGGAGGTGTCTTTGTAGTTCAGTCAGGACAACTAATTAGCAAAACGTCAGCATCCCGTATGTCAGTCCATGGCAAAAGTAGAAGCTTGTCTTACCTCCCGGCGCAGCACTCACAGCTGTGATCCTTTCTCCAGCGTAGCCCTCATTCAGACCTTTGGTCAGGAGCATCAACGCCGTGCTGCTTTGAGAATAGGCCAAGAAGGGGATGTATCCCGTGCCGGCATCCTTGACCCATCCCATGCCGAGCTTTTCTGCGTTGTCAAGATCGACTTGCTCTTCTGGCGGAACATCTTTTCCCCCATCAAAGTTATAGTCGCTGAAGCGAAACGGTTGTACGTAGAATCCGCCGCTCACAATGTTGACAACGCGTGCCTTTGGCCCTGCCGCCTTAAGCTGTGGAGATAGGAGCGTCGTGAGTAGGAAATGACCAAAGAAGTTTGTAGCCAGGTGAGCCTCGATGCCCTGTTTTGTAATCTCTCTCTCCGGGATGGCCATCACCCCGGCATTGTTGATTATAATGTCAATACTCGGTGTTATTTTCTGGATGTTGGTTACTGCTTGGCGAATGCTTTCCGAGTTGGACAAGTCTGCTTGGACGACATGAATCTGCGACTTCATTGCTGCGTGCTCGTCACGAATAGCATCAGCCACGGAAGAAGCTTTGGAGGGTGTCCGAGCCGTGAATATCAAGCTTGCCGGGGTGTACTTGGCGAGAGCCTGAGCAGTCGCGGCTCCCAGGCCATTGGGACTCACTCCAGTAATGAGAACTTAAAACTTGTTTATTAGCACAGATCGTGTTGTAATAGAAGATGACTAACTCGTCTTTCCAGTAATCTGGTCGCGAAAAGAAGAGGCGACCTCTTCGGCAGTTGTCTCTGCGCCAAAGTTGTTGACCAAAGCCATGGTGCTCTATACCATTTACGGATCCAACCATGTGTATACAACGAGTCTTTGCATCTAAAATGCTCTAATAGGCTCTATTTATATCTATTTCGACACAGCACAACCTCTCCCCGGCCTCCAATATCACCGGGAGATTGTTACTATCTCCGCCTTGAAAGCCAATCTTGCATGGCCTTTTTAGGCAAAGCCAGATCGGAATAGTGGCTTGCAGCTGACGGAGTTAATGCACGATCGATTGCCCGCGCTAGCTATCCCCACATGGCCACAAGTTTGTAAGACTCGGTGCGTCGTGTGGGCATCACGTTTACTCGTTTCCTACATCATGGGAAGATCGGCAGCCCTCATTAGCAGCTAAGAGTAGAAATGCGTTTACTAATCAGTTACATTTGCGAAAGTTGCCACCGAGGTATATTGAATTCAACTCCGTTCAACGCTCGGAAAACCTATGGAGGACCATCGTGCTTGAGGGCTTCTTCAACCCATTGCCATAAAACGTGGTTGGCAAAGAAACCCGGATTCATCTCCGACATCAGCGTCAGCTTTCTTGCTATCGCAACGGCGTCGGAATTTGCACGTCTGGTGGAAGATATTGCCATTCGCTCCTGTTCCTGTACTTCTGATGTGGTCATGTCGTCTTCTTGTAGCTCGGCAACCAGCTTCCTGTTCTCATCACTCTTGGCTCGTTCATGCAATAAATGAAGAATATCTTTCTCCTCAGCGCTTGGTTGATGTATGAGCTCGAACAATCGTCGGAAATGTTCATAGTCATTTCTTGAAAGTAGCCGAACTAGTCGAGAGAAGGACCACATATAATCCGATACTTGCCAGAGCTTCAAAAGGGAACCCTCAGAGCCTATCTTCGTAGATCGTTGGCTAAAGCCCGTTCGAAAAGCAGCAGTGAGGGACTCTGAAGGCGGTCTGGCTGAGCCCCCTAGTCCTGGAGTCGCGAGCAACTCAGCGATGGGGCCTGTCGACGCCGAACTCCAGTCAATGATACATGTGATGTTGAGATCGTCATCGACGTATATATTGCCAACATGCAGGTCTGGGTGAGAAAGGGTGAAGCTGTTGTCATAGCCTGAGGAGAGTTGGGGGATCATCTCGACCAGGAACTGGCCCGCAATGCAGTAGAGAAGTCTATTTTTACTATGATCGATTTTTTGGCCAATCGCCACAAAATCATTCCACCGCCGTGATGCCATCCTGTAACTATCTGTAGTCTTGTAATGTAGGTCATCAGGGACTGGAGCATTAAAAACGTGTGGTGCAAACGGAAGCTCTCGAGCATGAGACGCGAATGCTGATATGAGTGACGCCAAATAATCGTCTTCTTGGTGAAACGGTCCTCGGTCTAGGCCAAGCGAGTCTCTCTCTTGCTAAGTAAGAGATGGCGAGAGGCATTCACTAATAATGTAGTCTTCGTTTCCATCTTTCAATAACGAACCAATCTCAGGAAAGCGATGGTCAGATAATTCTGCCATGATGGAGCCAAACTGCTCCATGACCTTTTCTCGGCCTTTGTCAGAGATGGGCAAAAAAGTGAGAGGATTTCGACTGCCGGTGAATCGATTTGGGCATTGAGACCAGTCGTAGGATCCCAATGAACGGCCTGTAGCTTTGCTCTGAAGGATATATGGCACGCCAATGCTGTTGTCGGTGGTTCCACTGAGACAATGTCAGCAGCTGGTTCTTCCAGCGAGGAAACCTGCGGTACTTGCCTGTACGAGTAGACCTCAGGTACCGGAATGGAAGTATGAGCTTTTAGGTACATCAGCGTGGAAGCCTCGCTGTTCACTATCTTGGAGGAGGTCTCATCCGAGTAAACGTTGTTGCGGCCGGCCATTGGACATCGAAACACCCACTCGACGCCGTCGTCGAAAGTCACGAAAATGACCCAATTTAGGCTGCCGCACTTGGGCATCTTGGTCACATCGCAAGTGCATTTTCGGCCGCGGAGTTGCTCTGATAGGGAAAGAAGTGCTTCAAGGTTGAAGTCTGCGAAATAAAAGATTCGGTCTTTCATGATTGTGAAGTCTCCAGATTTTTTGGTGCAAGATGCGAGAGTTGGTGTTGAGTAATAAAACATTTGCCAGCAAGAACGCCAAACACATGTGAATACGTACTTGAAGGAGTAACCTTAATTATTGGGTCGAACACATGCAAGTGCTAATTTAAGCGGCTAGCCGCTGCCGCAGCCTGTGATGATAATAATTAACCATTTAAGCTATTTAATAAATATATGTTTATAAATGAAACAATAGGTGTTTTCTATCTTCCTTGACAAGGAACTCTAAGGCTTTACCTACTAGTATATATTGTAAGTAAGCATAACAGAAATAATCTATTTCACTCAGACAAACAAAAGAATATTACTGATCGTAGCTATGCTTTCAAATTTTTTGGAGACTCACCGGTCGTCTTCGTTGTAAGTGCCAAAAGTGCTGGGTGGTGTTGATTCCGATTGGTGAGCCCAAGGGATATAGAGGAGCTAGACGACCTGAGCCAGCTCTCCCACCCCTTGAAGAGCCAGTAAAAGCTGCCAGTATGCAGTCATACCTATCTTGATTGGAAGCTTCTGAACTTGTAACCGTGCGTGATCTCGCACGATCTCATCATAATCTCCATTGGCGCTGTTGAAGCCTCCTCATTCGCAGAGTTATATGGCGCCTGTCCCGGACTAATGTTGGCTCTGGCTTCACATAGTTGGCGATTCCAAATATTTGTGGAGATATTTATAAAGCCAGAAGTGAATGATGTGTGAGTTGGAGATATTATACCTGTAAACTACGCCCTTTTAAATCTTTAATCACGGATGTGACGATGGTGGTGGGAGCTGCCTATAAACACGAGGTTGCCCTGAGAGCTATACCTTTAGAGCATCAACGACTCTAAAGAAATTCAAAATTATCAGACATTTATACAATATACCCTCCACTCAAAGCACCGCCTAGTTCGAATCGAGATGGCGGTAGCGAAGGGAATCGTGACTGTTGTCGGCGCAACTGGCGCTCAGGGGGCTCTGTTGTCGACCACTTACTCAAAAGCAAGGCTCAAGAGTGCAACGTCCGTGCAGTCACTCAATCTCCCGATAGCGCAGCGGCAAAGGCACTCGCCGCACGCGGCATTGACGTCGTTGAAGCAGATTTGACCGACACCGCAGCTCTTCGAGCGGCATTTGCGGGTTCATATGCCGTTTTCGCAGTCACCAACTTTTGGAGGCTATTTACGGACGCACAGAAGGAATTCTCCGCAGATTAGGACGTTAGTGTGGCGGTTGATAAGGCGGTAGCTTTCGAAACTGACATGGGCATTAACATGGCGAACGCGGCACTGGCCACCGATACGCTGCAACACTATTTCTGGTCAACCCTCACGGATGCCTATACAGTCACTAGTGGCAAGAGCCAGCCATTGCGTGCATTGGAAACACTCGCTCTAATTTCGGCGCCTTTGTGGAAGCGGCACTGGCCCAGCCGGAAAAGACTCGTGGTGGTCAGACCGTATTTGCCTTTGTGGAGAGGTCAACACTAGGGGGCTGCTAAAGGTTTGGGCAGAGGCACATAATGTCAAGGCTACATATGTCCAGATACTTCGGGATACCTTTTTCGCTACATGGTCGGCGATTGCCCAAGAGTTTACGCTCGGCATGGAGTTTTGGCAACTAGTTAGAGAAAAGGAGTGGACTGGCGAAGATAGTTTCTTGACCTATACCGATCTTGGAATAGATATTACAGCATTGAAGAGTGTTGTGGACTCATTTGCTGAGCTTAAGCTTTAAGCACAAGAGGGATATTAATGGGAGGATGGTTTTCAAGTCACTCAGCCACCTTGTTCTTTGCATTAGCTAGAGAGTGAAAAGGAAGCGTTGATCTTTAATTAGAAGTAGCAGAAGTAGCAGAAGTAGCAGAAGTAGCAGAAGTAGCAGAAGTAGCAGAGGTAGCAGAAATAGCCCAATACTTCAAGTCTCAACTAATCAATCACTTAATTGACCAACCGGTAGACACATGGATTCTCAAATGCCGTCCTATATCCACATGTCTTTGTAGGGCGTCGGCTTTGCTGTTGGGCCAGGGGAAAACCCAGAAACTCGGCTATCGGATCTCGAGGCACATATAGCTAATGCTTAATCTAAGATCCATAGTAATTCTTAATCCAACCACAATGTTTGTCTCTATAGCTGTTTGAAAAGAAGAACAAAAGTTAAAATTCAGAATAGAGGTAGAACGAAGTAGAGCAAAGTAACAAAGAAGAGACTCCCCAATCCTTTGCAACAGTAAGCACTCAAAGACTCACCTGCCTTTGCCCGGCTTAGCCCATGTTTTCAGCTGTTGCACTTATCTCTGCTTTTAGGCGAAGATGCTCGTATCACCATATGCAAAGCACAGACTGTTTTCGTCCAGGTGCATTAGATTCACCGTCGCTTACCGGGATTTGCAACTCAGAGTGGTTTAGTCTCCGCCAGCCGTATCTTGTGGCAGTCTCGTTTTAGTTATTAGTAATAACTATATATACACAACGTCGCTTTCGCATAGTCCGAACCGCGGCTAATTCTGGAGGCAAAATTGGCTCTGGAACCTTCGCGTTAAAGCTGACCGAGTTGTTGCCAGGTTTGATGATGAGTTGCTTTCGACTAATCAGCAAGCCTTTTGCCTATCCGAGAAGCTGCTCTCATTCCCTCGCTGCTCAACAACTAGCGATAGGTGCAAAATATGAGGCCGTAGGAAGAGGCGGCCTCGGCTCATGGATTATACGAGAACTAGTGTGGCTAGCGCCAGGTCCCGTCTATAGCACGATTTGTAAGATTGGACAACGTTCGCTGGCCACTGCCTATCCTAGCGGAAGTGTCGCCAACACCCTCTGTAAGCGTCTGATGGCTCGACAGCGACTCATGCCATGATATTTGGAATAGGGCCTTTAGCTGTTCTGGGGAACTCTACGGCGTTGCGCGCCTATTAATACCTTAATATCATGGCTGAGAAATAGCCAAGTGGACCCGGCCGGAAATTCGAGCTCCAGCAACAAACGCCGCTTTCGACTCTAGCCATTCCATGATACTGTAGTCTGTAGCCGCGATATGGCATCGGCCCAGGCTTCAGGAGAGCCACGACGCCGTGGACGTCGGCCAGGCCCAACCTCACAGGCAAAGCCAGAGCCCAGTGACGAGAGCTTGGAGGTTTGTCCTTTTCTGATGATGGTTTTGATTACGCAAAGACCTCCTGCTGATGCTTCAGCCGGGATAGAAACGGCGGCAGCGGAACCGCAAGGCACAGCGGCTATTCCGTCTACGGCGGCAAGCTGCTCATGCAAACTATGAGAAGAACATGGTCCATATAGAGGGGGCCCTTGAGCAGATGGCCGGGACGTTTCTTGATTTCACAAACGGCATCCTCCAGTCGCCGCTGATAAGACAGGATCCTGCCCTCGTCTCCAAGCTGCAGTCTGCAACTAACAGCATATTGCATCTATGCCAAGGAGGTAGCCTGGAGGGCAGCCCCCAGAGCAACCAGGAGATCAACGACGATATCGATACTTTTGAAGGACGGCCTCCGAGCAGCTCTACCAGCGATGACGCCGAGTTTCAACAGACGTATCATGGAAGCAAGGAGCCTTCTCAAACACTGGACGGCATGCTCCTTGATTTTCATTCCCTCAACCAACCGACACCTGTCCTTCAGCCTACTTCTCAACCTCCTCCTCAACCTACTCTCCAACCTGGCAATATTGCATCGACCGCTCGATACAACCCATTTATCAAATCACATTCGTCACCGATTGGGAATATCTTCGGCAATGGCTTTATGAGCCTACCACCCATTAATTTTGCGGACTGCGCTACAACCGACTATATGCTGCACACATATCCATCTGAAGAGTCCTTTAGCATCATGATCACCAGAGCTTCTCTGCAGCACGCGTATGACTCTATCCTCAGCGACACATACGCCACTTCCGCAGCTGTCGACAGAATATTTGGCTTCACTCTCAAGTTTCGATCGCGCGAAGAAATCCTCATGGTACTGCGCTGGTACCTGAGACCTCAGACGTCGGAGATTTCCAGATTGGCCACGGCCGAGTTTGACGACTACTTGGTGGCTCAGTACTATCACGGAATCGCCACAGCTCAGTATTCGGGCATTGATGGAGTCTTTGACGGAGGCTGCTTGGATCCTTCCAACGGCAGAGCTTCTTCTCCTTCAAACCAAAGCCGGATTTTGAATTCCTATCAGATTGAGCAGTGGCTGTTAGCTTGTGGTATGAAATATCTTGATTTTGATACAATCGAGCTGAAAGAAATCAAGCCGGTGGGCAGGCTGCTAAATAATCAACCGCCCGACACTTCAGAGGAACTGATGCAGCCATTTGTAGCATTACAACAAACACAACAGCAGCAACAACATGTGCCTCTCCAAAGTGTTCCCAGGATAGAGATTCAGCCACCGGCGGATATAGATTCAGAAGGCAAGATAGGGAATATTCGTCTATCAAGATCACGATTAATACATGTCTTGAGAGGAATTTCCTTTTGCATTGACAAGGGGCCAGCATATTGCGAAAGAGCCGTTCTGGAGTCGGTTGTCATAGCAATGCATGCCGACAACTAGGTATGATGGAACAGCCAAGGCTTACCTCCGAAAATCTGCGGGAACAACTAACGATAAGCGTGTTTCAATATAGATTTTTGTTTTGTCATACCGCTGTGTTGCCCTTCAAAGCTCACGAATAGCTGTTAGTAGCTTTCGATGACTTTGCTTCGGCTGCCTAGCCGCAGTCTTATGTGGCAAATGCACCCAAAGGGACCGCGAGCATATTGTTCAGTAATCACATAACATGACTTTCCCGGAACACTTTTGAGTGGCGCCTCCCTTTGATTTTAAACACCCAGCAGCCAAGACACGGACCGGTCTTTTTCAACAACTATTCGGAGGCGCTTAGTTAACAACACAATCAGCCCTATGGAAGTTTCTTGTCGGTTCCTGGCTTCGGAGAGCATTACCGACAATCTGTCACGTTGTTGTCGTCTTCATAAACGTCTGATTGGTTGTTGATTGTTGGGAGTCGGAGCACTTAGCTAAACACCTCCGACATAATACCTGGGCCGCGTCCCCACCACAAAGATTGCCAGCTAAGCCCTGTATGTTCATCTCAGGATCTTGGCTCAAAGCTTCCAAATCATGAGGATGATTAGTTTATTGGGTTTCAAATCATACATCTCTCCATTGAACAGACATTTGTTTCCTTTTCTTTTTTTTCGATAAGGAAAATGACAACATTAGAGACGCGGTGGCGTATATGCCATATAAACGGCATTGAGCTGTCATTCTGGCTAGCATAATTAAAGCGAATCACAAGACGAAGCAAGAAGTGGATGTACGCGAACTCGCTACAAGATGGCTATTGACGAAGAGACGAAAGTCGATACTTCTCGACCACTCGAGCAGTTAACTCCAAACTCGGATGGAAGCACGACCACGATCGATGCCGAACCAACAGTTCCTACAGAGGCGGAGGGAGGTTTGTCCAAGGAACAACAAGGGATACGCAAGCACCTGATTGCACTAAGCATTGTGCTATGCCAGCTTATTGTGGTATGTGGCAGATTTGAACATAAGGAAAGGGTTTCCAGCACCCGATTCTATTCCAGCACTCCAGCTATGGCGAGCTACAGATGCTACAGATGCCAAGGTGCTGGATAATTGGGGTGCTGGATAACTTTTCCCAAAACATACCTAGAGTTGTCATCTAACTCTCTTGAAACTAATAGGCTCTCCCTTTCGGTTCCGGCCTTTTGATCTCATATACCATTCCCCAAAAGCTGGGGTCTGACCCAAGCCTGGGTATTTGGATTGCTGCATCATATCCGTAGGAACTACCTCCTTTACCTGAACTTGATACGGTTATCTGATTCTCGACACACAATAGGCTGACGGAGGCGACTTTTGTCCTAATGGGTGGCCGTGTTGGAGCTGTCCACGGCCACAAGAAAGTTCTCATCATCGGCGGCACCATCTACGTTTTGTTCAATCTCATCTCGGGGTTTATGCGAACCGTCTCGACCATAATCGTCATGCGAGCTCTTAGTGGCGTGGGAGCTGGCATAATCGTTCCGAATGCTATTGCCCTGCTTACGACATCGTTCCCGCCGGGCATAGGCCGCTTGATCTGGGTAGGGCTGTTTGGAGCGATGGCTCCTGTCGGTGCTGGCGGTGGTTCCATATTCCCAGGCTTCTTTGGCCAGCTGCTGCCTTGGTGGTGGCTCTTTTTCTTCTTGTGCGTGAGAGCAGCAATCTTCAAGCTCGGAGCGTCAGACGAGCTGGGCTAATGATGGATGATAATACAGTGCCATTGCCGGAACCGTTGTCTTCACGGCTGCTGCGATTCTTGTCCCCTCTGAAGAAGTTACAATGGATCCGAATGGCAAGGTTGACTATATCGGGTCGTACTTTGGCGTTGGCGGCCTGATTCTGTTCAACTGCGCCTGGACGTGAGTCTATACCTTTTCTCAACTTTGGACTTTTAATAGTACTTGCTAACGTTGGTATAGAGAGGCTGCCATCAAGGAATGGAAGGTCGATTATGTTTACATCATCTTCATCCTGTCTGTGCTTCACATGGCCCTATTTTTACTATGGGAAGCAAGATTTGCAAAGGAACCAATATTGCCGCTTTCAGTCTGGTCTGCGCCATCGTTTAAGCCCATGCTACTCTCCGCCTTCTTCACATTTATGAGCACGGGCATTCTCTTCTACTATATAACTCGATGGCACGTGGACATCCGCCACTACTCCAACCTGCTCAACGCTGCATCCTTTGCGACTTTTACGGTCATGGCAACGCTCGCCTGTGGAATAAGTGCTATTTGCGTGCGATATATGCCTGCACAGCTTGTGATGGCGATAGGGACGGTTTCGGCTCTGGTTGCGGGTATTTTGCTGGCGACAATGCCCGTCCATCAGAATTACTGGCCGCAGGAGTTTCCAGCGCTGTTCATATTGGGATTCAGCCCCGACTTTATCTTTACGGCCGCGCAGATAATCACCAGCAACAGTGTCAAGCGCAATCTGCAGGGCGTGGCTGGATCTCTCGTCGGTACGATTCAGCTGTACGGCTTGGGCACGGGTCTGGGGTTTGCTGGCACTATTGAGATTTACACGAACAGGCACGGCGCTGATCCGATTGGCGGAATTAGACACGCTCTGTGGTTCTCGGTTGCTCTGGCTGCTGCAGCGACGTTGATGTGTGTCTTGATTCGGATTCCCAAGGATGAGCGCGAGGGCTGGGATGAAGATGAAGTGGAGGGCCATGCCTGATCTATTTCGAAGTAAGTTTGTGCCCCTTTCACTGGGGATGAAAGAGGGCAGTGACAATGATTAATTACTTTTAGGTGCATGAGCGAGCTTTTGCGTATTCTTGTTCGATGTTGTCGTTTCTTTGAACATTTAGAGACGTTTTCATATACCATTTCTTGTCATCTAAAACATCTATAGACATATATGCATCTAGCGGAGGAATCTCTTGGGGCATTTACTAACAATCATTCGCATTTGTATTTTTTGGTTGATGGATGATATAAACCGGTGTATTTTACGCTCGCTTCATTCTGATATCAATAGCTGTCAATCATCTCGCGGTATTTGTCTTATATGTACCTGGGCGAGCATAGGTACGTAATGAGGATACTCAGATGCAATGAAAGAAAAAGAAAAGAAAAGAAAAAAAAGGTCCAAATAACGCATACCTTGGATGCCCAATATTCAATTCCCAACTCATTGATGTAATTGTGCGCATTGCTAATTGCTTTATGCATTGATAGTGGCTAGTGCCTTGTAGCTACAGCGCCACAGTCGTCATTCGCAGAGCTGATCCCAAGCACCGCCGCATGTGACGTGAAACCGCCGAGACCACAGCATGGCATAACATGGCATAACATGGCATAACATGGAAGCCTTGCTCATTTCTGCTGCATTCTGCTTGCATTTTTTTTTCCGTCACCACGTCTTCCGGAAGCTCCTCTGCTCTTCATCTGCCGCGCCCTTTGTTTTGATTCTCATCAGACAAGACATCTTTAGCTTCAACAAGAAAGAGAGCCCAGGTCTTGCTGTGGCTGCGACCCCTCACGTGCAGATAAGCGGTCTCTGTGCGCCGATAACAACGGCCCTCCGAGTCTGGACACTTCACAAGCTTTGGTTTGTCATACGAGCTAAAAATTAAATTATTGGGGTAGCAGGCGGCAGCTGCATCTGGATCGTCTCCAGCACGACCACAAGCCGAGGATACTTGACGGGCAGACGACGGAGAAGCTTCTGGCACCAGGGAGACGCAAACAACGACCGCAGCGGAGCAGAAATAGGCCATCGACCCGGCGACACAGATGAGTAACCGCTGGTGACGGAGCGATTGCGGGCGACCTGTGCATCTGCCTCTCGGGGACTGTCATCCTCCCAGGCGCGGGGGGACCTCCGAGACGAGACGAGACAAGAGATCGGTCTGCCATCAGCATCCGGGCTTGGAGATTAACAGAAAAAGATAGAGATACCCGCGGCACGGCACGACCCCTGCCGCCCACCGCCGCCCCGATGTGGTGGCCATTCAGCATCTTCTTCAGCAGCATCTTCCTCTTCGCCATCGTCCTGTCCATCCCCGTCGCCTTCGATGTCGGCGGCCGGGACAGCGGGCTGGCCTACAGCCTGAGCCTGTCCATCTTCTACATCTTCTACTCTGCCATCCGCCTGGCCACGCCCGAGACGTCGCGCGTCCGCTGGTCCATCGTGACGCTGCTGCGGCTGGCGCAGTGGTTCGTCATCCCGTCGCTGCTCATCTGGGCCCTGGGCAAGTTTGGCGTCGACGCCGATGCCGGCAGCTCCAGCTGGGTCGAGAGGACGCTCGGCGGCGTCTTCCAGTCCAAGAGCACCAGCTGGACCGAGTGGATGTTTGGCAAAGAGGGCCTGCTCGAGACCATCTTCCTTGGCTCGTGGGACAATGTGCTGAGGTACTCGGGCCCTGTATTCCAGCTGCTCGAGGGCTTCTGCACGCTGCTCGTTATCCAGGCGGCGGGCCAGATTACTCGATGGCTCGTCAACAGAGGGAGGAGCGATACATGGGTGGTGAGTTGTTTCCTCAATGATATCAAAGCCAAGATGGTCGTCATAGCTAACTTTTGCCCCCCCCCCTTTGCGCAGATCGTCTTGCTTGCATTTTCTGGCTCCATCATTGCCAGCGCCGTCTATTTCCTGTGGCGCGTGGCCCAGTTCCCTCAAATCAGCAACGTTGATGCCACTCTCATTGGCGTCACCATGACTACGGCTGTGTTCCTCTGCGCGTACGGCATTGGCAGTGGCCGCGGCAGTCCCGTCGAATCGTCGCTTCTCTTCGCCTATGTCGTGCTCTGTGTCTATCAGATCTTTACCGACTATCTCCCGTCCGATGGCACCTATTCTACCGAGGACCAAGCTTCATCGCAACCGGAAATCCCCCCACTTCCGCCCATCATCATGGCCTCGTACTCAACCCTACTTCACATACTCAGCACCCTACCTGGCGCTTTGCATTCTTCGCTCGCCCTCTTATACGCCGCTTTCCAGACAATCACGCCATCCGTCATCATATCTCTCGCATATCGCCTGTTCGTCTTCTACTGCGCCACCCGCATCATCCCATCAGTACGGGATCTAGGCGCCCGAGCCATGATGCATGAGCCTGACTTTGACGAATCAGAAACAGCGTCCATGTTTCTGAGCATCCTGAGCTACTTTTCACCAACAATATTGATATCGGTTTACACCAGCCTGCTGCTGCAACACTTTTCAACGAGCGAGGGGCCAGACGGCTGGACACTCAGGGGCGGCGACGTGGGTGGCAGCTCTTGGCGGTGGGTCAATGTAGGATTAACCATGGTGCTGTATGGAATTGAGCTCACCTTGAGCACAGACGATCAAGATCACTGGAAGGTGGATTGAATAACGCAGGATAACAATTGGGTGGGACTTAGATAGGAGGTGGAATAGCAAAGGGGGGAAAGCCAGAAACCACCTTTACCAAAATACTTCAATAAGACGCATTAACTATTTGAGTCGATTGAGTTACTAATTCCATTGTTTTTTAGTATGCTTAGATGGGGTTTCGTAATGGATAATATTTGAAAGCTGTTGGAAAGAACGACATCAGGGTGTTTGCTTATTTGAGTTTTACTATCTGTATGTAAATAGACCTATGAACTAGTTCGTTTGTGCTCGAACATCCGAGACGAACCCAGTCCTTTAGTTATCATAACCCGCCTACGCTTACGGAGTCGCGGCTTGTAGCGTATGATGCATTCTAAATGCTTTATACTATTAGCTTCCGCCTAAATACAAGAAGCTCCATTGGAGAGTACAAATTCTGCCTTTCGTGTGGTTATATTCCGTCCAGTAGATAGGCGAGATCCAATATGCTCGCCTGTATGTCACAGCCAGCTAACTGTAGGCTCCATGAGCCATCCATTGCACCATATGCTCCAAGTATTCCTGCAGTAGCGATGACAGCAGTAGCAGCAATAGTAACAAAAGCCCATGCTGTAACTAAACTGCTAGATAATACGGCTGGGCTGATGGACAACTCTTTCTCATTATTTTGCGAGTATGTCGAATCGCTGACTAAAAACGGGCTAGAGCGGATGCTTTTAGCCGCTTTATAGGTCAACACTGTTGTAGATCGCTCACTGTATGCACAGTCAATGTTACGGGAGTTTACTATTAGACACACTGGCTCCGGCAACACAGCCATCAACATTCCATCTTCACATCTGCTACGGCATAATAGAACAATAAAATGACTACCGAGGAAAAAGACAATAAATACACCACAAAGGGCCTCTCACCCCCTCCAGATGTCTCTGTGACCACGATGCCCATGGCCGGCCTCCTGGTCGACGTCTACGGCCTACAAGAGCTTCCCGCATCAGCAGCGCCGACAACATGCCTGTGGCTCCTTCACCCGCGGACACGCACCAGGGCTGTCATGAATGATATTGCCAGGCGGGCAATCCACTCCTGGAATCAGAAAGGACAAGAGCGAGGGCTTGTGGCCCTGGCCTTTGACATGCCCAACCACGGCACGAGAATGGTGAGCGCAAAGGCCAACCTGGCGTGGGACGAGGGCGAGGGCAATGAGAACCACGCCATCGACATGTTTGGTCTGGTCAAGGGCGGGATGCGGACCATGGGCGGGTTGATGGACCAGGTGGGAAGCTATCTCGGGAGGCAAGTCGATGCCCATGTGTGTCTGGGATGGAGTCTGGGGGGGCATGCGGTGTGGCAGGCGTGGTTTGGAGAGGAGAGGATCGATGCTGGAGTGGCGATTGTAGGGTGTCCGGATCTCACAAGTGAGTTTTTTTTTTTGCCTTGTCGGTATGAGGAAGATGAGGGAGCCATGTTGCTGATTTGATACTGGAAAATACAGACATGATGGCCAGTCGAGCCGAGCTGTCCAAGCTGGACTGTGGCGAGGCTGGCTTCCTGGGGAGCAAATACTTCCCTGCTGACTCCGTCGCCACGGCTCGCAAGTTCGATCCCAAGGGCATCCTATTCGGGACCGACGCCATTCCTGCTCTGCCGCTCTCGTCGGCTGAACAGGATCGTCTTCGCGGCATCTTTGACAGCCGCGTCCGGGGCAAGAAGCTGCTTCTGTGCTCGGGCGGGGCTGATGAGCTGGTGCCGTACTCCAAGGGGGAGGCTTTCATCAGGCTGTTGAAGGATGCGGCAGGCGGATGGTATGCTGATGGAGGCGTTGAGGTTGACGATAGAGTGTATGAGGGCGTGGGACACAGATTTGCGGCGGACATGGTGAATGATGCGGTTGCGTTTTTGGTGAGGGCGGTGGCGGAGGGGCCGAGGCAGAGGAGGAAGGATGCTGAGAGTAGAGCGAGGATGTAGATTGAGTTTGATGCAAGATGCTTCTATTTATGTGGCTCTGCTAAAAGTCTAGATATAAGATGGTGTCTAAAGAATAATGAACAATACCGATAGTTCCATCACCATGGCCGTGGAGCATCGTCGACCAACGCCTCCATCTCACCCTCCCCTCTCGTAACCAAGCCCCCTTTACCGAACCCGTCCACCTCGTCTTCAAAAACACCCTGCCATACTGCCCACGGATTTCTATTCGCTCTCTTTCCAGCCAATTTCTCTCCCCGTCCGTGAGGATCAGCCGTCCATTCATCCACCGCCTGTCCCACGCCTTTCATCGCAACTTTGTTCTCGCCATTAATCATACCAGGCGGATCGATGCCCAAGAATCTTGTCCTCTCGATTGGAAATTCAATGGCAGCACAATGGCCATCTATGAAGCGGGGCCTCTTGAAATCGTGAGAGACAATGGTTAAAGATAGGGGCCAGGCTTTGAAGCGCGTGTAGAAGAGGGTGAGGCTGAAGAGCACATTGTGGTACGAGTCTAATGCGCGGTCTTCGATGAGGATTTTTGATGAAACAACTTTGGAAACCGTTTGTGGCTTTGAGCTGGGCTTGTTGATGAAGACGTGGTCGAATAAGTTGTGCGCTGCGGCGAGGTTGCTGTAGCTTTGGGCTTCACTTAGAGCTGTTTCTTTGCGGGTTGGGCCGCTGTAGTTGAAGAGCAGAGAGAATGTTAGCATGACTGTATATAGATAAAAACCATAATTTGTATATGTGATGAGGTATTTATTCTTGGCTTTCCCTTCATCACCTACCCCGAGAATGCAAGCACGCTGTCATCGTAGCTCTCAGCGAGAAGCTTCACCCCCAGTTTAACGTGCTCGATAAAAGTGCCCGTCTCGCCGCGCTGAAAGTCGGCAATGAGCCACTCCTCTTCATCAGCGCCGTTGGAAGGGCCGCCCTTCCAGATGCCGTGGCAGCAGACGACTATGAGGGAGGTGGGCGCTGTCATGGTCTTGGAGGCTGGTGTGTGTTGGAAAATGGCTGTTGAGATCAGATTGCCGTTATAAAGGAGGGGCTAGTGTGTTGGGTAAATAGCTCCATTTATTCAGTAAGAGCCAGGATATCAATCACATCTACCAGAAACATCGTTTTTACTTGTCTTGTCGTGATTTTGATACATTTGCCACCATCACTAATGCGAACTCCTTGCACCACCAAGTTTGATTCAATGTTGAATTTTCGTGGCTGTTACTACACATCGCCTTGCAACACAGACGACAATAGAGGCTAGGTGTAAGCCGAATAATATACATATATACAAATTCGCATATAGATAAATGCTTAATATTTCCTTCTGTTTATCCAATTCGCTACTCCTCTATCAAGCTTTGCCAGCTTCAGTGTCTGAGCCGACACGGCCCTTTGTCAGCTTGTCAACAAGGTCAAGCGCCTCTGTCGCCGCCTTTTCCTTCTCATTGTCGTCATGGCGGCTTTTTCTTTTGCCAAATCGCGAGCTTCGCGCATCCAATGTAGGCACTTCTTTGGCTGCTATTTGGTCAGATCGGGAATAGTCAAGCCTGCTCTCAGAAGAAGCAGTGGTATCTTCGTGTTGTTTGTTGGCCGACGTGCTCGCCTCTTCGTCATCGGGAAAGGGGAACCTTTGAATCTTGGGCTTCGCCGGCCGTCCAAACACCTCTTCGTGGCTCATATACTTTTTCTCAGGCAAGGCAGTGTGGCCTCGGAGCTTAAACATGGCGCTGTTGAATGCACCGAGATGTTCCTGGTGGTGTCGCTTGAGCGTCTCCAGGCTGGTTTGTAAATCCGAGGAATCAGCGCTCGCAGGCGCAACGGCTGATTCTTGTGCCAAGTCCTTCTCCATACTCTCAATGGCGCTACGATACCCTTGAGCTTGTTTCCTATGAAACTCCACCTGCTGCTGCAGCGCACGTATTCTCTCGGGAACGATGGAAGACTTGGGCTGACCGCCGTGTCTCACCGCTTTGAAGGCGGTATTTCGTGTAGGCGACAAATACCAGTGCCTCCGTGCTTGTTTAAACTCTCTAGCTTCCTCGGCAGTCAGCGGCCTCTTTTGCGATAACTGGATATAGTGCCAAAGCTGCGCGGCTCCGGGCCGTCTCGTCTTGGTCTTTCTCCTTGGCTCAACGCCGTCCAGGTTGTAAAAATTTCTAATCATGTATAAGCTTCCCGTAACTATGACGGGACCCTCTCCAGCTTTGTCGCAAGCCCATTGCACGCCCGAAGCAATCCGTGAATCGCCATCGTACAGCTGAGATTCATGGTTGACAATAGACTTGCCAATCTCACGGCCGAGCTCAACGGGAGCCGGGGGCGGCTCATTAGCACCAGGAAGATATTCAACAAAGGCAAAGTTATCCTGAGGCTGTACCAAGGTAGAGATGACCTGTGCAAAAGGTTTGGATTTGCTAGCCGATAAGCCCATGACCCACGAAATCGGTTCATTGCCCTGGCGAACCTGGTGCTGCACATAAGAGGCCAACGCTTCGGCGCCAAGCAGATTGTGAGCGCCATCCACAAGGATAGGCTTTTCGCGACTTCCACCGGTGAGGCCAGCTACTCGAACTTGCTCTTTTCGCCCAGAGGGAAACGGTTCCATGGCCAGTAGTTTGTTGACGTCGATTTCAAAATTCGGGAATAGATGGCGGAAGGCCAGCGTAGCGCAGAGAAGATTCTGTTTTTCGTAGTCTTCCAGCTTGAACCGCTCAGTATCAAGGGTGGCCAGCAGAGGCTCTCCCTTCCATGATGGGCTGATCTGAGTACCTATACTATTTGCGTGCTGACGAAGAACTTTCATGACTGAGCTGGGATTGGTATGGTCAACAATGCAGGGCACGCCGGGTCGCATGATGCCCGCCTTGACCTTTGCGATTTCTTCAATGGTGTTGCCGAGATACTCCTGGTGGTCCAGATCGATCTTTGTGATGACCGTGACTGATTTCTGCCTCATGATATTGGTGGCATCTGTGGCGCCGCCCATGCCCACTTCAACCACGCCATAGTTGACATGCATCTTCTCAAAGACCCGAAAGGCGGCTGCAGTTTCCAGCTCAAAGGGCGTCAGGTTGCCCGGGTCCTCGCCGGCGGCAAACCTCCAGCCAGACGCAATTCTCTTGAACTTGTCCTCGATGTGCTTCACCTCCATCTCGTACATGCGGCGATTGACGTACAGGCCGTTGATGGTGACGCCATTGTGCCTCTCGGGCATGGCCGGCGACGTGTACATGCCATGGCTGATGCCGGACAGCCTGAAGAGCCCCGAGATCAGGTTGCAGACCGAGCCCTTGCCGTTGGTGCCGCCGACATGGACGCCCAGCCAGCCCTGCTCCTTTGGCACGACGTGGCCGATGCGCTCCAGGCCGAGGCGGATGTTGCGATTGGCCGATGCCACCTTTTTCTCGGCCGGCATGACGGCTCTGATGCGAGCCAGCGCTCGATTAACCTCTTTGGCAGATGGCATGGGGGAGACATTCCACGAGGCCAGCAGCTGCAGCTTTTCAAAGGAGTCGTTAGGCGGAGAGCGCCATACAGAGCAGCAGGTTGCGCGCCTCGCCGAGGAGACGGATGAGGAGATGGATGAGGCGAGGTGGTGGGTTATGAAGCACGGCGGCCAAATCTCAGAATCTCAAAATCCAACACGAAATCTCACCATCCCCACAGCCCACTGCAATCGATCAGCGCATGGCAAGCACCAGCCACAGCTGATAGTTCGCAGACATCCATGCAAACTAAAGTGTGGCTTGCGCGCCAGGAAGTGTGCTGCTCGGCGTCCCCTAGCCCGCAGCCTCTAGCGCCTCGCCCCCATCCACTGTCCCGATACAGCACATCTCTCCAGCAATAGGTCCCCCAGAAGTCGCTTTCAGCCTCTCCCGCGTTGATTCAGCCTTTTTCTCCTTCACTTCTTCTACAACCGCCGCCTTCACTCTTTGTTCCATCAAACCATCCGTCGCTCGCTCCTCATCTCCTCCGCCCTCCATCTCGTCTGCGCCCAGGACTCGATTGATTTCTCGACTCTGCCGCAGAAAACGCGCTGCCGGGAACATCTGCCCCTGCACCGCCATCGTCATCGCTACTGGGGTCGCCGCGCCAACTGAAGAGGCGCCGCCGTCAATCCATCAGAAATTCTGGTTCCTTTGGCCTCTCGGTTATCGCCCCTTTGCATCGCATCTGCAGATACCCGCGTGCGCCATGGGTCTCCCGTGAGTTTTACTTTTCCAAGCCGCTCCTTGGGCCAATGGCCGCCCATGCGTGCGCTCCTCGTCTTTTGCCTCTTCTGCCTGCGGCCGACCGCGTATCAGGCGCAGCGGTCGCATCCTTGACTCGCCATTGCAGCGCGCCTTCATCGTGTTGAGCGTCTGGTCGCTTCGTCGACCGGATCCTCGGCCGCACAGCAAAATTCTCGCATTCATGTTGCCCGATATACTTTGCCTCTTCTTTTTCGTTCTTAGCGTCGCAGCTTCGACTAATCCATCCGCGGCCATGACAGACTCTTCGTTGCGCCTGTTGAGACCGATCTACCCGCCAAACAAGCGCCAAAGCATGATGCGCTTTCTCTTGCTCGCTCCAGCATCAGGCGCTCAACGTATGTGGAAAGGCGCGATCGACGGCAGCCCAGAAGACGACGCATTTCCGACCTGCCGGCTTCTGCCCCCGGACGCGAGGCGCTGAGAGAGGTGACTTCTGGGGGCGAACGGCAGAGGGACGGGCTGGAGGAACGGATGAGCTCCCTCTATGGTGGTACTTGGCGCGACGCACACGGCATCCGCGGCTTCGAAACCTTGCCGAGAACAGAAGAAGACGGCCAGGAAGGCAGCATCGGGTGGTGGAGTCCTGACCCTCGACTGCGGCCTAGGCATGCGCGCATCGTAAGTTGCTCTCCGGCAAATTTTCTCAACGTTGATAGACTGCTGACAATCACAAACGTAGGCCGTGATGAGCAACCCTAGGCGTAGCCGCAGTCCCCTTCCCCCATCGATAATCTCCAGTAGCTTCACCCCTAGCAACCGCCTTCCCTCGTCTCGTCTTCTTGGCGGAGAGCTGGAAAGGATACCTTTTGAACCGTCAGCGTCTCTTGACGACGTTTCCACTTTGGACAGATACAGATCTCTGCGCAGAAACCAGTCACGAATGTACCGAGCCTTGCTATCTAGGCGCTCCCAGCCTGAAGACCGCCATTCGCGCCCTCAACCGGTTGATGGCCTGGGAGACCGCGACAGAAGCCTGAGCCCGGAGGGTTGGGATACCTTGCGCTCAACACTGACGCCTGATCCACAGCCGCCCAGCGCAGGTTCTTCGTTTGCATCTGCGGCGGCCACCACCCAAGGCGCGGGCCCTGCTAACCCTCCTCCCACCGCTCCAGAACTGCCTGACGGGGCCATGGATCCTGCTTGCGAATCCGGCCACGAAAATTCCGACGACGAGGATACCTTCTTCGGGTACCCTGGATATCGCGGCATTCGTCACGCACACCGACGAATCCGTCAATTAGTTCCCGAATACAATTTGGATGGGCCATCGGACGGGCCACGTTCCCAGCAAACTCAATCGTCGGGGCCCTCGGGCGATGTTCTGGCAAATCATTATTCCCAGCTATTGTTTGGACAGACCTCGCACACAGGATCGGAGGACGAAAGAATGCTTGATCGGCTCCGAATAATCCGTGAAAGATCCTCTGGAGGCGGGCCAAACACTCATTCAGGAGATGAAGAATGGGTAGGCATGCAGCGAATCGTTAGGAACCTCGCGGCAAGAGAGGACATCCCAGACGAATGGTGGGCTGGGGCTGGCCTTAATCGGACACTGCCTCGAGAGGGGTCAAACTGAGAGATTTCCATCTACCAGGCATTACCCATTCGCAAAGTAAAGCAGCGTGCTTTTCGAGATCGTGAATGCATACGTATCGCTGCTTAAAATTCATTCATTGGTCAATGACTGATTTATTGGCTCAGTTGTTTATTTGTTTGTCTGTTTATTCATTCATCGGCTCCCCTTATTCTATTTTTATTTTCGCTCTCTTTCAACATTAGCATGGAAGAGAGTTCGACAACAGCAGACTGTGATGTTGAGATTCACAACATGGAAATGACATGAATGACTATAATAATGCAATGGGTTTGGGGGAAAGGAAAGCGTTGGGAAAAGCGTGATGTTGGCATTATATATCTACTCGTATATCGCGGGCTCAAAGAAGCCCCTAGCGCTCAAGGGATACAATTAATAAAAATCCACATACTAGTAGTTTGCCTAGGTTCATTGTCACCCATTTGTTTCACAAGTGACTTTCTATTAGTATTCTTGTGTTTACTTGTAAGCATGTACTGTAGTAATATCTGCTCTACACGCAATTACGTAAACCAATCTTCTGATTCTCGCAGCAGTCAATACTCTTTGGGCTCTAAAGTTTGGTTAATATGCCTAGGCGGAAACTTTGAGATCCGATTAGCCTTTTCTGCGCATCCATGATTTGCAAGCAAGAGGCCAGGGGGGCATTGGATGGCCTCAGAAGGGTATAGAGGCATCATCTGTCGGTAACACATCAGATCCTTGGCCGCTCCACCTGGTGATAACAGGCACTGGGATCCATAAGTGTAAACGCAAGTGTAAACTCTGTGCTCAACGATGGATGGTTCTAGCGGTGGCTGTTCCAGGGCTAATTGGGACCGTGTGGGGTTGTTTTGACTGCCACCATCTTGACAACATTGAATGCTCCCTCGTGTGTAAGACGTCTGGTGCGGACTGTGCCCTTTTCAGGGCGCTGCCAGCTGTATCAGCAAGGTAGAGGCTGCGCCGGCCACTAACAAGGCTCAGGGCACCCGCCACAGGCCCTTAGGCGGCAGCTATCTCCAGGAGCTCCCCATAGGTACCTAAAACCAACTCCACTGCTCTCGTCCAGAGCACCGGAATTGGGGACCGCAAGTCGACGGCACGCGCTCTTGGGCAGATCCAATCCGCGCTCGCTCTCGTCTCTTTTCTCCTCCTCCTTTCATCTCCATCTCCTTGTGCTGCTCTCTTCATTTTCTCTCTCTCTCTCTCTCCTCCTCTGCGGCCTCCATGCGTGAGCCTCTTCCCTGTCGCAGCGATTCTCCCCCGCCGCCGCCTTTTCGATGAATGCCGCCCACCCTCTGAAATAAATTCGGGCGAATGCGAGCGATACACGAAGCTACAGACCCATCGGCGGGCATGCCATCGACTCCTCTGCGGACCTCTTCTCTTCCACCTCGCCATTCGCTACGATTTTGCCTGCCGCCGAGGTAGAGAGAGCTCTGCAAGGCCGCGCAGATCCAACCAGAGGAGGGGGGAAAAACTACAGCGGACGTCGACGACCCTTGCCAGCTCAAGCAAGATAGGACAAGTGGCAGAACAACACAGCGAGCGAGATGCCGGCAGAGAACATTTATCCCGCTAGCAATGGGCGGTTCGCCGGAGGGACGCCGCGAGAGAGATCCTCGACCCAGTCTACACCGTCACGCAAAGAGAGGGCAAGGGAGAACGCAGCGATGCAGGACCCAGGGCTGAAGGATTATGTATGTGCCGACCCTTGACGCATATGATGGCAATTCGAACCAGCAGTGGTGCCGAGATGAGAGAATGCTTTTTCTGAGTCCTGGAAAGCTTGCTGACTGGGAAGACAGCGTCTGGGCGAATGCCTCGGAAAGGGAGCCTTTGGGTCGGTGTACAAGGCGTTTAACTGGGGCACCGGAGAGGCTGTTGCTATCAAGCAGATCAAGCTGACGGATCTGCCAAAGAGCGAATTGCGGATGATGGAGGTGAGTCTATGGCAGCATGACAGATCAGGATACCTCTCTCTATACAATTTCAACATATCTACACATCTCACCAAATATTTGGGCGATACTAATTATGTGGCTACCAGAGCGAAATTGATCTGCTCAAGAACCTGTTTGTAAGAGCAAGCCCCTCCCTAGCAGAGCCGACCGGGAGAAGCTAACGATGAGAAGCATGACAACATCGTCAAGTACATCGGTTTCGCTAAAACCACGGATTGTCTCAACATCATTCTAGAGTAAGGCAACTTGACATCAGCAGCTCTACTTGGGTACGAATTACGACTGACGTCATCATTTCTGCAGATACTGCGAGAACGGCTCTCTACACTCAATATGCAGAGAGTACGGCAAGTTTCCCGAGAACCTGGTCGGTGTCTACATGACCCAGGTTCTCCAGGGTCTTCACTATCTCCACGACCAGGGTGTCATCCACCGTGACATCAAGGGCGCCAACATCCTCACCACCAAGGACGGAACGGTAAAGCTTGCCGACTTTGGGGTCTCGACTAGCACGCTGGCTGGTGGCCAGGATAAGGAGGCGCAAGTAGTAGGCACCCCGTACTGGATGGCCCCCGAGATTATTCAGCTATCGGGAGCCAGCTCCGCTTCGGATATTTGGAGCGTTGGCTGTACCGTTATCGAGCTTCTTCAGGGCAGGCCGCCTTATCACAACTTGGCAGCTATGCCGGCACTGTTTGCCATTGTCAATGACGACCACCCTCCACTGCCCGAGGGCATATCAGCTGTGCGTCTTGAGAAGAACACCCTGCCCTGCCTCAAAAGTAGAATGATGGGTATCATACAAAATACTGACTTGGACAAATAGGCCGCCCGGGACTTTCTCATGCAGTGCTTTCAGAAGGATCCCAACCTCAGAGTGTCGGCTCGCAAGTTACTTAGGCATGCCTGGATCGTGGGATGCCGCCGCACTGATGCGCCGGTCTCGAAGCCGCCGGCCAACTTCAATGAGGCCGTCGAGGAGGTCAAGCAGTGGAACAAAGCGCTCAATTCTTCGGGAACTTCACTTCGTGTATCCACCGGCTCCGATGGCCTCTCTCGGTATTCTGGTGCAACGCCCAAGGGCCGCCTGAGCCTCGCCAAGCCCAGGCTGAGCGCGGGTGCGGGTGCGAGTGCTTTTAAGCTGGCCGAGTTAGGTACGCCAACATTCTCAATTGAATAGTGCTTGCTCATAACGGTTAAGCTAACATTGTAACTCAGACGATGACAACTGGGATGACGACTTTGCGACGGCAATATCTCCCAGTGCTTTGCAGCTACCGCATCTGAGGCCGCAAGATAATTTTGGGGGCCTGCTTTCTGCTGACAAACTCAAGGCTTTTGCGTCGGTCAATGATCTCCGGAATGATGTAAATAACTACGACGAGGACTTTGAAGGCGACATGATGACCATAAAGGGACCGAATCAGCAGGCCTACATCGAAGCACAAGAGCAGACGATTCGGCCAATGTCAAGAAAAGCCATAGCACCGAAGCCTCCATCGCCGCCAAAAATGCTGCATCAAAGATCCAAGTCGAGCATGGATCCGGCAGCGGTTTCACCTAACCTATCTAAAGCGAAATCTCCCCCGAAATCACACTTTGGGAACAAATTCGAGCTGCCCCCTCGTCCTGGTGCCATGTTCCGAGAACAAAGCTCTGAAGACTACTCCGACCTCTTCTCTGATGACGATAGTGTGTTTGACCAGAAGGTTCATCAGGCGGTCCGGAAGGTGAGCCCCCTATAGCGTTTCATCTACTTTTTCTCTCCCCTTTTAGCCCATCACAAACCTAATGTGCCAGCTATGCTAATATTGCAATGCGTTGGTTTCAGGGTCTTCGCCAACCTGATGCACCTCAGCTCTTCCATCCCTCTGACCTTACTAGCTTGCCCCGGTCAATGCAGACAATAGAGGGGAGCGTAAGAAAAAAGGGCCCCTCGAGGCCATCAGTTCTCCCCGATCGTCCCATGAGACGCACTCGCTCCTCTATCGAGATCCAGAAGTTCGCCGAAGATGATGACGAGGACTTCTCTGACATATTCGGGCCCGAAGAATCAATCGCTGAAAAAGAAGAAAGCGAACGGGGATCCGAAGAAGCTGGCCTTATGCTCATGTCAAGGATCTCAGGAAACTCTTGGCTGGGCGATGAAGACGACGAAGATGACCCCTTTGCATCCATGGATCCAGGGTGGGATGAGATGGACATGGACGCAAAGATTGCACGAGACAGACATGCGCGCCTCGCAGAGAAAGTGGAGGAAATGGTTGGCCTTTTGAAAATGACAGAAGGCGAGGAGTACTTGGCAGATCTTGCTGTCGAATTAGTAAGTCGTATCAGATGGCGAGCGGTTTGTGTCTTGGGCTAATCGAGAGAACCTAGCTGAATCTACTCTGGGAAAATCCAGATGCAAAGAATTTAATCATCACCGCTCACGGATTGCTTCCTCTTTTGGAAATTCTAGAGCCTTGTACAGTGAAGAGCAAGCATCACCTGATTTACCATTTGCTTCGACTTGTCAATACGGTAAAAGCCTCCCTTTGGATATACAAGACATGAGCTTTCTCCTTTCTAACCTAGAAATATTTAGATTATTCTTGACGATGTTGAAATTCAAGAGAATCTGTGTTTTGTTGGTGGTATACCCATTATCACGAAATTCGCTGCCCGCCAGTATTCCAACGAGATTCGTCTTGAAGCAGCCGCATTTGTCCGCCAAATGTATCAGACCTCGACTTTGACGCTGCAGATGTTTGTTTCAGCAGGTGGTTTGAACGTTCTTGTCGAATTCCTAGACGAAGATTACGATAGCTCTCGAGATCTTGTGCTTATCGGTGTAAACGGCATTTGGAATGTGTTTGAACTACAGGGGCCAACTCCCAAAAATGACTTTTGCAGAATCTTCTCGAGAAGCAAAATTCTTTACCCGCTAGCGCTTGTCCTCCACCGAGTTCTCGATGAAGAAGGGGAGGATGAGCTCAGTGAGCTTATTGAAGGGCGCATTGTGAATATCTTCTACCTCTTCAGCCAGGCGGAGAATTATGTCAAGGAGGTGGTGGCAGATCGACAGGTGCTGAAGAGCGTCCTCAAAGATCTCCGACGAATGACGCCGATCCATCAGATCACCATGCTCAGATTCATCAAGAATCTTTCCATGCTCTCAACAACCATTGAATCACTGCACTCCGCTGATGCCATTGACTTCCTCATCGACCTGTTAAGCTACAGCATGAAGAAGAACCACAAACACCTCCGCGAGATCTCTAATCAGGTTCTCAACACGATGTTCAACCTCTGCCGGCTAAGCAAAGAAAGGCAGGAAGACGCTGCCGTTGGAGGCATCATCCCGCTGTTGCTGCGGATCATGAAGACAGACCGGCCGCCGAAGGAATTTGCCCTGCCGATTCTCTGCGACATGGCCCACTCCGGGTCAAAGGGACGACGGTACCTTTGGCAGAACAAGGGCCTCGATT